GCTTCCCTCTCCCTGCTGGGAAGACCCCTCCCCAAACCCCACCAACATCACTGCCACCCAACCCTGACAGGAGCCATTTCCAGGCAGGGCAGAGGCAACTCACCTTCCCCTTGGGGAGAGGAAGAGAGGCGGGGACACCATGGACGTGAAAGGCAGGCCTCTCAGCAGAGTCTGCCTCCCGCCCTCCTGCCTCCAGCCCTTTTCAAACTGAAGACAGAAGCTCGGGTTGGGATTTGAACTGAGAACCCCAAAACTTGAAGTTAGGCTGCGCTGAACTACATATTGAGGCCTCCTGAAGTGTGACTGGTGAGGCACTATGATGCCTCTGGATTGGCCAGGCCAACCTCGCCTGATATTATTCACAGTCCCTCTCCTGCAGCAGCTTCGGATATTTACCCTTTTCTCCAAAGAGCTCAACATTTTAGATTCAAAACACCCTGTGAAACAGGTCAGGCTGAGAGATGGTGGCTGGCATAAGGTCCCCCAGCAAGCGTCATGGCTTGAGCATGGATTTGAACCTTGGTTTCCCAGATTCTAGTCCTACCCTCTAACCACTACATCACACTGTCTCATTGGTTTCCCAGAGCTCTAGCCCTTCCTCCAAAACCTAGACTCCTCCTCTTTCTTTGATGCATTTTTAGAGCTATTTTTAGCAGGACAGACTCCTTTCCCGTTTCTGTGTGAGGAATTTAATTTCTTCAGGTTTGCATCCTTCTAAAGCAAATGCTAATAAAACTATATTAGATACCATGGGCTCCTGTGCCACCTACACAAATCCTTCCCTCACCTCTTGTTCCATTTTCCCTATTTGAAGATGTTGTCCTAAGTCACTATTAGCCCTACGGAGGAAGGGGAAAGCAAGCAGTTAGTCCGGGTGCAGAGCCAGCCCACCCATGACAGCCTCGGTCCAGTATATCTGAAGGAGCGTCTCCACCCCCATCATTCTGCCCGGACACTGAGGTCCAGCACCGAGGGCCTTCTGACAGTTCCCTCACTGCGAGAAGCCAAATTACAGGGAACCAGGCAGAGGGCCTTCTAGGTAGTGGCACCCGCCCTGTGGAACGCCCTCCCACTAGATGTCAAAGAGAAAAACAACTACCAGACTTTTAGAAGACATCTGAAGGCAGCTCTGTTTAGGGAAGCTTTTAATGTTTAACACCGATTGTTGCATTTTAATATCTTGTTGGAAGCCGCCCAAAGTGGCTGGGGAAACGCGGCCAGATGGGTGGGGTATAAATATTAGTAGTAGTAGTAGTAGTAGTAGTAGTAGGCAAGGTGAGATGACCTCCTCAGGGAGCAGGATCCACAGGGTCAATAGAGGCAGCTTCCAAGGAATGCATTACCTTCTGCTGCTGCTGCTGCTGCCACCAACACAGTAGAGCATACCTTGCAGGCTGGAAACGAGTGTCAAAGGCGGGGGGAATTACCACACACGCAGCACTCCATACTTCCCTTTAGCAATCCCCCCACCTTGGTTTATACTGTTATTTACAGCACTATAACAAAGAATTATGGGAGTGGTAGTTTGTTAAGGGTGCTGAGAGTTGATAGGAAACTCACTGAGCTACGGTTTAGCAATCAACCCCCACAAAAGAGCTCTTATTATCACCATCAGTCTCCAGCACTGAACGTGTTGGCCTAGTGTGGGGCACCAAGGAGAGTTTGGCTGTCTGGCTGGTGTTCTGACCACCTAGTGCAGCAGCAGCCACCCTGTCGGGCCTGTTGGTTGTGGTGGCCAGCTGGGCCTTGGAATTCCCTAACCTACTGATAGATAGATAATTTATTACGGTCAAAGACCAGCTCACATAACATAACACAATAAAAACAGTGTTCATAAAGATAAAATATACAATTGGGGCAAATTGCAGCTCATGAATTAAAATTGTGATATATACATACACCCGTACAACTGAGATTTGGGCTACCATAAAAAATTGACCCTGAGGCGCCTCAAAGGGCAACTTCAGCATTTCCCTAGTAAGCTATTTTATTCTAGAGGATGATCTGTGCCTACAAATCTGGGTGCAGAATCTGGCTACCAGCCAGGTCGTCTTATGATCTTTGCCTAAGAGGAGAGAATTAAGTTTAGACTTGCCTGAAAGATCGGCGAGCCTCTTCAGCAAAGGATTGATGGTGTCTCTACGAATCTCAACATAAAAAGGACATCTAAAAAATATATGTTCGAGGCTTCCTATTTCCCCTAATGGGCAGGTGCAAAGTCTCTGTGCGTACAGGACCCTTCTATAGGAACCTTCCAGAACCGGTGAGGGTAGCAGGCCATGAATTTTATGTCTTCCCGCCATAATTTTTCCCATTGTTCCATGTAAATATTATAACCCAAATCTTGCGCCCATCTCACCATTACAGCTTTCACTTGTTCTTCCTTTACCTCCCATTCCAATAGGGGGTCGTATACACGTGAGATATATTTTCCTTTACTTTGTATCAATGCTTTTTCAAATTCTGATGTTTCTTTTGCAAGTCCTGCTTTTTGATCAATGGTTAATCTTTGATGAATTTAAAATATTGCAGCCAGTCTGTTAGGTGCCCTTTAATTTCTCCATATTTTTCAGTATACGTTCATCCTGTTGTCCTTCTACTAATAATTGGTATGTGTCCATATTCTTTTTCTTAACTGCCTGTGCTTCTGTAGGTAAGGTCCACAAAGGGATCTTACAGGTTTAACCTGTATTTTCATTAACTGTTTTTTCTTTTTCTTTTACTTTATATTGTAATTTTATTGGTGTTAGTCGCACCAAGCCAGGTTCTGGCCGGGAGGGCGGGGTATAAATAAATTATTATTATTATTATTATTATTATTATTATCATCATCATCATCACCATCTACCATTTTTTCCTAGGTGAAATTGTAATTTCACCTAGAACTAAGCACATCTTTTTCCAGAAGAGATTTTTTAAGGAGGAAACTGCTCCGAGTTTTCTTTTTCTTCCCTCTCTAAGAAAGAGGGCCATTTTCTAGAATTTCATCACCATCTTGTGTGTATCTGTGGCTACCACTTAGTCTCTCAGAATGCCCTCCAATGGTGCTCAGTGCTAAGCCCAATTGCTTAAAGCAGTATCCTTGTGCTTGAAATGTATGCTGTGAATGTGGCCCCAGTCAGAAATCACTTGCACCATGCCTTAATGTAGCCCTGGATGAATGGAGCAAGGCTACAGCACTGAACTTGGAGAAGTGCTGGGAGTTGGTACACATCCCTCTTGGAAGGGGGAGCACAATTCCCACCCCTCATATACAGCCAGATGTGGTTGGAAGCTGCAAACTAACTGCAAGGTTGGGGTGCTGTGGTGATTGATTTACAGTGCCAGAGCCTGAGGAGAGGGAGCTCAATGGGCTGAAGTGCCCAAGTTGCTACTCCTTCACAAGCGATCAGTGCCAGTCCAAGAAAACCGTCAGCTGCAGAAATAACGAGGACCGCTGCTTCTACTATGCGGGTAGCATCAGTCTTGGTGAGTCTCTGCATCCGGTGAGTGCAGCTAGGGCATTTAAAGCAGTATCACGCCACCTTGAACAGTCAGGCTTATCCAAAAAACATGCTGGCAAGGGTGCTGAAAGTTATTCGGAGACGCTGCTCCCCTCACAGTGTGTCTGGGATAGTCAAGAGCCCAAGGAGGAGGGATTGGTGACCAGAGGAATTGGGTGGAGGAGCATCCAGGGGAGGGGCTAGTGATTTGTGGATTTCTGTGCCCCCCGTGAGGCAGCTCCTGGTGGTGGTGGAAGAGGGGAGTCAGGAGGGGGAGACCAGGAAGCCAAATACAAAGCAGGAGAAAGAGGCAGGAGAAGATTGCAGGACGTCTCTTTTTCTTCCGATTCATCCACCCTCCCTCAGAGTCTGGAGAACTTGTGGTGCTCCCAGAGAGAGTCATAGCTTTGGAAACTGTGGATCCTCCCTGCACTTCCACTTGTTCCATGCCTAGAAAGCACAGTTCCGATTGGTTTTCCACTTACACATCCAGCAGAATGGATGACCCCTGGGTGTGTTCAGGACACAGAGCTACCATTTCATGATTTTCTTGGAAAAGGGGTTGATTGTTAAACCACTCTGGGAATTAGGCTTAGCCAAGGGAGGATGGTTAATGCTACTCTGCAGAGCAAGACGAGCTCTTGTGACTCTCAAAACTTAGGTAGCTTGTAATCAGTCCCAGGCTGCTGCTGTCACCCCCAATACCAGACCAAGCTGGGAGTTTGTAATCCACAATCTTAGTTCTCCATCGCTTTAGCTTGAACTAAGAACTGGACCATAGAGTTCCACTGGAACCTGAAGTGCAGCAGGCAGAATAGACTGCTCTATGAGTGGTGGACAGCTGCCAGGAACATACTGGTGACAGCCAGATGCATATGGAACTAGTGTTCCATATTGTGCTGTTCTGAAAACTGCAAGATTGTCGATAAACCTTGATGAATTTCCACCTGGAATCCTGTAGCTGTTTATTCCATTTTCCCCCAGCAACTCCTTAAAACATTTTTGTTTAGACACGCCTATCCAGACATGTGGGACGTGGGTGGAGCTGTGGGTTAAACCACAGAGCCTAGGACTTGCCGATCAGAAGGTCGGCGGTTCGAATCCTCTCGATGGGGTGAGCTCCCGTTGTTCGGTCCCTGCTCCTGCAAACCTAGCAGTTCGAAAGCACATCAAAGTGCAAGTAGATAAATAGGTCTACCTTCCAGCAGGAAGGTAAACGGCGTTTCCGTGCGCTGCTCTGGTTTGCCAGAAGTGGCTTAGACATGCTGGTCACATGACCTGGAACCTGTATGCCGGCTCCCTTGGCCAATAAAGCGAGATGAGCACCACAACCCCAGAGTCGGTCACGACTGGACCTGATTGTCAGGGGTCCCTTTACCTTTACTTTATCCAGACATGTAGATTGGACGCACTCTATTCCCTTTTGCTGTTCATTCTAATGAGTTTTAAATATTTTAATAGTTTTAACTGCTTGTATCGCTAATGTTAATATTTCTTGTAAACCCCTAGTGGTTTTTACTGCAGTCACATGGTATATTGATTTTGTTAAATAAAAATACATCCTAAAATTTGGATCTTAATTGGGGAGGGCCCCTCATGTCTAGGGACCAAAGGCGTCCCTCTAGGACTCTCTCTCTCTGGCCCTTCGAATCCTACTTAGCCACACCTCCTCTCCCTAGGCCACACCCCTCACAAGCCCCACTTTATACCCTACCTGAATGCTTTGTCCTCACTGGATTGCCCACACACGTTTCTGGTTTTTTATCAATAATGATACCTTCCTGGTTGATAATCCCTTTCTGTCCCTCTTAAAGAAAACAAACATGAATCTGAGTCATATTAACATAAACTACTTTACTATCAGATTCATTCAGGTTTACAGAGTTGTTCCTGAAGGCAGGCTTAGGTTACACAACAGATAAACTATATACTAGATAGTAGTGAATCATGAGAAGACTGCATCCAAGCAGTTACCAGTTAACACTCCTTGCAGCAACCGACCAACAGACCAACTGACAAAACTGCCTGCCACATAGAGGCAGTTAGTCCTCTCGCGGAATGTTGGACTTGACTTGCAGCTTTATATCCCACAAAAAGCACCTGTGTGTTTCATTCCAACAGGGAATACCAAGCTAAAGGCTGCTGCCCGAGGCTGTACGACGACATATATGTGTAACTTCATCAGTGGAACAAACATTGCGTTTGAAAATTACAGCATCCAGACCACTAGAGCAGAGTGCACCATAGCAAAACACTCTGTAGCTGAGAGAGAGAAAGCAAATCTCCAACTTCCAGAAGAACCCACAATTTAGGGAAATTGGCTGCCTTGTGCTTGAATCAGCGGAGGTCTCAGCCTGAAGCCTCCTAGGGTTTATTTCCAGAATTCTAGAAGCTCCTCCTCAAGGAAAGGCTGTATTTGACTTTCATGTTCAAATGAGGTCATTGAATCATGTCCAAAATAAATATATATGGCCAATAATGAGTGTTGTATCGTGTGTTTTTTCCAAATGCAACATTTGTTGGGGGGAACATTTGTCAGAGATGTAGGGGCATAGGAGCTAACTCCTAGGAGCTGTGTGGGCTTTGGCCCCCACAATAAAATATTTGAGGTGGCTGCCCCCCCCCCACGTTAATGGGTTTGCTATTCTACACTGCATCATGTGATCAGTTCTGCAGGACAGGGCTTGCCTGGGCGGCCACAATATTTTATTCTAGACATCGCAGGGAAGGGGCTAGTGAATTCTGGGGTTCTGTGCCACCCGTGAGGCTTCTCCTAGTGGTGTTCCTGGAGAAGTCAGAAGGAGGAGACCAGGAGAAGGAGGAGAGAGGAAAAGAGCTGCAAGGGGTCTCTTTTTCTCCTCCCATCCACACACATAGTTTGGAGAAACAAAATAAAAAAATTCCTTCCAGAAGAATTCCTTCCGTGCCTTACAGACCAACTAAGTTCGTTATTGGTGTGAGCTTTCGTGTGCATGCACACGTCTTCAGATAGTTTGGAGAGCTTGTGGTGCACCCACAGGCAGTCATAATTTTGGAAACCTCTGGATCCCCCCACACACACTTCCACTTGTCCCATGCCTGGAAAGCAGAGTTCCAAGTGGTTTTCCACTTGCACCATCCTTTCCAGGCACGGGTCTGATTGGTTTTGCCTTGCCCCACTGCCAGTGGCGGAGATTCATGCTCCGGCACCAGGGGGCAGAGAGCAGGCAGGCGCAGGGCTGGCGAGCACCCCGGGGGCACACCGCCCTTGGGTGGGGGCGCGTGTCCTGGGGGCGTGTCACACCACCCCTAGGGATCGAGCTTCCAGGAGCAGCCGGGATCAAGTTGCCATGAGCAGTGCGCTCCCCCCGCACGCCTCTTCCTCCGCCAGTGCCCACTGCTTTCCTCCCAGGAAATCTGCAGAAAAACCTGATTGCTGTTTGTTCCAATTCAGCACTAAACCACAGGATTTTTCACAGGGGAAAGTGGTGCAGAGGTTTGGGTGACCCCTGGCTCTGTTCAGGACACAGAGCTACCATTTCCTTTTTCCTTTTGAAATTTGTTTAATTCATTTTTTCTTAACACATTTCGATTTAAACATATCATTCACCTTCACATTTGGATTCCCAGAATCCCTTGACTTCCCCCCGCCCCTCTCTGGTTTCTACTGGCTCCACAAGGAAGTAACATCTGCCTTGACTCTAGCATTCCTTGTTTTCCACTGCATGCATATAAGCTACAGAGAAAAATCTCTCACCTTCCAAATCCACTGCCACATGTGTCTGTGTCATAGTCAATAAATTGTAGTGTTCAAACTCTTTCTTAGGAAAAACACAATTTTCAAAGAGTGTCAGGCCTAATGAGCACAGCAGATCATTCCCTGTGGGTCTCCCCAGCGGCGTAGCGTGGGTTGCACCCGGGGCAAGGCAAGTAATTTGCGCCCCCTAACCCCTAACCTGCCGCCGCTGCCAGCTTCTTCTTGCTGCTGCCTGGGCTGGTCTGGTGTGGTTCTCTCCCGCGCTCAGCGCTGCGCTGGGTGGCCGCTGCACTGTCCCTCCCCCAGATAGTCCCTCGCTCTCTCTCCGCACCGCATGCCTGGCACCCATCCCCTCCACAGTGGGTGGCGACCCAGCGGCTCGGATCGGATTTGCACAGCCAGCACTGCAGTGAGAGAGAGTGAGTGAGCCAGGTAGGGGCAGAGAGCTGCGAGTGCGAGCGCGCCCCCCCGATGTTGCGCCCGGTGCGGCCAGCCCCCCCTGCACCCCCCACGCTACGCCACTGGGTCTTCCTCTATGAAATCAACTGCCAAGATGAAAAGTCCCCGACGCCCCATATCTGCCTATATCTCCTCCTCTCCAGGGCTTTTTCCAAGACTGAGACTGTGAGCAGCTAATCTTTCCTCTGTCCTTTTTATGCCCCTCCTGGGGTTTTTTCAGTGGGAGGACAAAGGGGAAGAGCCTGTTGCAGCAGAAGGGGAAGACACCTGTAACCAGAGGCACCAACCTGGGCCCCAGATTGTGGGTGCCAACCACACACACACACACACAGACACACAATGTGATGCCGTGACATCAACATCACATCATGCCATCACCTGCTGCCCTTCAAGTAAAGATGTGTATTGATGCTAGGAGAGGATGTATTGATTAGATATTATCCTTCCTTCCTCATGTTTGTGAGTTCAGCAGAGTGCATCCCCTTGCAGCTGAAAAAGTCTTTACCCTTTTCTCCTCTTAATAATCACGCAGATTACTGCTTGTAAAAGGTAAAGATAACATTCACTCACTCAGAATACTTGTTGAAGAGTAACAGATACAGCAGCTTTGTCCAGGCAGGCTTAAAATGGTGATCCAGTTACAAAGATGATGGTCAAGATGATGATGGGGATTGAGCTTTAGAGCTCAGACAAGCAGATGGTTCTACATTGCTGGATGGATGGATGGATGGATGGATGGGGAGAGAGAAAGAGGGAGAGGAAGTGCCTACACCCTCCCCAGAGCGCGGCACAGTGGGAGTGTCTCTCAGAGTTCGTTCTGGGAAACATTCAGGAAGAAACTCCGAGGGCTTCAGCTCCTGTCATTTGCCTATCTAGCAAACATGTATTGTTGATTTGGCTGCATGGTAAATATCTCACACTTCACGGGCAGGTGGCAGTCCCCTCAGAAGGCAGAGCACATCACCTGCAGGAGTAGCAAGGAATGTCTGCCTTCTCACTCACCTCTCACCTTGCCCAGTCACGCTATCTTTCACCAGGACTTCAGCGCCACCTCTCTGTTTCCATGGGGACAAGTAAGCCGGGGCATGTTGGCAGAAGAGGAAGCAGAGGGAGGAAGAGGCGTCATGGCATTTTAGGTTGTCTTACACAAAATGGAAGTGCTAGTCTTCAGACAATATATGCAAACATTTTGGAGGTCCCCCTTGTGACCCCAAGCAGAGGAACAATGTGCCGACTGCACACCCTTCTCCTGGGCCCTGTGGAGAGGCAGGCAGCAGGTGCATTTGGCCCCCAGGTCAGAGGTTCCTCACCCCTGCTATAGATTACAAAAGGGCTCCAAAGTTTCCCAATTCTCTCTCTCCTTTGGCTTCCCTTACTCAGGCAAATGAACAGCTTGGTGATTTTAGAAAGAAATTGTGAAACCATGTTTCTTCAGCAAATACATTGTGAATCCACTCGCCTTCAGTGGGTACACTGGGTGAGCAATCAAGATTTGGGCAAATGTTATATTTCCCACAAGCTTCCACTGGCTAGAGCTTGCATCAGCCTGCTGAACCAGGCCAGCTGTTCCAGAACCCTGTTGTCGCAAAGGCCAGCCAGGTGCCTGTGCAAAGCCTCAAAGCAGGACTGGACAGCAACACCACTCTAACCCCTTATGCTTCCCAGCAACTGACATTCAGAGGAATACTGTCTCCAACACTTGAGGAAGAACATGGCCAACTTGGTTAGTAGCCATTGATAGCCTTATCCTCCATTATTTTCTTCTAATCCTTAACCAAACACATCCATGTTGCTGCCCATTGTTACTTCCTGTGAGCAAATTCCAGAGTTTAACTATGTGTTATTTCAAGCAGCACTTTCTTCCATCTTTCTCAAATCTTCCAACATTCACTGTCATTGGCTGCCCACAAATTCTAGTACTGTGAGAAAGGAATAAAAGCTTTTCTCTGTCCTGTTGCACTAAAGGCTTCCTATGAATTGAAGGCTGACTAAACCTCGGGGGTGCAAGGAGCTACAAGAATTGCCCCAATCAAAGAATATCAATGCTTGAGGTGTAGCATAAGGGACTGCATACTCCTCAAGACACCTTGGGCTCACATTGTTTTGGAATTTGTGGAAATAAACATAAGCACCTTGAATGTCTTGAAGTTACCAGTGCATGAACCACTGTGTCCAGGCAGCCAAGCAATTGACCTAACTCCAAGACCCAGAAATCAATCATTCACAAGGCCTCCAGTTTTTCATGGTTCAAGCTCAGTTTGTTGGCTGTCCTTCACCATGGCATCCAGGCACCTATCTGGGGTTTTGTGTATTGGGGATTCTAGAATTGGGTATCGTCGACATATGGATGACACTTCACTCCAAAACTCCAAATGACTCTTCCCAACAGCTTCATCTTGATGTTCAGTAGCCACATTCCTCAGATGAAAACAGGGGCATTTCTCACTCCCCACAATTGACACTCCCCCCATTTTTGTCGTGTGTGTCCCCCCCCCCCATTTTTGTTGTTCCCCACTACCACCATGCCCACACACAGCATTTTCTCTCAGAAGAATGGCAAGTTCCACAACCACATCCTTGCACTCCCCCTTCCATCCTGCCCAGGAGGCCCTGCCCTCTACCTGCCTCTCAGATCCAGTGCATTATGTGGGGAAGGGCCTCACTTGTAGCAGCCTCTCCTCCTTTACCTTTGCCAACTCTGTGTATTCTAAGGCTTTCATCATCCATTCTTCCTTTCAGGGTATTCTCAAAACTTTCTACCTCTGAGCATTTCCAGCATTTATTTGGTACATTCTTATACAGTGGTACCTTGGTTTTAGATAGCTTAGCTTATGAACAACTTGGAAATAGAACGCTGCAAACCCAGAAGTTGGTGTTTTGTTTTGTGAACTTTGCCTTAGAAGCTGAACATGTTCCACTCCTTGTTGACTGTGTTCCGTATGTACATTGAGTCTTCTGCACCTATCAGAGGCTTCCTGTTGAGTCTGTTGGCTGTTGAGTCCCAAACACCCACATAACACAGAGATGACATTTGGAGCTTTTGTTTTTGCTATTTTTGTTTGTGTGGCTTTTTCGTTATTTTGACTGTGACTTGTTCTTCATTTCATGGAACTGACTTGTGCTCTGGCTTGTGACTCCGTTTTTGTCACTTGTTTTTGTGAGTGTGTGGAACCCTGTTCAGCTACTGATGATTGTGACTGCAGAAATGGATAAAAGCCCCCCATCCAAACCATTTCTATCATCAGTGCACGTAAGGAAAAAAATAATTTAAATTTTTATCATCTATAATACTCTCTTATTTGTTTTATAGTACAGTACATTGATTATTGCTTTCATTTTATGGATCGATGGTCTCATTAGAATTTTATAAAATTCATTTTAAATTGATGTTTTAAGGTCGGGTTACCAGACGTCCCCGTTTCCCAGGGACAGCGCCCAGATTTGCAAATCTGTCCCCAGACAAATTCTGTCCCTGGAATGTCCCCGGATTTCATTAAATATCCCCAGGAAACGTGACACCCTGCTCTCCTAGAGTGATATGCAGCTGGAGGGGTGGGAAGATTTTGCACAGGCAGAGGCAGAGGTGGGGGGATCAAAGAGTGCGAAAGAAGGACTTTGCACCTTGCCCGGCACAGAAACTATGTGCCTTGCTCCCCTCCTGGGCAACAGCAAGCCACCCGCCCATGATTCCTGAGCCTCCCCCGATCTCCTGTCCCCTTTCCCCTTCATTTTGAGAGATCTCGGGTGGGCAGCTGTGGCCCAGGAGCGGCGCAAGGTGTGCGGTTTCTCTGCTGGGCAAGGTGCAAAGCTCTTCTTTCGCAGCCTGTGAAACTCTCAAAACGAAGGGGGAAGGGGGAGGCTCAGGAGTCACGGACGGGTGGTGCGCCATTGTCCAGGAGGGGGCTCAAGGTGCACGGTTTCTCTGCTGGGCAAGATGGGGTGATATGATTTTTATCCCCTCGGCCAACTGGAGTGGAGCTGGCGCAGAGCCAGGCAGTTGAGTGTGAGAGACAGCATGAACAAGAGCATGTCCCAGGAACTGCAGAAGTCAAATTGGAGCAGGGAAGCCTTATGTTCTTTTAAGTTGAGGTTCCTTGAGTTGAGGTACCTCAGTTGCAGGGGGTTGGCCCAGATGCCCCTCAGAGGTCCTTTCCAAATCTATGATTCTGTGATCGTCCCACAGTCGTATTCTCAAACTCTGCTTCCAACTCCACCCCCCAGGTTTCTCTCCCTCTCCAGACTTCTCAAGACAGCAAAACAGCTGATGTACTTAGGGATAATAAAGCATGTAATTTATTTATTTTTTTAAAAGTGTCCCTGGATTCATTGAAAAAAATCTGGTAACCCTATTTTAGGGGTTGTTTTTGAAAGTCTGGAATGGATTAATCGATTTTGCAGTACTTTCTATGGGAAGGCATGCCTTGGTTTTAGAACGCCAGCTGTTCCAGAACCCCGTTGTCGCAATGGCCAACTAGATGCCTGTGCAAAGCCTCAAAGCAGGACTGGACAGCAACACCACTCTCCCCACTTGTGATTCCCAGCAGCTGATATTCAAAGGAATACTGTGAGCAAATTCCAGAGTTTAACCATGTGCAGCACTTTCTTCCATCTGTCTGGAATCTTCCAACAATCAGTTTCATTGGCTCCTCACAGATTCTACTGTTATGAGAAAGGGATGCAAACCTTTATTAATTTCTAAAATATTTTTAGAACCCACCTTATTTCTCTGATTATAAATTGCTTTAAACTGTTCTGAATGTTATGCTTTAATCCCACAATCCATCATGAGAATTTAAGGTATTACCGGAAAAATCCGAGGGCTCCCTTGGACAAAAACAAAGACACCAACCAGGATAACTTGGAGCAAAACAGCAGCCTGTAGGCTTGGCCTTTATTGAACTGTTGCAACAGGGTGTTCCCCTCCCTTGCAGGAGAGAGGAAAAGACCCAGAAAGATGGTGTGCAAGACCTTATAAAAACTTTGAAATTCCCATCCTCTAGGTCAAGCCCACCCCCAGAAACATCATGCATACATTACAGAAAGGAGGAGTTGACATCATGCATACATTACAGAAAGGAGGAGTTGACATCATGCATACATTACAGAAAGGAGGAGTTGACATCATGCATACATTACAGAAAGGAGGGGGTTGAGGGAGGAGTTGTGGTGGTAACCTGAGTGTCCTGTCACCTGGCTGGTTCCTCCTTTCCCCCCCCATGAGTCACTTCCAGGAGACAAAGGGGAGTTGGCAGTTTCCTGCCCCCAGAGGGAAGATCTGATCATTGTCCTTTGTTTCAGTCCATGCTGAATCCACTCCCATATGCAAGTTCTTTGTGATCTTGATGGTCTTCTGTCTAGGACCATCAGGGTTGGCATAGCAACTGGGCAGAGCTCCTGTGGATGTGCTGGGATGGTGAAGGGATTATGGCTGACCAGAACCAAGCCACCCCCCTTTGATAGTCCTTGTCATATGGAGTAAAATAAAAATGGAACAGTGCAAATCCAATGTATGGTTGATTTTTCTATGAATTTATAACAGAAGTGTGGCATATGTAGTGTGTGAGTGTGAGTGTGTGAAGTTTGTACAAACTGAATGATTGGGGTGGGGGGGTTCCTGCTACAAAGGTGAGAAGCAAGTAGTAAATAACAACAGCAGGAATTTCCAGGGGTAGTGGGGGGTTCGATCACCACCAGGATTGGTACTGTCCATCGCTGCGACTGGAGACTTGATCTGGAATCTGACCTGCAGAAGTCATAGAATCATAAAGCTGGAAGGGACCCTCAATGGACACCTAGTTTGACAAGTCAGGTGATAACTGCTCATTTGACAAAACTAGACATGACCCCAGGAAGGTGTACCTGGGTCAGAAAGTACGATGGCAGTGCACAGGTGAAGACTTTTTTGTTCCAATGGGCTTTTGGGAACTGACTACTTTAAATGAAGAGCGGGTGCCACGATGTTTTTACTGCAATCATTGGCATGGTTTTAATAGGGTGTGGGTGGGTGGGTATTGTTTTAACTCTACCAATGTTTCACAGGTGCAAAAATTTTGATGAGCCGGCCAAGTTTGATGGGGTTTTTGCTTCTCCTCAGGATGATGAAAATCAGAGCAGACTTTAAAGAGCTCCTATATCAGGAATGAGAAGCTGTGGTCCTCTAGGCCAGTGTTTCCCAAGCTTGGGTCTGCAGCTGTTGAATTACAAAAGCACAAGCAGTCTTTCTCTCTCTCTCTCTCTCTCTCTCTCTCTCTCTCTCTCTCTCTCTCTCTCTGCCTGCCAGCCAGCCTGTCTCAGATAATAGAATCTAGACTAGTAGGGATGTGAAATTGAGGCTGGCACAGATTAGGAGGGACGTGTCCTTGGAGTACTTGGAAGGGGGAAGATATTTAATTTGTTTTCAGCACTGTGCTTTACATTATGGTTTAGCACAATTACAATTCTAGCAATTTATGACACTGTCCTGAATCCGTTGTTCCTGGGTGCTGGCAAAGTGCTCCTTGACATCATCTGTAAATTCCTCCAACAAAGCCTCTTCATGCATCAGTTCCTTGTTCAGCTCAGTGCTGTTCTCAAACTCCTTCCTGGCTCTTCAGCTCTCTAGAATGAAGAAGACACCCCTTTAGTATTCCAAAGTCCATTAGGGGTGTAAGGGAGGCAGTTGTCCACTGTTGGATAAACCAGAATCCTAGCTTTCATCTACAACAAAGAATATGTTTCTTGCACTTTTTTCTGTTTGTTTACCTCATCGTCCACTCAGATTCTGCAGCTTCCTCTGAAACTCTATCCTTTTGTCTCTGCTAACTATCTCTCACTTCAGGTAGGTGTTTTCCCCATTTTCTGTCCAGCCCAAAGAGTTTATCTTAATGGCCTTCTTAATGAGTTAATGACTGACTATCATCACCCTTTTGTTCCTCCAACGACCCCATCCAGCTAGCTCTACTGACAGTGGCACCAACTCTAGGGGGCCATGGGGGCCTTGACACCCCCAAAATATTTGCTGTAAGTGCCCAGCCTCTGTCCTCTTCCACTGCTTCACACCACTCACCTTATTAATCCCAGGATTACTCTCCTCCTTTGCTGCTATCAGTGCTGTGTCTATTAACCTCAATTTCTTCCCTTCACCGCCATCCCTTCCCTTTTTCAGTGTACTGTATAGTCAGTTATAAGTGAAGGGCGGATTCAGGTCCATATTGGTGAGTCTGTATAAGAGTGAGAAAAAGAGAGTAAGAAAGAGAAAGATTCCAGAAAAACTTATGCAGAGTGTTATGTCAACAATAGGAGGTTTTTCTCCACTCAGGGGTGTCCTGGTGATACAAAATGCACCCCAAGGATATTGAGTCCCATTTCATTACTGAACTCCTCAGATTGGCTTGACACAGACTAAAGACAAGTCGAAGTAGTTATTCCAGTTCCACTGAGCTGCTTGCCCATAATTCATTTTCAATTCAATAGGCAATATGTTGAAACTCATCATACAGGTACTCACATATTAAAGCTTAGGGCCCCCCCACCTCCTCCATGAGGTTTTATCTCCTCAACACTTCTCAAATAAATAGACCTTTCCTTTTTAAGTTCTGCTAGTGCACATGTGGAGCATCTTTGACAAACTCCAGTGCCCATCATCCAGAGCCATTGGTCATGCTTTCTGGAGCTGATGGGAGTTGTAGTTCAGCTACTTGTGGAGTGTCAAAGGTTTCCTCACACCTGCCCTACAGGTCCTCTCTCTCAGACTGCAGGAGCCACCTAGGACAATCATTCACTGGTCTGTCCAAGACTCAGCCCCCACACAGCTCAAGAACTACAGGGGAAATATATATAGACAGCACTGCATAAGTGAAAAATGGCCCGTTTGGTCCACTATCTTGTTCTCACCATGGTGAACCAGATGCCTATGGGAAGTTCGCAAGCAGGATCTAATAGTGCCTACAGTGTTAGAGAGAGAAAATATCTCTTGAGGCTGGAAGCCAGCAACAGACTTATTAACCCCCTTGAATTTATCTATACCTTTTCTTAAGCCATCCAAGTTGGTGGCCTTCACTGCCTCTCATGAGATGGACTTTGTAGGAGGAACTGTGGTGTTGATGTGCCTTAATGTACCCATTTCCCATATGGGGATGGTGCTAAGGTTTTCTAAACCCATTTCCCCATGTCTGCAGTGGCATCTCTGAAATGTCAGTTTTGTTGGACTAAAGACGACGACTGCGAAAACACCATTCAGGAGTGTAATGAAGACATAGGTCAGCTCTGCATTTCTTCCGTTTCAGAGGCCGAATGGTGTAAGTGAGAAGAACTTTCAGCCTTTTGACCACCAGACATAAACCCCCAGACTTTCTAAGGCCATATCTTAGCTACAAACCACAGGGTGTGGCTTTTCATAATGCAGTGTTCTAGATCCTGTATTACATGTAGGAACCAGAGGGAAATTCAAGTCAGTTCACATTTGAAGGTGAGCTTACCTACTTGGCTCTTTCCAAAACAATATGAAAGCCAAACAAAGCCTTCCTTTCACATCCACACTTCTCCCATTTTTGCAATCCAGTTGTCCAGTCATGTAATTTATATTTTATTCTAGGTCTGTTCCCCTGCCAGATGAATCTAGAAATACCCTTTTGCCATTCCTTGAGGTGTCCTATCTGTTAGGATATTTCCGTTCCACCTTAAAAGGGAGCAGGCTTTGTGAGTCAGAGTCTGCGTATTTCCTGTTCACAGGATGTTTATGTTTTCTGTTGCTTTCGTTTTCTCTCTGGTGTCGCAGACACTAAAGCAGGCAGTCATGTTTTTCTGTGTTCTGATCAACGCTGAATAAACTTGTAAATAATGCTCTCCTGAGTGCAACTTTTGGCTGTGCTAATTGCTGATAGAGCGTGCATGAGCTCTGGAATGTGTACAAGATATTTTCTAGAAACTCATGTCGCTGCGTGCCTACGGGAGGCTGATGGATCGTCCGGCAGACGGCTTGGGGCCATGATGGACTTTATCTCCCTGGCAGTATCCCAACAACAGGTTTCGGGCCCAGATTCACAGCACTTACAGGAGAGTAAGACTGCGACAGACTGCTGAAAGGTATGTGGAGGAAAAGCGAAAGTGAGGCTTTTCTGTTTGCCGAGGCAAGGGCCTTTGAACTCCGGCAGATTAATGGATCTGGGAGCCGCGCCAAAGGCCTCAAGATTTATAGCTGCTAAGATAAGAAGGCATAAAGGCATAAAGTGCCGTCTTTGAAGGCATAAAGGCTCAAGGCTCAAGTAAAAAGCTGGAATGGAGTTTTTCCAGGCTGCTGAGGCTGCTGTGTGCCCAAAGTTAAATCGGCACAATTATGGGACCTGGGCTGTGTGGTGTGAGAGCTTGCTGCGTCAGTTTGGAGTGTGGCATACTGTGTCTGAAGCCCCTCCAGTTCCTCTGACAGATAGATGGAAGGCCGAGAATTCGAAGGCCGTTGACGTAATCGTCTTGTCCGTCTCTCTGGAGGAAATAAAAACGCTAGCTGGCAATCTGACTGCACGTAATATGTGGCATGCTTTGAAGATAGCCCATTTGCCAGTCATCCCAGCCCAGAGTTTGACTGCATCGGAGGTCCTGGCTGTTTCCCAGAATGCGAGTGAATGCAGGGATGCTGAGGGCACCGGTTGCAAGCTGCAGGGGAGCTGACTGTCACGTCATCCCAGGCAGCATTCCAGCCTCCAGGGAGCCAAGGAGTCGGCAGCTGAGAGCTCTGTTTCTCATGGGAGCCAAGGTCATCGCCTTTGCAGAGGCCGGAAGGGCAAAGGTAAACAGAGGCAGACGCCTGCAGATGGCCAGAAGCAGAGGGAGGGTGAAGAGCCCACGCCAGAGGAAAACAAGGTTTTGTTTGCTGGCACAGCTTCACCAAAGGCTAAAGGCAAGTCTAATGGCCAGGAGCAGGGGGCAAGCTGCAAAAGCCCACGCCGGTGGAAAACAAGGTTTGCTTGCTGCAAAGGCTGCTCCAAAAGCCAAGGCCAGGTTTGTTGTTGATTCAGGCTGTACCCGCCATGTCTCAAAGGACCGCCACCTATTTATCTCCTTCAAACCTCAAGAAGGTGAGATCCACCTGGCTGACGGAAAGACGTTGCGAATCGCAGGAGAAGGGACTGTGAAACTGGCAAGTCTGCACACTACCATCAAAGATGTACTGTATGTTCCAGGTGCTGCAGACAATTTGCTCAGTGTCCCACAGCTGACTGGGCGTGGTTTTGAGATTTCCTTCAAGAGGAGCGTCTGTGTCATCAGAAAAGGCAAAGAGGACATTTTGCATGCAAAGTTTATGGATGGCTTGTTCTGTATAACTTATGATGACATTGGTGCTGTTGTGTCTAATGTTGATTCTTGTTGTGTTGCACAAACTAACAAAGTTCTTCATGCAGGATGCATTCACGATGCACATCGAAGATTTTGTCACATGTCTTGGCAGGCGCTGGCCAAGATGCCAGAGATGGTTGAGGGTTTGAACATCAAACCCTGTAAGTTTCACATGAAATGTGTATCTTGTGCAGAGAACAAGGTGAAGGTTGCTCCAAAAGGCAAGGAGTCTAGCAGGCAGGCTTCCAAGCCCTACCAGCTAGTGCACGCAGACCTGGTTGGTCCACTTGCGCCCTCTTTGGGTGGAGCAAGGTACTTCATGGTTCTAATTGATTCTTTTTCCAGGTACATTCATGTGTTTATGCTCGAGCAGAAATCGCAAGCGTTTCCTAAGTTCAAGGCATTCTGTGCTTGGTTGGAGAATGTTCACGGTAAGCGTAGTGGCTGTCTGTTTACTGATCGAGGCCGGGAGTTCACTTCTCAGCAGTGTGACGCTTTCCTGACTGAGAAGGGACTCCAGCCTGACTTGTCCACGCCTAGATCGCCAGGGCTGACTGGGCTTGCGGAGCGAAGCAAATCAAACGTTGCTGCAAGGAATGAAAACATTGTTGCATGATGCCAATCTCCTGATAAGTATTGGGGAGGCTCTGTCGAATTTTGCTTACACTTATAATCGCAGATTGTCATCACCTATTGGTTGTACTCCCTATGAGAAGATGTTTGGTAAGAAACCCAACATCAAACACATGAGAATCTTTGGTTCTGACATGTGGGTACACACCCACAGAGCAACAAGCTTGGGAAGCGTGGGGCACATGGTTTGTTCATGGGGTACGAAAAGGTGCATACAGGGTATGGATGACCAACTCTAAGTCCATTAAGTTCACAAAGAGTGTTGAGTACAATCCTAAGTGGGGAAAATGTGGGAATTTTCCAGAGTTACCCAGAGGAGGATGAAGGTGATGTCAAAGAAGCAGCTAAAGCTGAGGAAGCTGCTGAGGATGATGATGATGATGATGATCAGAGTTCGGATTCCAGTTCAGTGGGCGGCGCTGCTGCTGGTGTCAGTGACAGTGATGACACAGCAGACTACAAGAGCGCAAAGGCCTCAGTCAGACCATCTGATGCGTCTGACAATGAACTGGAAGAACCACTGTTCACCATTGGTCACTTTTCTCCTAAGAAGGAGGAGATGAGTCCAGAAGACTTGCGTCTAGTACGCAGATCTGAAAGAGCCACAAAGGGCAGACCTCCAAAGAGATTTGCTGATGAGTTTGCTAAGACAGCAACTGCTGTTCTTAGTAGCTCAGAGAAGGTGTGGGAACCTTCAAGCTTCAAAGAGGTTCAGGAGTTAACCTCTAAAGATGCTGAGCCTTGGCTTAATGCCATGAAGGCTGAAGTTGATTCCTTGAATAGGAACCAAACTTGGGAACTGGTACCGGTAGTCCCAGGAATGAGACTGGTTGGCAGCAAATGGGTCTTCAAGGCCAAGACAGACCAGAATGGCAAGGTTGTCAGACACAAAGCCAGATTGGTTGCCAGAGGTTTTCACAGGTACCAGGACAGGATTACCACGAGACCTACTCACCCACCGTCAAATATGAGAGCATTCGGCTGATGCTCAAGATAGCTGCAGAGGAGAAACTGCATGTTTCCCATCATGACATTAATACAGCTTTTTGTACGGGATTTTGGAGGAGGAGCTGTTTATGCTTCCACCTGACGGGATGCAGATACAGAAGGGAATGGTCTGTAAACTGCGGAAATCCTTATATGGTCTCAAGCAGAGTGCCAGGTGTTGGAACACGAAACTCACTGAGACGTTGCTTTCTCTAGGTTTTCACCAGGGCAAAGCTGATCCATGTGTGTTTGTCAAGGAGGAGGGGCAAAACAAACTGTATTGTTTATGTTTTGTTGATGATCTTCTGATGTTTTGGAAGAATCAGGCTTTCTACCAAAGCACCCTAGCTCAGCTGAAGGAGCACTTTGACATGAAGGATCTTGGTGAGGTATCCAACTATCTTTCTCTGCAGGTGGAGAGGGACCAAGCAGGTAATTTTCTGGTACACCAAACACAGAAAATTGCTGATGTATTAACCAGGTTGAATTTGGTTGATGCAAACCCAGCAGACACACCGATGGTGACAGGTTACCAGGTAGACAGTACTGCTGAAGCGTTTTCTGACACAACGCTGTACAGATGCATTCTAGGCAAGTTGAATTTCATTGCTAGATGCTCAAGACCTGACATAGCTGTAAGCTGCTAACCTGCTTAGCAGACATGCCAACAATCCTACTGTTCAGGATTGGAAAGCTCTGAAGCGCATAGCCCGCTATTTGAAAGGGACTTTGCACTACAGGCTGAGGTTCACCAGTCAGAAGACTGGAGGTCTTGAAATCTTTGCAGATGCAAGTTTTGGAAGTGACACCACGGATGGTACAAGCACTTCTGGGGTATGCTACATGTACAACCACTGCCTGTTTGACTGGTTGTGCAAAAGCAGACGACAGTGAGCCTAAGTTCCTGTGAAGCAGAACTCAATGCTCTGTCATTTTCACTCATGGATTGTGAATGGTTGATGCAACTGTTTAAGGACATCGGAGTTTCTGTGAAATGTCCTGTACAAGTGTATCAAGACAATAGATCGTGTTTGGCTTTGCTGAACTCGGAGAGTTGCAAGCAAAGGACCAAGTACTTGCAGATTAAGCTACATCGTGCAAGAGAGTGTATTCAGAAAGGACTCATTCAGGTGTCCTACATGCCAGGAAATGAAATTCCTGCTGATCTGTTGTCTAAGGTTGTTAACAGAGAACAACTTAAGGTTTATGTACAAAGGTTGCAATTGGGTTGAACCACAGGTACTACAGGTTACACGGAAAGGGGAGGATGTTAGGATATTTCCGTTCCACCTTAAAAGGGAGCAGGCTTTGTGAGTCAGAGTCTGCGTATTTCCTGTTCACAGGATGTTTATGTTTTCTGTTGCTTTCGTTTTCTCTCTGGTGTCGCAGACACTAAAGCAGTCAGTCATGTTTTTCTGTGTTCTGATCAACGCTGAATAAACTTGTAAATAATGCTCTCCTGAGTGCAACTTTTGGCTGTGCTAATTGCTGATAGAGCGTGCATGAGCTCTGGAATGTGTACAAGATATTTTCTAGAAACTCATGTCGCTGCGTGCCTACGGGAGGTCGAGGGATCGTCCGGCAGACGGCTTGGGGCCATGATGGACTTTATCTCCCTGGCAGTATCCCAACACTATCTTCCTATCACTGGTATTGACTGGAATAGAAACAGCATTCTCTGCTGGTGAATTTTCATGAGGACTTTTCAAAAGTTCTCCATCCCTGCCTCACGTTCAACAAATAGATAAAACTCTCTCCGCTCCAGGCCAGGCCAGCCCAAGATATTGTGACACCTCAGGCGAACCATGAAATGCTGCCCACCCGCCAGGCAGGGAAGAAGGGGGGACTGAAGATCTACATCAGGAACAAGGGGGTGGGAATGGGGATCTACACTGGAATTTTATGTGGGAATAAGATGTACGTTGGCAACAAGGCTGGGAGGAGACCAGAAGCACCTCCTAATTGCCAAGAGGCCATTACAGGGCGGCATTTGGAGGGGCTGCTGAGGAGGTGGCAGATCTGGCCTCCAAGGAACAAACCACAGCTGCAAACATGGCAGCAGCCTGCAATGCTTTCATAGGAGGCTGCCCCTGGGGATATTTCCTCTTGTGTGGGCAAGCCATATCTCCAGGTCTTGTTTTTTCTTTCCTCTATAGTGGCTTTTGGGAGGAAATTTGTTTACAGGTCCTGCGCCAATGGACAGTTTTGCCAAACAGGCTATTCCAGGGCCACCGTAACGCCAAATATGTACATGGTGACCAAGACCTACTGCTGTGACACAGATATGTGCAACAGTGAACGTGTTGTTCGTGAGTCGTAGCTGCAGCCGCAGCTGCAGTGGGGGTGCAAGAGGGCTGGTTGCCCCGGGTGCATTCGCTTCCCTCTCCCTGCTGGGAAGACCCCTCCCCAGACCCCACCAACATCACTGCCACCCAGCTCTGACAGGAGCCATTTCCAGGAAGGGCAGGGGCAACTCACCTTCCCCTTGGGGAGAGGAAGAGAGGTGGGGACACCATGGACGTGAAGGACAGGCCTCTCAGCAGAGTCTGCCTCTCTCTCTCTCCCTCCCTCCTGCCTCCAGTCCTTTTCCAAATTAGAGACAGAAACTTGGGTTGGGATTTGAACTGAGAACCCCAAAGCTTGAAGTTAGGCTGGGCTGAACTACATATTGAGGCCTCCTCAGGTGTGACTGGTGAGGCACTATGATGCCTCTGGATTGGCCAGGCCTTCTACAACCATCCGCAACGTGGGCTCCAGCCTTTGCCAAGGGATCTGTGCATTCTAAGAGGATATCTGCATTACATAATAACATAGTAAAACAATAGCAAATATTAAAAAACCCCAAACTCGTGTTTAAATACTATAAATATAACACAATCACTTGCAGCAACCATTAGCAAAAATAACCAGAGAGCTTGACAGTTTTACCTTAGTCTAAGAAACACCCCTCACCTGGGTCCCTCTCCTGCAGCAGCTTTAATATTTACCCTTTGCTCCAAAGAGCTCACCATTTTAGACTCAAAAAACCCTGTGAAACAGGTCAGGCTGAAAGATGATGGTTGGGTGGTGATTGTTTTACAGTGCCTGAGCCTGAGAAGAGGGAGCTCAATGGGCTGAAGTGTCCAAGTTGCCTCTACTTAGGAGGAGATCGGTGCACCTACATGAAAAACACCATCAGCTGCAGAAATGACGAGGACCACTGCTTCTACTTTGGGGGTAGCGGCACTTACGGTGAGTTTCTGCATTCGCTGAGTGCAGCTAGGGCCCCATTTGCCCTATGCATTTAAAGCAGTATCACTCCACCTTGAACAGTCATGGCTTCTCCCAAAATATGTTGGCATGGGTGTTGAAAGTTATTAGGAGACCCCCATTATCTTCACAGTGTGTCTGGGATAGTCAGGAGCCCTAGGAGGAGGGATGTGTGAGCTGAGGAGGCAGGCAGAGGAGCATCCAGGGGAGGGGCTAGTGATTTGTGGGCTTCTGTGCCACCCGTGAGGCAGCTCCTGGTGGTGGTGGAAGAGAGGAGTCAGGAGGAGGAGACCAGGAAGCCAAATACAAAGCAGGAGAAAGAGGAGGAGAAGAGTTGCAGGACGTCTCTTTTTCTTCCCACTCATCCACCCTCCCTCAGAGTCTGGAGAGCTTGTGGTGCTCCCAGAGAGAGTCATAGCTTTGGAAACCTCTGGATCCTCCCTGCACTTCCACTTGTCCCATACCTAGAAAGCACAGTTCCCGGTTGTTTTCCACTTGCAACATCCTTTCTAGGCACAGGGTCTGATTGGTTTTGCCTTGCCCCACTGCTTTCCTCCCAAGAAATCTGCAGAAAATCCTGATTGCTGATTGTTCTGATTCTGCACTGAATTACAGGGCTTTCCCCAGGGGAAAGCGGCAGAGCAAGACAAGCTCTTGTGATTCACAAAGCTTAAGTAGCATGTAATCAAGCCCAGGCTGCTGCTGTCACTCCCAAAGCTGGACCAAGTTGGGAGTTTGTAATCCACGATCCTAGTTCTCCATCACTTAAGCTAAGAACTGGACCATAGATTTCCAGTGGAACCTGAAGTGCAGCCGGCAGAATAGACTGCTCTGTTATCAAGTCTAGATGTGCCCCATGGTGGTGGACAGCTGCCGGGAACATACTGGTGACAGCCAGATGCATATGGAATTAGTGTTCCATATTGTGCTCTTCTGAAAACTGCAAGATCATTAATAAACCTTGATGAATTCCTGCTTAGATCCCTGTAGCTGTTTATTCCATTTCCCCCCCCCCACACACACACACATGTCTGTGTGTTTTTTTCAACAGGGAATAATACGGTAAAGATTGCTACCCGAGGCTGTGCAACAGCAAATATGTGTCGCTCCATTCATGGATTGACAGAGATTAAGGGTGATTATTTGGGAGTCCGGATCACTAGAGCAGAGTGCTTCAAAGCAAATCACTCTGTCTATGAACTGTAGTTGAGAGAGAGAACAAATCTCCAACTCCCAGAAGAACCCACAATTTAGGGAAATCGGCTGCCTTGTGCTTGAATCAGGGGAGGTCTCAGCCTGAAGCCTCTTAGGCTTTATTTCCAGAATTCTAGAGGCTCCTCCTCAAGGAAAGGCTGTATTTGACTTTCCTGTTCAAATGAGGTCATTGAAGCATGTCCAAAATAAATATATGTAGCCAATAATGAGTGTTGTATCCTGTGTGTGTTTTTTCCAAATGCAACATTTGTTGGGGGGAACATTTGCCAGGGATGTAGTAGAGTCAGACGACTGGGAAAGGTCTGACTCTGAGACTGAGAGAACGCAGACACAGGCAGCACCAGAGTGGGTGAGTTGAGCCTGCACCCTTCAGAGTTTCAAGACATTTTAGAGCAGCAGACCCAGGAAGCTCACAGTCTGGGAATGAAGGGGGAGACGACCTTGGGGGGAGTTGCTAGGCAACCTGGAGGAAAGCAGCATTCAGAGTACACTTCTTTAGAGAGTGGGGGTGAAGTCTGCCCACTTTCTCCACAAAGCAGGAGATAGGAAAGGGTTAAGATGCAACAGAAGGACAAGAGGGGAAGGACTGGACATTGTCGGCCTTCATGTTGCGTACACGGCAGGGACACAGACTGGGCAATTCTTAGCCGAGAATGGCGGGCTCGTGCCGCTCTCTGTGTGTTAATTGTTAATAAACTTACCATAAATCTTCCAAGAGGCTCATTAATTCGTATCGGAGCTTGTTTGCCTGCCTGAGATCATTACATCTCCCTAATAAAGAGGACTGTTTTGTAGAACATTGTCCACCATTGTCTGTGTGTGTGTGTGTGGGTGGGTGTGTGGGTGTGGGTGTGGGTGTGTGTGGGTGTGTGTGGGCTACCATTTTGTATCTTGGAATGTAGCCCTGAGTGAATGGAGCGAGGCCGAAGCGCTGCACTTGGAGAAATGCTGGAAGCTGGTACAATTCCCGCCACTCACCTACAACGAGAGGTGGATTGCATCTGCAAAAGAAATACGCTGAGCAGACTAACGGCAAGGGTTGTTTGACATTGCCTGAGTATGAGCAGAGGATGCCCAACGGGCTCAAGGGCCCAAGTTGCTTCTCCCTCATGTCAGATACTTGTGTGGCTCAACTATAAAAATAAGGAGGATCGCTGCTTCTACTATGGAGTCAGCATCAGTACTGGTGAGTCTTGTATAATGGGGTGCAGCATTTACAGCAGTATCATCAAAAACGGTGGGAAATGTAGATTATTAAGGGGGCTGAAAGTTATTAGAAGACCCACCTCAATTACCCTCACAGAGTGTCAGGGATGGGCAGGGCCCCAAAGGGGGTGATGTGTGGGCAGAGGAGACAGGCGCAGAGGAGTTGGGTGAAGGTTACAGGGGAAGGGGCATAGGAGCTAATTCCTAGGAGCAGCGGGGGCTTTGGCCCCCACAATAAAATATTTGAGGTGCCTCCCCCCCCCCAAGTTAATGGGCATTGCTATTGTGCACTGCATCATGTAGTCAATTATGCAGGGCAGGGCTTGCCTGGGCTACCACAATATTTTATTCTAGGCATCGCAGGGAAGGGGCTAGGGAATTCTGGGGTTCTGTGCCACCAGTGAGGCTTCTCCTAGTGGTGTTCCTGGAGAAGTCTGAAGGAGGAGACCTCGAGGAGGAGGAGACGACAGGAGAAGAGCTGCAAGGGGTATGAGCTTTCGTGTGCATGTACACTTCTTCAGATAGTTTGGAGAGCTTGTGGTGCACCCACAGGCAGTCATATCTTTGGAAACCTCTGGATCCCCCCCTCCACTTCCACTTGTCCCATGCCTGGAAAGCACAGTTCCAGGTGGTTTTCCACTTGCACCATCCTTTCCAGGCACGGGTCTGATTGGTGTTGCCTTGCCCCACTGCCAGTGGTGGAGCTTCATGCTCCGGCACCGGGGGGGGTAGAGAGCAGGCAGGGGCGGGCCTGGTGAGCATCCCAGTGGTATGGCGCACCACCCGTAGGGGCACATCATGGGGGCGTGGCACCAGCGTGTTCAGAGGGACAGCCATGATGGCGCACTGCCGGGTTCACGCTGCCGGGAGCGGTGCGCTCCCCCCTCACGCCTCTTCCTCCGCCAGTGCCCACTGCTTTCCTTCCAGGAAATTTGCAGAAAAACCTGATTGCTGTTTGTTCCAATTCAGCACTAAACCACAGGATTTTTCACAGGGGAAAGTGGTGCAGAGGTTTGCGTGACACCTGGCTGTGTTCAGGACACAGAGCTACCATTTCCTTTTTTCTTTTGAAATTTTTTTATTCAATTTTTCATAACACATTTCAATTTAAGCATATCATTCACCTTCACATTTGGATTCCCAGAATCCCTTGACTTCCCCCCGCCCCTCTCTGGCTTCCATATCTATCCTTTCTTCAGCTTATCTTCAGCTTATCTTTCCCATTCTCTCTCAAACTTCTTCTCGTCCTGGTCTCTCATTCTCCTGGTCACTTTCGCCATTTCGGTGTAGTCCATCATCATCATCCACTCTTCTTTGGTTGGAACTTTATCCTCTTTCCATCTCCAGGCCCATAGTATTCTCACTGCTGTCATTACCTACATTAAAAGTTTTTATTGCTCTCTCTCAGCTGGCAACAAAGACTGCTCTGTTAGCAAAAATTGGCCCCTCGGTTGGAGGCGATGGGGTAGGCAGGGGACCCAAAGGTGTGCTGCATGGGAGCCTTTTATAATTTGCTTAGGGTCAATTTGTAGAGCATCCCATTTCAAACTTGGATTTTCTAGAAGCACCTGCGAGAGACAATTGGAAAGAAATAGCTACATCTGCAAAAACAAAACAAAACAAATCCTGCCATTCCTTATCAAAATGATGCATTATAACATATTTTTGGCCAAAGGGGTAATATAAGAAAAGAAAATCCTACAATATTTGTAAGCTAATACTTCAGCAATTTCTTTAAGAATCAATCAACGAATACAGCATATTTTCTTCTGCAAAGGCTCCACAAGGAAGTAACATCTGCCTTGACTCTAGCATTCCTTGTTTTCCACTGCATGCATATAAGCTACAGAGAAAATCTATCACCTTCCAAATCCACTGCCACATGTGTCTGTGTCATAGTCAGTAAATTGTAGTGTTCAAACTCTTTCTTAGGAAAAACACAATTTTCACAGAGTGTTAGGCCTAATGAGCACAGCAGATCATTCCCTGTGGGTCTTCCTCCATGAAATCAACTGCCAAGATGAAAAGTCCCCGACGCCCCATATCTGCCTATGTCTCCTCCTCTCCAGGGCTTTTTCCAAGACTGAGACTGTGAGCAGCTAATCTTTCCTCTGTCCTTTTTATGCCCCTCCTGGGGTTTTTTCAGTAGGAGGACAAAGAGGAAGAGCCTGTTGCAGCAGGAAGGGAAGACACCTGTAACCAGAGGCACCAACCTGGGCCCCAGATTGTGGGTGCCCCCCCACACACACACAACGTGATGCCATGACATCAACATCACATCATGCCATCACCTGCTGCCCTTCAAGTAAAGATGTGTATTGATGCTAGGAGATGATGTATTTATTGGATATTATCCAATAGATTGCCGAAAGAAATATCAACAACCTCAGATATGCAGATGACACAACCTTGATGGCAGAAATTGAGGAGGAATTAAAGAACCTTATAATTAGGGTGAAAGAGGAGAGCGCAAAATATGGTCTGAAGCTCAACATCAAAAAATAAAGATCATGGCCACTGGGCCCACCACCTCCTGGCAAATAGAAGGGGAAGAAATGAAAGCAGTGAGAGATTTTACTTTCTTGGGCTCCATGATCACTGCAGATGGTGACAGCAGTCACGAAATTAAAAGACGCCTGCTTCTTGGGTGAAAAGCAATGACAAACCTAGACAGCATCTTAAAAAGCAGAGACATCACCTTGCCAACAATGGTCTGTATAGTTAAAGCTATGGTTTTCCCAGTAGTGATGTATGGAAGTGAGAGCTGGACCATAAAGAAGGCTGATCGCCGAAGAATTGATGCTTTTGAATTATGGTGCTGGAGGAGACTCTTGAGAGTCCCATGGACTGCAAGAAGATCAAACCTATCCATTCTGAAGGAAATCAGCCCTGAGTGCTCACTGGAAGGACAGATCCTGAAGCTGAGGCTCCAATACTTTGGCCACCTCATGAGAAGAGAAGACTCCCTGGAAAAGACCCTGATGCTGGGAAAGATGGAGGGCACAAGGAGAAGGGGACGACAGAGGACGAGATGGTTGGACAGTGTTCTTGAAGCTACCAAGATGAGTCTGACCAAACTGCGAGAGGCAGTGGATGACAGGAGTGCCTGGCGTGCTCTGGTCCATGGGGTCATGAAGAATCGGACATGACTAAATGCCTACACCCTCCCCAGAGCGGTGGGAGTGTCTCTCAGAGTTCGTTCTGGGAAACTTTCAGGAAGGAACTCGGAGGGCTTCAGCTCCTGTCATTTGCCTATGTAGCAAACATGCACTGTTGGTTTGGCTGCATGGTAAATATCCCACACTTCACAGGCGGATGGCAGTCCCCTCAGAAGGCGGAGCACATCGTCCACAGGAGAGGCAAGGAAAGTCCACCTTCTCACTCACCTCTCACCTTGCCCAGTCACGCTATCTTTCACCAGGACGTCAGTGCCACCTCTCTGTTTCCATGGGGACAAGTAGGCAGAGGCATGTTGGCAGAAGAGGAAGCAGAGGGAGGAAGAGGCCTCGGGGCATATTAGGTAGTCTTACACAAAATGAAAATGCTAGTCTTCACACAATATATGGAAACATTTTTGGAGGTCCCCCTTGTGACCCCAAGCAGAGGAACGATGTACCACCTGACCCACCCCTTTCCTGGGCCCTGTGGAGGGGCAGGCAGTGGCTGCATTTGGCCCCCAGGTCAGAGGTTTCCCTCTCATGGTATACATTACTAAAGGCCTCCAAAGTTTCCCAATTTTCTCTCTCCTTTGGCTTCCCTTACTCAGGCAAATGAACAGCTTGGTGATTTTAGAAAGAAATTGTGAAACCATGTTTCTTCAGCAAGTACTGTTGGTTTCTGCTTTCCTTCACTGTGCAGCTCTGCTTGTCATGAGACAGGTGTTTACATTCCACAGTCTGTACTGTTGGAGTTTCTCACGGGAAAGGGAGACTGGATGTGACGTACACTGGTTTCCTGTTTTTCACTGTGTGATTCTCTCCGAGCTGTCGAGGAGAGAGGATGCATTTTCTGCTCTTGCAGAGGCAAGATGTCTTTCTGTAATATACCAGCTTTGAACTGTAAATAAAGCAATATAGAGTATGCAGCACGTATTCTCATCCTTCCGTTGGGCACGACAGACTCTGCTTAAATCAACACGTGGTTATGGGCCCAGAGGTCGAATCGGAGTGCCGGCAAAGGAACGGAATGCAGAGGGAGGACGGATCGGAAAGGAATCTGCTCTGCGCGTAGAAGTGATTGATGAGGTATGTGCTACTGCTCCGGGCAGCCTGCCAGCTTCAAGTTAATGGCTTTATGGCTGGACTTTGAACTTTTAAAGCCGGTTTTGCTGGGAATAGGCAAAAGGCTCCCAGGCACAAGTCACTATGCTGGGGAAATCGAAGTAACTTTTAAGTGTGCCTTTGTAATGAGGCAGCTGCAGCAGTGACGCAGCAAGATTTAAAGCAGCATATGACGCTGAAGGCTAATGCCAGAGTCATGATGGCCCTTCAGGATGCTTGTGGGATTCCTAAGCTCAACAAGAAAAATTACAGCGACTGGGTTCAGTATGCAGAGGCAATTCTGCGGAAAGAGGGTTTGTTTGAGGTGATTACAGGAACCCCCAGTTCCAGTTACAGATGCATGGGAAGCTAAGGATTCCAAAGCAAGGGGAACTCTTACATTGATAGTATCCCCAGAAGAGCTCTGTCTATTGCGTGATAAGACCTCAGCCAGAGAAATTTGGGACGCTCTGAGAGAGGCTCACTTAAGGACAGAAGCTGGATCCACTATGTATTACTTTAACAAGCTGCATAATATGGCTCTTGCTGAAGGTGGAGATGTGCGTTTACATCTGATGCAGATGCAAAATCTGAGACATGAGCTGCAACAGAGAGGACTCCAACTTTCCAGAGGCTGTGTATTCTTTCATGATACTACAATCTTTGGGTTCAGGTTGGGAGTCTGTTGCAACCCAGATTGCTGTGCAACCAACTGCTCAGCTGACAGTGGACTTTGTTACTGCCGTGATTTTAAATGAAGCAGATCGCCGGGGTGCTAGCTGCATGGGCAAGGGAGTCTTCACAGACGTCATCCCATAGTGCAGTGGAACCACCAGATGGCGCCAAAGCTTTGAAGGCAGTGAAATGCTACTCGTGTGGACGTCTAGGCCATATGAAGAGGAATGCAGACATCCCAGGGCCAAGACAGAGCAGCGCAGCGGCTCATCGCGCGGAAAGGCCGAGGCAAAGGCAAAGGTCCGGTGTCTAGGACAACGCAGCACAAGGCTATGGTTTCACGCTTCACTCCAAAGGTTGCAGAGGTCCAGAAGACGTCTAGATCTTTCTTCGTTGTTGATTCAGCGGCCACCCACCACATGTGCAACGATAAGAAACTGTTTGTGTCTTTTACACCGCAGGAAGGTGCGATTCACCAGGCGGATGACCACACTATTCCCAGTAAAGGCTACGGAACTGTTGTTCTTCACAGTTTGGACTTATCGATACAGAATGTGCTTTACGTGCCAGACGCCAAACATAATCTGCTCAGCGTTGGACAGCTGAATGAGCGGAACATTGACGTTTCCTTCAAGAACAAGAAGTGCATCATCACAAAGAAAAATGATTATGTATTGCATGCAGAATATGTTGATCATTTGTTTGTTTTGTATTATGATGATGTGGTGCAGGATGACACTTGTTGCATTGCAGGTTCTAACAAAAGTTTGCATGCAGAATGTATTCACGATTTTCATCGCAAATTTGGTCATTTGCATTTTGAGGCAGTATCTAAAATGCCTGCCTTGGTTGAAGGTATGACTATTAAACCCTGCAGGTACCACATGAAGTGCAAAGCATGCGCAGCAAACAAGGTGAAAATGGCTGCGAAAGGTAAGGTGTCTAGTAGGAAAGCTACAGAACCATACCAGGTTGTTCATGCTGATTTGGTTGGACCACTATCGCCCTCTTTGGGTGGAAATAGATACTTCATGGTTCTCATTGATGCATTTTCTAGATATATTTTTGTGTACAATCTCAAGCAGAAATCGGAGGCTTTTCCTAGGTTCAAGGAATTCTGTGCTTGGTTGGAAAATGTGCATGGTAAGAAGATAAAGACTCTTTTCAGTGATCGCGGGGGGAAATTCACTTCTCAGCAGTTTGAAGCTTTTCTGACTGAGAAAGGAATTCAACACGATTTGTCTAGTCCTCGCTCGCCATGGCAGAATGGACTTGCGGAACGGGCAAATCAGACATTGCTTCAAGGATTAAAAACCTTGCTGCATGATGCCAATCTTCCAGAGAGTTATTGGGCCGAATCTCTCTCGTGTTTTGTTTACAGTTACAATCGCAGGCTATCTTCAGCGATTGGTTGTACCCCCTATGAGAAGATGTTTGGCAGAAGCCATACATCAAACACATGAAGATTTTGGTTCTGACATGTGGGTTCGCTCACCACAAAACTCCAAGTTAGACAAGCGTGGATTGCATGGTATCTTTCTAGGTTATCAGAAAGGGTCTTACAGAATAATGATGACTGACTCTAAGACAATTAAGCTCACGAGAAGTGTTGAGTACAATGCAAAGTGGGGGGAGAATGTGGGAATTTTCCAATGTCATCCTGATGACGGTGAGGAGACTGAGGATAGTCAAAAGCAACCACAACAACCCACACCCACTGATGAAGGTTCTGAGTCTGAATCTGAAACTGAATCGGGTGATTCAGAGGATTTCAAGAGTGCGAAAGCCTCTATGCGACCCTCTGAAAGCTCTGATCAAGAATTGGAGGAACCATTGTTCACAATAGGTCGTTTTTCTCCTAAGAAGGAAGAGGAGAGTGTTGAAGACTTAAGGCTAATTCGTAGGTCACAGAGAGCCACAAAAGGCAAACCTCCAAAGAGATTTGCTGATGAGTTTGCTAAGATAGCAGTAACAGCTGTTAAAAGCTCCAAGAAGGTATTTGAACCTTCAAGTTTCCAAGAAATCCAGGGTTTGGATTCAAAGGAAGCTGAGCCATGGTTAAATGCCATGAAGGCTGAGCTTGATTCCTTAGAAAGGAACAAAACATGGGAGCTAGTTCCAGTAGTTCCAGGAATGAAACTGCTTGGAAGCAAATGGGTCTTCAAAGCGAAGACAGATCAAAATGGCAAGATAGTCAGACACAAAGCCAGATTGGTAGCCAGAGGTTTTGCACAGGTACCAGGTGAAGACTATCACGAGACCTATTCACCCACAGTGAGATATGAAAGCATTAGGCTTATGCTCAAGCTAGCTGCAGAGGAAAATCTACACATTAGTCACCATGATATTAATACAGCTTTTCTGTACGGATCTCTAGATGAATCACTTTATATGCTTCCACCTGATGGCGTACAGGTAAAACAGGGATTTGTTTGTGCTCTGAAGAAATCCCTTTATGGTCTCAAACAAAGTGCACGGTGTTGGCACACAAAACTCACTGAAGTATTGTTTTCTCTAGGTTTTCAGCAAGGGAAAGCTGATCCATGTGTATTTGTCAAAGAGGAGGGGCAAAAGAAACTGTACTGTTTGTTTTATGTTGATGATTTATTATTCTTTTGGAAAGATGTTGCAATGTACAATAGCGCCCTAGCTCAACTGAAAGAGCACTTTGACATGAAAGATCTTGGTGAGGTAAACAACTACCTATCTCTGGAAATAGAGAGAGATCAAGATGGTAACATTCTAGTACACCAGTCACGGAAAATTGCTGATGTGTTAAGCAAACTAAATCTGATGGATGCTAACCCTGTAGACACACCGATGACAACAGGTTATCAGGTAGATGACACTGAAGAAGCATTTTCTGACACTACACTGTACAGGAGTGTGCTAGGCAAGCTAAACTTCATTGCCAGATGTTCAAGACCAGACATTGCTGTTAGCTGTAATTTGCTAAGCAGACAAGTCAACAATCCTAGTGTCAAGGATTGGAAAGCTCTGAAACGCATAGCGCGGTATTTGAAAGGCACTATGCATTACAGACTGAGATTTAACAATCAGAAGTCTGGTGGTCTTGAGATATTTGCAGATGCAAGTTTTGGAAGTGACACTACAGACAGGAAAAGTACGTCTGGAGTTTGCTACATGTACAATCAGGGTCTGTTTGATTGGTCATGCAAGAAGCAAACAACAGTTAGCTTAAGTACTTGTGAAGCCGAACTGAATGCACTGTCTTATTCACTTAAGGATTGTGAATGGTTAGTACAATTGTGCAAAGATATGAAAATTCCTGTCAAATGTCCAATCCAGGTTTACCAGGACAACAAAGCATGTTTGGCTTTGCTGAAGTCTGAAGGTTGTAAGCAAAGCACAAAGCACTTGCAATTAAAGTTGCAGCATGCTAGGGAATGTATTCAGAAGGGACTCGTAACGGTGTCCTATATGCCAGGTAATGAAATTCCTGCTGATGTATTGTCCAAGATTGTATCAAGGGATCAACACTGTACCTATGTGCAGAAGTTGGGTTTGTACTGATATTGTGCAAACACGCTGCCCAGTGATGTTCACAGAAAGGGGGAGGATGTTGGTTTCTGCTTTCCTTCACTGTGCAGCTCTGCTTGTCATGAGACAGGTGTTTACATTCCACAGTCTGTACTGTACTGTTGGGTTTTCTCACGGGAAAGGGAGACTGGATGTGACGTACACTGGTTTCCTGTTTTTCACTGTGTGTGATTCTCTCCGAGCTGTCCAGGAGAGAGGATGCATTTTCTGCTCTTGCAGAGGCAAGATGTCTTTCTGTAATATACCAGCTTTGAACTGTAAATAAAGCAATAAAGAGTATGCAGCACGTATTCTCATCCTTCCGTTGGGCACGACAGACTCTGCTTAAATCAAAGGAAGCAGAGGGAGGAAGAGGCCTCGGGGCATATTAGGTAGTCTTACACAAAATGAAAATGCTAGTCTTCACACAATATATGGAAACATTTTTGGAGGTCCCCCTTGTGACCCCAAGCAGAGGAACGATGTACCACCTGACCCACCCCCTTTCCTTGGCCCTGTGGAGGGGCAGGCAGTGGCTGCATTTGGCCCCCAGGTCAGAGGTTTCCCTCTCATGGTATACATTACTAAAGGCCTCCAAAGTTTCCCAATTTTCTCTCTCCTTTGGCTTCCCTTACTCAGGCAAATGAACAGCTTGGTGATTTTAGAAAGAAATTGTGAAACCATGTTTCTTCAGCAAGTACATTGTGAATCCACTCGCCTTCAGTGGGTACACTGGGTGAGCAATCAAGATTTGGCCAAATGTTATATTTCCCACAAGCTTCCACTGGCTAGAGCTTACATCAGCCTGCTGAACCAGGCCAGCTGTTCCAGAACCCTGTTGTCGCAATGGCCAGCCAGGTGCCTGTGCAAAGCCTCAAAGCAGGACTGGACAGCAACACCACTCTAACCCCTTATGCTTCCCAGCAACTGACATTCAGAGGAATACTGTCTCCAACACTTGAGGAAGAACATGGCCAACTTGGTTAGTAGCCATTGATAGCCTTATCCTCCATTATTTTCTTCTAATCCTTAACCAAACACATCAAACACATCCATCTTTACTTCCTGTGAGCAAATTCCAGAGTTTAACTATGTGCTATTTCAAGCAGCACTTTCTTCCATCTTTCTCAAATCTTCAACATTCACTGTCATTGGCTGCCCAAAACTCCTAGTGTTACGAGAAAGGAATAACAGCTTTTCTCTGTCCTGTTGCACTAACGGCTTCCTATTAATTGAAGGCTGACTAAACCTCAGGGGTGCAGGGAGCTACAAGAATTGCCCCAATTAAAGGATCTCAGTGCTTGAGGTGTCACATAAGGGCAACAGAGCGCCACCCACCCATGATTCATGAGCTTCCCCCAATTTCCTGTCCCCTCCCCCGTTCGTTTTGAGAGATCGTGGGTGGGCGGCTGTTGCCTAGGAGTGGCGCACGGTGCACGGTTTCTCTGTTGGGCAAGGTGCAAAGCTCTTCTTTCGCACCCTGTGAAACTCTCAAAACAAAGGGGGAAGGGGGCAGGAGATCGGGGGAGGCTCAGGAGTCACGGACGGGTGGCGCGCCATTGTCCAGGAGGGGCGCAAGGTGCACGGTTTCTCTGCTGGGCAAGATGCGGAGGAGTGAGATGATTTTGATACCCTCGGCCAACTGGAGCGGCGGAGGAGCTGGCGCAGAGCCAGGCAGTTGAACGTGAACGAGAGCATGTCCCTGATGGCCGGGACTGCAGAAGTCAAATTGGAGCAGGGAAGCCTTAAGTTCTTTGAAGTTGAGGCTGCTTGAGTTGAGGTACCTCAGTTGCAGGGGGTTGGCCTACATGTCCCTCAAAGGTCCTTTCCAAATCTATGATTCTGTGATCATCCCACAGTCGTATTCTCAAACTCTGCTTCCAACTCCACCCCCCAGGTTTCTCTCCTCCTCCGGACTTCTCAAGACAGCAAAATAGCTGATGTATAGATGTAATTAGGGATAACAAAGCATGTAATTTGTTCCAATGGGCTTTGGGGAACTGACCACTTTAAATGAAGAGCTGGTGCCACGATGTTTTTATTGCAATCATTGCCATGGTTTTAATAGGGTGTGGGTGGGTGTTGTTTTAACTCTACCAATGTTTCGCAGGTGCAAAAATGTTGATGAGCTGGCCAGGTTTGATGGAGTTTTTGCCTCTCCTCAGGATGATGAAAATCCGAGCAGACTTTAAAGAGTTCCTATATCAGGAATGAGAACCTGTGGTCCTCTAGGCCAGTGTTTCCCAACCTTGGGTCTGCAGCTGTTTTTGAATTTTTCCATTTTTATTGAAGATTTTCTTGAATTACAAAAGCACAAGCAATCTCTCTCTCTCTCTCTCTGTCTCAGATAATAGAATCTAGATTAGTAGGGACATGAAATTGAGGCTGGCACAGATTAGGAGGGACGTGTCCTTGGAGTACTTGGAAGGGGGAAGATATTTAATTTGTTTTCAGAACTGTGCTTTACATTATGGTATAGCAGAATTAGAATTCTAGTAATTTATGACACTGTCCTGAATCCGTTGTTCCTGGATGCTGGCAAAGTGCTTCTTGCAATCTTCTATAAATTCCTCCAACTAAGCCTCTTCATGCATCAGTTCCTTGCTTGGCCCAGTGCTGTTCTCAAACTCCTTCCTGGCTCTTCAGCTCTCTAGAACGATGAAGACACTCCTGATCTCCTGCCTCCTCTTGACCCTTCTGAATCCAGGTGAGCAGAACCACAGCTGCTGGGCAGTTCATCCTGTTTCCAGGAAGGAACTAAGTGGGGGGGGGTCAGCCATTAAAGCAGGAGAAGGAACCAGAACTTGTGGCTCCTTTGAAAAGTAGAGGAATAAACCATATGGTCAAGCTACAAGGGATCCTCAATCATAGAATGTTTGTTGTATTTGTTTTTATTTAACCAAATACATACTGAGAGGTTTAGTATCCCAAAGTCCATTGGGGGAGTAAGGGAGGCAGTTGTCCACTCTTCGATAACCAGAATCCTAGCTTTCATCTACAACAAAGAATATGTTTCTTGCACTTTTTTCTGTTTGTTTACCTCATCGCCCACTCAGATTCTGCAACTTCCTCTGAAACTCTGTCCTTTTTTCTCTACTACTCACCTCAGGTAGGTGTTTTCCCCATTTTCTATCTGGCCCAAAGAGTTTCTCTTAATGGCCTTCTTAATGAATTAATGACTGACTATCATCAGCCTTACATAGGTTAGAGCTCAATGTCGAGCCTACCAAGTGGCGATAGCAACATCAAAAAAGACTGTCTCTATTGCATCTGCAGAAAATTGCAGCAGGAGACTTTTTCAGGTGGTTCACAGTTTAACGGAACCATCTTTGCCACTAGGGCCTTGTAAAGACCCCAAGATCTCCTACAACAATAAAGTATTTTGCAGATAAAGTTGCTCAGATTTGGACGGAGGTAGACTCCACCGTGGCAGCAGGGTCGGGCAGGAGAGTGCTAGAGTCTTGTCTAGTCGAGCTGCATGGAATCAATTCCAATCTGTTACCTCTGAGGATGTGGACAGGTTGCTTGGACAAGTGAAACCAACCACCTGTCTCCTTGATCCTTGCCCATCCTGGCTAATAAAAGCAAGCCGGGAAGGGCTGGGTGATGGGCTCTGTGGGGTGGTGAATGCTTCCCTCTGTGAGGGAGCATTCCCAGACCCGCTGAAAGAGGCGGTCATTAAACCACTTCTTAAAAAAACATCTTTAGACCCGGCCAGTATGCCCAACTATCACCCAGTCTCAAATCTTCCATTCTTGGGCAAGGTGATTGTGCGGGTGGTTGCTGAACAACTCCAAGCATGCCTGGAGGATGCAGACCATTTGGATCCCTTCCAATCAGGATTCAGGCCATATGATGGGACTGAAACTGCCTTGGTCACGCTGGTTGATTTTCTACAGCGGGCAAGGGAAAAGGTGAAAGCTAGTTATTCCAGTTCCACTGAGCTGCTTGCCCATAATTCATTTTCAATTCAATAGGCAATATGTTAAAATTCATCCTTCAGGTACTCACATATTAAAGCTTAGCCCCACCCCCACCTCCTCCATGAGGTTTTATCTCCTCAACACTTCTCAAATAAATAGACCTTTCCTTTTTAAGTTCTGCTAGTGCACATGTGGAGCATCTTTGACAAACTCCAGTGCCCATCATCCAGAGCCATTGGTCATGCTTTCTGGAGCTGATGGGAGTTGTAGTTCAGCTACTTGTGGAGTGTCAAAGGTTTCCTCAGGCCCTACAGGTCCTCTCTCTCAGACTGCAGGAACCACCTAGGACAATCATTCTCTAGTCTGTCCAAGACTCAGCCCCCATTCACACACAGCTTAAGAACTACAGAGGAAATATATATAGACAGCACTGCATAAGTGAAAAATGGCCCGTTTGGTCCACTATCTTGTTCTCACCATGGTGAACCAGATGCCTATGGGAAGTTCGCAAGCAGGATCTAATAGTGCCTACAGTGTTAGAGAGATAAAATATCTCTTGAGGCTGGAAGCCAGCAACAGACTTATTAACCCCCTTGAATTTATCTATTCCTTTTCTTAAGCCATCCAAGTTGGTGGCCTTCACTGCCCCTCATGAGATGGGCTTTGTAGGAGGAACTGTCATGTTGATGTACCTTAATGTACCTATTTCCCATATGTGGATGGTGCTAAGGTTTTCTAAACCCATCTCCCCATGTCTGTAGCGGCCTCTCTGACTTGTGAGTTCTGTCTCAGTCAAGGAAAAGATTGCAAAAACGCCACCATACAGGAGTGTGATACGAGGATAAATCGGTTCTGCGTATCTGGCATTGGAGACGCCAAAATGGGTAAGTGAGAAGAACTTTCAGCCTTTTTGACCACCAAAACTTAAATTCCCAGACTCACTTTCTAAGGCCATATCTTAGCTATAAACCACAAGGTGTGGCTTTTCATAAAGCAGTGTTCTAGATCCTGTATTCCATGTAGGAAACAGAGGGAAATTCAAGTCAGTTCACATTTGAAGGTGAGCTTACCTACTTGGCTCTTTCCAAAACAATATGCAGAGCCAAACAAAGCCCTCCTTCCACATCCACACTTCTCCCATTTTTGCAATCCAGTTGTGCAGTCGTGTAATTTATATTTTATTCTAGATCTGTTCCCCTGCCAGATGAATCTAGAAATACCCTTTTGCCATTCCTTGAGGTGTCCTGTCTTGCCTATCACTGGTATTGACTGGAAGAGAAACAGCATTCTCTGCTGTTGAATTTTCATGAGGACTTTTCAAAAGTTCTCCATCCCTGCCTCACATTCAACAAATAGATAAAACTGAAGGTCTCTCTTTCCACTCCAGGCCAGGCCAGCCTAAGATATTGTGACACCTCAGGCGGACCATGAAATGCTGCCCAGCGGCCAGGCAGGGAAGAAGGGGGGACTGAAGATCTACATCAGGAACAAGGGGGTGGGAATGGGGATCTACACTGGAATTGTGTGGGAATAAAGATGTACATTGGCAACAAGGCTGGGAGGAGACTAGCAGCAACTCCTAATTGCCAAGAGGCCATTACAGAGGCGGCATTTGGAGGGGCTGCCAAGGAGGTGGAAGATCTGGCCTCCAAGAAATGAACCACAGCTGCAAAGGTGGCAGCAGCCTTCAATGCTTTCATAGGAGGCTGCCCCTGGGGGATATTTCCCCTTGTGTGGGTGAGCCATATCTCCAGGTGTAGTTATTTTCTTCCAATTCTTTCTTCTATAGGTATTTTTGGGAGCAAATTTGTTTTCAAGTCCTGTATCTATGCAATGTATTGCATCAGAGAGTATTCCAGTCTCACCGTAACATCAACTGTGTACATGTTCATCAAGACCTACTGCTGTAACACAGATATGTGCAACAGTGAAACTCTTGAACGTAAGTAGCAGCAGCAGTGGGGGATTCAAGAGGGCTGGTTGCCCCAGGTGCATTCGCTTCCCTCTCCCTGCTGGGAAGACCCCTCCCCAAACCCCACCAACATCACTGCCACCCAACCCTGACAGGAGCCATTTCCAGGCAGGGCAGAGGCAACTCACCTTCCCCTTGGGGAGAGGAAGAGAGGCGGGGACACCATGGACGTGAAAGGCAGGCCTCTCAGCAGAGTCTGCCTCCCGCCCTCCTGCCTCCAGCCCTTTTCAAACTGAAGACAGAAGCTCGGGTTGGGATTTGAACTGAGAACCCCAAAACTTGAAGTTAGGCTGCGCTGAACTACATATTGAGGCCTCCTGAAGTGTGACTGGTGAGGCACTATGATGCCTCTGGATTGGCCAGGCCAACCTCGCCTGATATTATTCACAGTCCCTCTCCTGCAGCAGCTTCGGATATTTACCCTTTTCTCCAAAGAGCTCAACATTTTAGATTCAAAACACCCTGTGAAACAGGTCAGGCTGAGAGATGGTGGCTGGCATAAGGTCCCCCAGCAAGTGTCATGGCTTGAGCATGGATTTAAACCCTGGTTTCCCAGATTCTAGTCCAACCCTCTAACCACTACATCACACTGTCTCATTGGTTTCCCAGAGCTCTAGCCCTTCCTCCAAAACCTAGACTCCTCCTCTTTCTTTGATGCATTTTTAGAGCTATTTTTAGCAGGACAGACTCCTTTCCCGTTTCTGTGTGAGGAATTTAATTTCTTCAGGTTTGCATCCTTCTAAAGCAAATGCTAATAAAACTATATTAGATACCATGGGCTCCTGTGCCACCTACACAAATCCTTCCCTCACCTCTTGTTCCATTTTCCCTATTTGAAGATGTTGTCCTAAGTCACTTTTAGCCCTATGGAAGAAGGGAAAGCAAGCAGTTAGTCCGGGTGCAGAGCCAGCCCACCCATGACAGCCTCGGTCCAGTATATCTGAAGGAGCGTCTCCACCCCCATCATTCTGCCCGGACACTGAGGTCCAGCACCGAGGGCCTTCTGACAGTTCCCTCACTGCGAGAAGCCAAATTACAGGGAACCAGGCAGAGGGCCTTCTAGGTAGTGGCACCCGCCCTGTGGAACGCCCTCCCACTAGATGTCAAAGAGAAAAACAACTACCAGACTTTTAGAAGACATCTGAAGGCAGCTGTGTTTAGGGAAGCTTTTAATGTAAGAGATTGTTGCATTTTAATATCTTGTTGGAAGCCGCCCAAAGTGGCTGGGGAAACGCGGCCAGATGGGCGGGGTATAAATATTAGTAGTAGTAGTAGTAGTAGTATTAGGCAAGGTGAGATGACCTCCTCAGGGAGCAGGATCCACAGGGTCAATAGAGGCAGCTTCCAAGGAATGCATTACCTTCTGCTGCTGCTGCTGCTGCCACCAACACAGTAGAGCACACCTTGCAGGCTGGAAACGAGTGTCAAAGGCGGGGGGGAATTACCACACACGCAGCACTACGTACTTCCCTTTAGCAATCCCCCCCACCTTGGTTTATACTGTTATTTACAGCACTATAACAAAGAATTATGGGAGTGGTAGTTTGTTAAGGGTGCTGAGAGTTGATAGGAAACTCACTGAGCTACGGTTTAGCAATCAACCCCCACAAAATAGCTCTTATTATCACCATCAGTCTCCAGCACTGAACGTGTTAGCCTAGTGTGGGGCACCAAGGAGAGTTTGGCTGTCTGGCTGGTGTACTGACCACCTAGTGCAGCAGCAGCCACCCTGTCAGGCCTGTTGGATGTGGTGGCCGGCTGGGCCTTGGAATTCCCTAACCTACTGATAGATAGATAGATAATTTATTACGGTCAAAGACCAGCTCACATAACATAACACAATAAAAACAGTGTTCATAAAGATAAAATATACAATTGGGGCAAATTGCAGCTCATGAATTAAAATTGTGATATATACATACACCCGTACAACTGAGATTTGGGCTACCATAAAAAATTGACCCTGAGGCGCCTCAAAGGGCAACTTCAGCATTTCCCTAGTAAGCTATTTTATTCTAGAGGATGATCTGTGCCTACAAATCTGGGAGCAGAATCTGGCTACCAGCCAGGTCGTCTTATGATCTTTGCCTAAGAGGAGAGAATTAAGTTTAGACTTGTCTGAAAGATCGGCGAGCCTCTTCAGCAAAGGATTGATGGTGTCTCTACGAATCTCAACCCTTCTATAGGAACCTTCCAGAACCGGTGAGGGTAGCAGGCCATGAATTTTATGTCTTCCCGCCATAATTTTTCCCATTGTTCCATGTAAATATTATAACCCAAATCTTGCGCCCATCTCACCATTACAGCTTTCACTTGTTCTTCCTTTACCTCCCATTCCAATAGGGGGTCGTATACACGTGAGATATATTTTCCTTTACTTTGTATCAATGCTTTTTCAAATTCTGATGTTTCTTTTGCAAGTCCTGCTTTTTGATCAATGGTTAATCTTTGATGAATTTAAAATATTGCAGCCAGTCTGTTAGGTGCCCTTTAATTTCTCCATATTTTTTCAGTATACGTTCATCCTGTTGTCCTTCTACTAATAATTGGTATGTGTCCATATGCTTTTTCTTAACTGCCTGTGCTTCTGTAGGTAAGGTCCACAAAGGGATCTTACAGGTTTAACCTGTATTTTCATTAACTGTTTTTTCTTTTTCTTTTACTTTATATTGTAATTTTATTGGTGTTAGTCGCACCAAGCCAGGTTCTGGCCGGGGAGGGCGGGGTATAAATAAATTATTATTATTATTATTATTATTATTATCATCATCATCATCATCACCATCTACCATTTTTTCCTAGGTGAAATTGTAATTTCACCTAGAACTAAGCACATCTTTTTCCAGAAGAGATTTTTTAAGGAGGAAACTGCTAAGAGTTTTCTTTTTCTTCCCCTCTCTAAGAAAGAGGGCCATTTTCTAGAATTTCATCACCATCTTGTGTGTATCTGTGGCTACCACTTAGTCTCTCAGAATGCCCTCCAATGGTGCTCAGTGCTAAGCCCAATTGCTTAAAGCAGTATCCTTGTGCTTGAAATGTATGCTGTGAATGTGGCCCCAGTCAGAAATCACTTGCACCATGCCTTAATGTAGCCCTGGATGAATGGAGCAAGGCTACAGCACTGAACTTGGAGAAGTGCTGGGAGTTGGTACACATCCCTCTTGGAAGGGGGAGCACAATTCCCACCCCTCATATACAGCCAGATGTGGTTGGAAGCTGCAAACTAACTGCAAGGTTGGGGTGCTGTGGTGATTGATTTACAGTGCCAGAGCCTGAGGAGAGGGAGCTCAATGGGCTGAAGTGCCCAAGTTGCTACTCCTTCACAAGCGATCAGTGCCAGTCCAAGAAAACCGTCAGCTGCAGAAATAACGAGGACCACTGCTTCTACTATGCGGGTAGCATCAGTCTTGGTGAGTCTCTGCATCCGGTGAGTGCAGCTAGGGCATTTAAAGCAGTATCACGCCACCTTGAACAGTCAGGCTTATCCAAAAAACATGCTGGCAAGGGTGCTGAAAGTTATTCGGAGACGCTGCTCCCCTCACAGTGTGTCTGGGATAGTCAAGAGCCCAAGGAGGAGGGATTGGTGACCAGAGGAATTGGGTGGAGGAGCATCCAGGGGAGGGGCTAGTGATTTGTGGATTTCTGTGCCCCCCGTGAGGCAGCTCCTGGTGGTGGTGGAAGAGGGGAGTCAGGAGGGGGAGACCAGGAAGCCAAATACAAAGCAGGAGAAAGAGGCAGGAGAAGATTGCAGGACGTCTCTTTTTCTTCCGATTCATCCACCCTCCCTCAGAGTCTGGAGAACTTGTGGTGCTCCCAGAGAGAGTCATAGCTTTGGAAACTGTGGATCCTCCCTGCACTTCCACTTGTTCCATGCCTAGAAAGCACAGTTCCGATTGGTTTTCCACTTACACATCCAGCAGAATGGATGACCCCTGGGTGTGTTCAGGACACAGAGCTACCATTTCATGATTTTCTTGGAAAAGGGGTTGATTGTTAAACCACTCTGGGAATTAGGCTTAGCCAAGGGAGGATGGTTAATGCTACTCTGCAGAGCAAGACGAGCTCTTGTGACTCTCAAAACTTAGGTAGCTTGTAATCAGTCCCAGGCTGCTGCTGTCACCCCCAATACCAGACCAAGCTGGGAGTTTGTAATCCACAATCTTAGTTCTCCATCGCTTTAGCTTGAACTAAGAACTGGACCATAGAGTTCCACTGGAACCTGAAGTGCAGCAGGCAGAATAGACTGCTCTATGAGTGGTGGACAGCTGCCAGGAACATACTGGTGACAGCCAGATGCATATGGAACTAGTGTTCCATATTGTGCTGTTCTGAAAACTGCAAGATTGTCGATAAACCTTGATGAATTTCCACCTGGAATCCTGTAGCTGTTTATTCCATTTTCCCCCAGCAACTCCTTAAAACATTTTTGTTTAGACACGCCTATCCAGACATGTGGGACGTGGGTGGAGCTGTGGGTTAAACCACAGAGCCTAGGACTTGCCGATCAGAAGGTCGGCGGTTCGAATCCTCGCGATGGGGTGAGCTCCCGTTGTTCGGTCCCTGCTCCTGCAAACCTAGCAGTTCGAAAGCACATCAAAGTGCAAGTAGATAAATAGGTCTACCTTCCAGCAGGAAGGTAAACGGCGTTTCCGTGCGCTGCTCTGGTTCGCCAGAAGTGGCTTAGACATGCTGGTCACATGACCTGGAACCTGTATACCGGCTCCCTTGGCCAATAAAGCGAGATGAGCACCACAACCCCAGAGTCGGTCACGACTGGACCTGATTGTCAGGGGTCCCTTTACCTTTACTTTATCCAGACATGTAGATTGGACGCACTCTATTCCCTTTTGCTGTTCATTCTAATGAGTTTTAAATATTTTAATAGTTTTAACTGCTTGTATCGCTAATGTTAATATTTCTTGTAAACCCCTAGTGGTTTTTACTGCAGTCACATGGTATATTGATTTTGTTAAATAAAAATACATCCTAAAATTTGGATCTTAATTGGGGAGGGCCCCTCATGTCTAGGGACCAAAGGCGTCCCTCTAGGACTCTCTCTCTCTGGCCCTTCGAATCCTACTTAGCCACACCTCCTCTCCCTAGGCCACACCCCTCACAAGCCCCACTTTATACCCTACCTGAATGCTTTGTCCTCACTGGATTGCCCACACACGTTTCTGGTTTTTATCAATAATTATACCTTCCTGGTTGATAATCCCTTTCTGTCCCTCTTTAAGAAAACAAACATGAATCTGGATCATATTAACATAAACTACTTTACTATCAGATTCATTCAGGTTTACAGAGTTGTTCCTGAAGGCAGGCTTAGGTTACACAACAGATAAACTATATACTAGATAGTAGTGAATCATGAGAAGACTGCATCCAAGCAGTTACCAGTTAACACTCCTTGCAGCAACCGACCAACAGACCAACTGACAAAACTGCCTGCCACATAGAGGCAGTTAGTCCTCTCGTGGAATGTTGGACTTAACTTGCAGCTTTATATCCCACAAAAAGCACCTGTGTGTTTCATTCCAACAGGGAATACCAAGCTAAAGGCTGCTGCCCGAGGCTGTACGACGGCATATATGTGTCACTTCATCAGTGGAACAGACATTTCGTTTGAAAATTACAGCATCCAGACCGCTAGAGCAGAGTGCACCTTAGCAAAACACTCTGTCTATGAACTGTAGCTGAGAGAGAGAAAGCAAATCTCCAACTTCCAGAAGAACCCACAATTTAGGGAAATCGGCTGCCTTGTGCTTGAATCAGCGGAGGTCTCAGCCTGAAGCCTCCTAGGCTTTATTTCCAGAGTTCTAGAAGCTCCTCCTCAAGGAAAGGCTGTATTTGACTTTCATGTTCAAATGAGGTCATTGAATCATGTCCAAAATAAATATATATGGCCAATAATGAGTGTTGTATCGTGTGTTTTTCCAAATGCAACATTTGTTGGGGGAACATTTGTCAGAGATGTAGGGGCATAGGAGCTAACTCCTAGGAGCTGTGTGGGCTTTGGCCCCACAATAAAATATTTGAGGTGGCTGCCCCCCCCCCCACGTTAATGGGTTTGCTATTCTACACTGCATCATGTGATCAGTTCTGCAGGACAGGGCTTGCCTGGGCGGCCACAATATTTTATTCTAGGCATCGCAGGGAAGGGGCTAGTGAATTCTGGGGTTCTGTGCCACCCGTGAGGCTTCTCCTAGTGGTGTTCCTGGAGAAGTCAGAAGGAGGAGACCAGGAGAAGGAGGAGAGAGGAAAAGAGCTGCAAGGGGTCCCTTTTTCTCCTCCCATCCACACACATAGTTTGGAGAAACAAAATAAAAAAATTCCTTCCAGAAGAATTCCTTCCTTCCTTACAGACCAACTAAGTTCGTTATTGGTGTGAGCTTTCGTGTGCATGCACACGTCTTCAGATAGTTTGGAGAGCTTGTGGTGCACCCACAGGCAGTCATAATTTTGGAAACCTCTGGATCCCCCCACACACACTTCCACTTGTCCCATGCCTGGAAAGCAGAGTTCCAAGTGGTTTTCCACTTGCACCATCCTTTCCAGGCACGGGTCTGATTGGTTTTGCCTTGCCCCACTGCCAGTGGCGGAGATTCATGCTCCGGCACCAGGGGGCAGAGAGCAGGCAGGCGCAGGGCTGGCGAGCACCCCGGGGGCATGGCACACCGCCCTTGGGTGGGGGCGCGTGTCCTGGGAGCGTGTCACACCACCCGTAGGGATCGAGCTTCCAGGAGCAGCCGGGATCGAGTTGCCAGAGGCAGTGTGCTCCCCCCGCACGCCTCTTCCTCCGCCAGTGCCCACTGCTTTCCTCCCAGGAAATCTGCAGAAAAACCTGATTGCTGTTTGTTCCAATTCAGCACTAAACCACAGGATTTTTCACAGGGGAAAGTGGTGCAGAGGTTTGGGTGACCCCTGGCTCTGTTCAGGACACAGAGCTACCATTTCCTTTTTCCTTTTGAAATTTGTTTAATTCATTTTTTCTTAACACATTTCGATTTAAACATATCATTCACCTTCACATTTGGATTCCCAGAATCCCTTGACTTCCCCGCCTCTCTCTGGCTTCCATATCTATCCTTTTCTTCAGCTTATCTTTATTTTTTCCAATTTACTATATCTATTATTAACTTCTCCATTATATTTTGTACTTTACAAATATTACTCTAATCCTGCCAAAGTTTTTAGTTGTTTACAATGTTCTCTTAAATACTTTATAAATTTTTCCCATTCTCTCTCAAACTTCTTCTCGTCCTGATCTCTCATTCTCCCCGTCACTTTTGCCATTTCGGCATAGTCCATCATAGTCATCATCCAGTCTTCTTTGGTTGGAACTTTATCCCCTTTCCATCTCCAGGCCCATAGTATTCTCACTGCTGTCATTGCCTACATAAAAAGTTTTTTCTGCTCTCTCTCAGCTGGCAACAAAGACTGCTCTGTTAGCAAAAATTGGCCCCTTGGTTGGAGGCGATGGGGTAGGCAGGGGACCCAAAGGTGTGCTGCATGGGAGCCTTTTATAATTTGCTTAGGGTCTGATACAACAGAATACGATTAAGAAAAAACTCTGGAATGGAAAAAAGGATAAGATATTAGAGAAGATAAGAGATGGTGAGAAAAATTTGAGACTAAAACCAAAATCTAAAGAGATCCTAAGAGAAATTAAATTCCATCAAGCACAGTATGCGAAATTGATAAATCAAGAAGTGGAATGGAAAATTAAACAAATGAAACAAAGATCTTTTGAATCGGCGAATAAATGTGGAAAACTGCTAGCATGGCAGTTGAAAAAAAGACAAAAATTGAACTTTGTTACCAATCTAGAGGTAGAAGGGAGAAACATCCAGAAACCAGAAGAAATTAGAAAGTGTTTCCAGAGATATTTCAAAACTTTATACGCAAGGGCCTCAGGAAGTGACTGAGATAGATCAATTTTTAAAAGCTAATGGATTATCAAAACTATCTCAGGAGAAGATAACAATCTTGAATCACAAAATAACACAACAGGAAATTGAGGGTGCCATTCAGAATATGCAACTTGGCAAATCTCCAGGCCCAGATGGACTCACCTCCAAGTACTATAAGATATTAAAAGATTATTTGATACAACCGCTAATGGAGGTTTGCAATCAGATTATGGAGGGGAGGAAGGCACTGGAAACGTGGAAAGAAGCTTTCATCACATTGATACCTAAACTGGAAACTGAAAAGACTCAACTTAAGAACTACCGTCCCATCTCACTCCTAAATGTGGATTACAAAATCTTTGCAGACATTTTGGCAAGTAGATTTAAAAAAGTGCTAAAAGAAGTAATTCACAAGGACCAGGCAGGCTTTCTCCCAGGTAGACATTTATTTGATAATACCAGAAACATTATTGATATTTTGGAACTTTTGCAAACTAACATTAATACTAAAGCAGTGTTAATTTTCATTGATGCGGAGAAGGCCTTTGACAATATTTCCTGGAAGTTTATGAAGAAAAATTTGGAAGGGATGGGAGTGGGACGGGGGTTTGAAAATGGTATAGAGGCAATTTACTCAGAGCAAAAAGCTAAATTGATAGTGAACAATGTGGTGACAGAAGAGTTTAGAATTGAAAAAGGAACACGACAGGGGTGCCCCCTATCCCCTCTTTTATTTATTTCAGTCCTGGAGGTGCTTCTGAACATGATTAGGGAGGACCGGTTGGTACAAGGAATACAGGTCGGAGTGAAACAATATAAACTGAAAGCTTTTGCAGATGATTTGGTTTTAACATTACAGGAGCCAGAATCTAGTACGAAAAGAGTTTTAGAACTGATTCAGGAGTTTGGTCGGGTGGCAGGATTTAAGTTGAACAAGCAAAAAACCAAGGTTTTGGGAAAAAATTTGACATCTTCAGAAACAGATGGGATTCAGAAGGAGACAGAACTAAGTGTGGTAAAAAAAGTGAAATACCTAGGGGTTCATTTGTCTGCTAAAAATTTGAATTTATTTAAGGACAATTATGAAAAATGTTGGTTGGAAATTAAGAAAGATTTGGAAATTTGGTCGAGATTGAAACTTTCCTTGTTGGGTCGAATTGCAGCTATAAAAATGAATGTATTGCCGAAAATGTTATTTCTGTTTCAAGCCCTACAGATTGTGGACAGAGTGGAATGTTTTGGGAAGTGGCAGAAGGATGTATCCAAGTTTGTATGGCAGGGCAAAAGCCCCGGATAAAGTTTAAAATACTAACTGACTCGAAAGAAAGAGGGGGGTTTGCCCTGCCGGACTTGAGACTATATTATGAAGCTGCGGCCTTCTGCTGGATGAAGGATTGGTTACTTCTTGAGAACACTGATGTCCTAGATCTGGAAGGGTTTGACAATGCTTTTGGTTGGCATGCATATTTGTGGTACGACAAGGCAAAGGTTCATAAAATGTTTAAAAACCATATTGTCAGAAAATCAATATTTATGGTCTGGACAAAATATAAAGATTTATTAGAAGGTAAGACCCCGAGGTGGCTATCACCAGTAGAGGCCAAGGCCTGGAAAAAATCCAATATGGAGGTTGGTTGGCCGAAATATGGGGAAATCATAGAAAAAGTTGGAGAAAATTGGAGGTTGCAGAGTTATGAAAAATTAAAGAATAAGGTGCAAAATTGGTTCCATTATGCTCAATTACAAGAGGTTTTTAAGTTGGATAAAAAAACAGGCTTCCAGGTGGAAAAATCGAAACTAGAGACAGAATTGATAGAACCAAAGACTAAAGTACTTTCGAGAATGTATAATTTGCTGCTTAAATGGAACACTCAGGATGAAACAGTCAAATCAGCAATGATAAAATGGGCTCAGGACATTGGGTACAACATTATGTTTGAAGACTGGGAAAGGTTATGGACCACTGGTATGAAATTCACGGCATGTAATGCCTTGAAAGAAAATATTATGAAAATGATATATAGGTGGTACATGACCCCAGTCAAGCTTGCTAAGATATATCATTTGTCTGATAATAAATGTTGGAAATGTAAGGAGGCTGAAGGGACATTCTTTCACCTCTGGTGGACTTGCCCAAAAGTGAAGGCCTTCTGGGAAATGATACATAATGAGTTAAAAGGTGTTTAAATACACCTTTCCTAAGAAACCAGAGGCCTTTCTCCTGGGCATTGTTGGCCAGAAGGTGTTAAAGAAGGACATAATTTTTTATATGTACGCTACAACAGCAGCAAGAATACTAATCGCAAAATACTGGAAGACACAAGAATTGCCCACATTGGAAGAGTGGCAGACGCAGTTGATGGGCTACATGGAACTGGCCGAAATGACTGGCAGAATCCGAGATTTGGGAGAAGAAACAATGGAAGAGGATTGGAAAAATTCAAAGACTATCTACAAAAATATTATAAATTATATGAATGTTAAGAGTGTGCATGATTTAGAAAATTTAGCTTCAGCAATAAGATTCGGTGATATGGAAATTAAGTAATAAGTATGAAAGGACTAATGTTTAAAGTAATTTCATATTTATTTTAAGGTAAAGTAATCAGATAATAAGTATTTTAAACATAAAGTATAATTGATTGAAAGTACAAAGGAATGCATGAAACAAGGTAATAATTTGCTGATATATTTATTGTAAAGAATGCAGGGTGAGGGAGATGTGGGAAGTCCAGTTAGTGATGAAAAAACACTTTGAAAAGATGGTTTTCTTTTGTTTTTCTTTCTCTTTTTTTTCTTATTCTTTTCTATTACTGTTATTTTCTTATGCTGATTGTATACGTGTATCTGGAAAAAAGCAATAAAAAATTTTTATTAAAAAAAAATAAAAAAATATATATAATTTGCTTAGGGTCAATTTGTAGAGCATCCCATTTCAAACTTGGATATTCTAGAAGCACCTGCGAAAGACAATTGGAAAGAAATAGCTACATCTGCAAAAACAAAACAAAACAAATCCTGCCATTCCTTATCAAAATGATGCATTATAACATATTTTTGGCCAAAGGGGTAATATAAGAAAAGAAAATCCTACAATATTTGTAAGCTAATACTTCAGTAATTTCTTTAAGAATCAATCAACGAATACAGCATATTTTCTTCTGCAAAGGCTCCACAAGGAAGTAACATCTGCCTTGACTCTAGCATTCCTTGTTTTCCACTGCATGCATATAAGCTACAGAGAAAATCTATCACCTTCCAAATCCACTGCCACATGTGTCTGTGTCATAGTCAGTAAATTGTAGTGTTCAAACTCTTTCTTAGGAAAAACACAATTTTCACAGAGTGTTAGGCCTAATGAGCACAGCAGATCATTCCCTGTGGGTCTTCCTCCATGAAATCAACTGCCAAGATGAAAAGTCCCCAACGCCCCATATCTGCCTATGTCTCCTCCTCTCCAGGGCTTTTTCCAAGACTGAGACTGTGAGCAGCTAATCTTTCCTCTGTCCTTTTATGCCCCTCCTGGGGTTTTTCAGTGGGAGGACAAAGAGGAAGAGCCTGTTGCAGCAGGAAGGGAAGACACCTGTAACCAGAGGCACCAACCTGGGCCCCAGATTGTGGGTGCCCCCCCACACACACACAACGTGATGCCATGACATCAACATCACATCATGCCATCACCTGCTGCCCTTCAAGTAAAGATGTGTATTGATGCTAGGAGAGGATGTATTGATTAGATATTATCCTTCCTTCCTCATGTTTGTGAGTTCAGCAGAGTGCATCCCCTTGCAGCTGAAAAAGTCTTTACCCTTTTCTCCTCTTAATAATCACGCAGATTACTGCTTGTAAAAGGTAAAGATAACATTCACTCACTCAGAATACTTGTTGAAGAGTAACAGATACAGCAGCTTTGTCCAGGCAGGCTTAAAATGGTGATCCAGTTACAAAGACATACTTTGGTCAAGATGATGATGGGGATCGAGCTTTAGAGCTCAGACAAGCAGATGGTTCTACATTGCTGGATGGATGGGGAGAGAGAAAGAGGGAGAGGAAGTGCCTACACCCTCCCCAGAGCGGGGCACAGTGGGAGTGTCTCTCAGAGTTCGTTCTGGGAAACATTCAGGAAGAAACTCCGAGGGCTTCAGCTCCTGTCATTTGCCTATCTAGCAAACATGTATTGTTGATTTGGCTGCATGGTAAATATCTCACACTTCACGGGCAGGTGGCAGTCCCCTCAGAAGGCAGAGCACATCACCTGCAGGAGTAGCAAGGAATGTCTGCCTTCTCACTCACCTCTCACCTTGCCCAGTCACGCTATCTTTCACCAGGACTTCAGCGCCACCTCTCTGTTTCCATGGGGACAAGTAAGCCGGGGCATGTTGGCAGAAGAGGAAGCAGAGGGAGGAAGAGGCGTCATGGCATTTTAGGTTGTCTTACACAAAATGGAAGTGCTAGTCTTCAGACAATATATGCAAACATTTTTGGAGGTCCCCCTTGTGACCCCAAGCAGAGGAACAATGTGCCGACTGCACACCCTTCTCCTGGGCCCTGTGGAGAGGCAGGCACCAGGTGCATTTGGCCCCCAGGTCAGAGGTTCCTCACCCCTGCTATAGATTACAAAGGGCTCCAAAGTTTCCCAATTCTCTCTCTCCTTTGGCTTCCCTTACTCAGGCAAATGAACAGCTTGGTGATTTTAGAAAGAAATTGTGAAACCATGTTTCTTCAGCAAGTACATTGTGAATCCACTCGCCTTCAGTGGGTACACTGGGTGAGCAATCAAGATTTGGGCAAATGTTATATTTCCCACAAGCTTCCACTGGCTAGAGCTTGCATCAGCCTGCTGAACCAGGCCAGCTGTTCCAGAACCCTGTTGTCGCAATGGCCAGCCAGGTGCCTGTGCAAAGCCTCAAAGCAGGACTGGACAGCAACACCACTCTAACCCCTTATGCTTCCCAGCAACTGACATTCAGAGGAATACTGTCTCCAACACTTGAGGAAGAACATGGCCAACTTGGTTAGTAGCCATTGATAGCCTTATCCTCCATTATTTTCTTCTAATCCTTAACCAAACACATCCATGTTGCTGCCCATTGTTACTTCCTGTGAGCAAATTCCAGAGTTTAACTATGTGCTATTTCAAGCAGCACTTTCTTCCTTCTTTCTCAAATCTTCCAACATTCACTGTCATTGGCTGCCCACAAATTCTAGTACTGTGAGAAAGGAATAAAAGCTTTTCTCTGTCCTGTTGCACTAAAGGCTTCCTATGAATTGAAGGCTGACTAAACCTCAGGGGTGCAAGGAGCTACAAGAATTGCCCCAATCAAAGAATATCAATGCTTGAGGTGTAGCATAAGGGATTGCATACTCCTCAAGACACCTCGGGCTCACATTGTTTTGGAATTTGTGGAAATAAACATAAGCACCTTGAATGTCTTGAAGTTACCAGTGCATGAACCACTGTGTCCAGGCAGCCAAGCAATTGACCTAACTCCAAGACCCAGAAATCAATCATTCACAAGGCCTCCAGTTTTTCATGGTTCAAGCTCAGTTTGTTGGCTGTCCTGCACCATGGCATCCAGGCACCTATCTGGGGTTTTGTGTATTGGGGATTCTAGAATTGGGTATCTTCGACATATGGATGACACTTCACTCCAAACCTCCAAATGACTCTTCCCAACAGCTTCATCTTGATGTTCAGTAACCACATTCCTCAGATGAAAACAGGGGCATTTCTCACTCCCCACAATTGACACTCCCCCCATTTTTGTCGTGTCTCCCCCCCCCCCATTTTTGTTGTTCCCCACTACCACCATGCCCCATATCTGCCTATGTCTCCTCCTCTCCAGGGCTTTTTCCAAGACTGAGACTGTGAGCAGCTAATCTTTCCTCTGTCCTTTCTATGCCCCTCCTGGGGTTTTTTCAGTGGGAGGACAAAGAGGAAGAGCCTGTTGCAGCAGGAAGGGAAGACACCTGTAACCAGAGGCACCAACCTGGGCCCCAGATTGTGGGTGCCCCCCCACACACACACAACGTGATGCCATGACATCAACATCACATCATGCCATCACCTGCTGCCCTTCAAGTAAAGATGTGTATTGATGCTAGGAGATGATGTATTTATTGGATATTATCCTTCCGGATAATAGATTGCCGAAAGAAATATCAACAACCTCAGATATGCAGATGACACAACCTTGATGGCGGAAATTGAGGAGGAATTAAAGAACCTTATAATTAGGGTGAAAGAGGAGAGCGCAAAATATGGTCTGAAGCTCAACATCAAAAAATAAAGATCATGGCCACTGGGCCCACCACCTCCTGGCAAATAGAAGGGGAAGAAATGAAAGCAGTGAGAGATTTTACTTTCTTGGGCTCCATGATCACTGCAGATGGTGACAGCAGTCACGAAATTATAAGACGCCTGCTTCTTGGGTGAAAAGCAATGACAAACCTAGACAGCATCTTAAAAGCAGAGACATCACCTTGCCAACAATGGTCTGTATAGTTAAAGCTATGGTTTTCCCAGTAGTGATGTATGGAAGTGAGAGCTGGACCATAAAGAAGGCTGATCGCCAAAGAATTGATGCTTTTGAATTATGGTGCTGGAGGAGACTCTTGAGAGTCCCATGGACTGCAAGAAGATCAAACCTATCCATTCTGAAGGAAATCAGCCCTGAGTGCTCACTGGAAGGACAGATCCTGAAGCTGAGGCTCCAATACTTTGGCCACCTCATGAGAAGAGAAGACTCCCTGGAAAAGACCCTGATGCTGGGAAAGATGGAGGGCACAAGGAGAAGGGGACGACAGAGGACGAGATGGTTGGACAGTGTTCTTGAAGCTACCAAGATGAGTCTGACCAAACTGCGAGAGGCAGTGGATGACAGGAGTGCCTGGCGTGCTCTGGTCCATGGGGTCATGAAGAATCGGACATGACTAAATGCCTACACCCTCCCCAGAGCGGTGGGAGTGTCTCTCAGAGTTCGTTCTGGGAAACTTTCAGGAAGGAACTCGGAGGGCTTCAGCTCCTGTCATTTGCCTATGTAGCAAACATGCACTGTTGGTTTGGCTGCATGGTAAATATCCCACACTTCACAGGCGGATGGCAGTCCCCTCAGAAGGCGGAGCACATCGTCCACAGGAGAGGCAAGGAAAGTCCACCTTCTCACTCACCTCTCACCTTGCCCAGTCACGCTATCTTTCACCAGGACCTCAGTGCCACCTCTCTGTTTCCATGGGGACAAGTAGGCAGAGGCATGTTGGCAGAAGAGGAAGCAGAGGGAGGAAGAGGCCTCGGGGCATATTAGGTAGTCTTACACAAAATGGAAATGCTAGTCTTCACGCAATATATGGAAACATTTTTGGAGGTCCCCCTTGTGACCCCAAGCAGAGGAACGATGTACCACCTGACCCACCCCCTTTCCTTGGCCCTGTGGAGGGGCAGGCAGTGGCTGCATTTGGCCCCCAGGTCAGAGGTTTCCCTCTCATGGCATACATTACTAAAGGCCTCCAAAGTTTCCCAATTTTCTCTCTCCTTTGGCTTCCCTTACTCAGGCAAATGAGCAGCTTGGTGATTTTAGAAAGAAATTGTGAAACCATGTTTCTTCAGCAAGTACATTGTGAATCCACTCGCCTTCAGTGGGTACACTGGGTGAGCAATCAAGATTTGGCCAAATGTTATATTTCCCACAAGCTTCCACTGGCTAGAGCTTACATCAGCCTGCTGAACCAGGCCAGCTGTTCCAGAACCCTGTTGTCGCAATGGCCAGCCAGGTGCCTGTGCAAAGCCTCAAAGCAGGACTGGACAGCAACACCACTCTAACCCCTTATGCTTCCCAGCAACTGACATTCAGAGGAATACTGTCTCCAACACTTGAGGAAGAACATGGCCAACTTGGTTAGTAGCCATTGATAGCCTTATCCTCCATTATTTTCTTCTAATCCTTAACCAAACACATCAAACACATCCATCTTTACTTCCTGTGAGCAAATTCCAGAGTTTAACTATGTGCTATTTCAAGCAGCACTTTCTTCCATCTTTCTCAAATCTTCAACATTCACTGTCATTGGCTGCCCAAAACTCCTAGTGTTACGAGAAAGGAATAACAGCTTTTCTCTGTCCTGTTGCACTAACGGCTTCCTATTAATTGAAGGCTGACTAAACCTCAGGGGTGCAGGGAGCTACAAGAATTGCCCCAATTAAAGGATCTCAGTGCTTGAGGTGTCACATAAGGGCAACAGCGCGCCACCCACCCATGATTCATGAGCTTCCCCCAATTTCCTGTCCCCTCCCCCGTTTATTTTGAGAGATCGTGGGTGGGCGGCTGTTGCCTAGGAGTGGCGCACGGTGCACGGTTTCTCTGTTGGGCAAGGTGCAAAGCTCTTCTTTCGCACCCTGTGAAACTCTCAAAACAAAGGGGGAAGGGGGCAGGAGATCGGGGGAGGCTCAGGAGTCACGGACGGGTGGCGCGCCATTGTCCAGGAGGGGCGCAAGGTGCACGGTTTCTCTGCTGGGCAAGATGCGGAGGAGTGAGATGATTTTGATACCCTCGGCCAACTGGAGCGGTGGAGGAGCTGGCGCAGAGCCAGGCAGTTGAACGTGAACGAGAGCATGTCCCTGATGGCCGGGACTGCAGAAGTCAAATTGGAGCAGGGAAGCCTTAAGTTCTTTGAAGTTGAGGCTGCTTGAGTTGAGGTACCTCAGTTGCAGGGGGTTGGCCTACATGTCCCTCAAAGGTCCTTTCCAAATCTATGATTCTGTGATCATCCCACAGTCGTATTCTCAAACTCTGCTTCCAACTCCACCCCCCAGGTTTCTCTCCTCCTCCGGACTTCTCAAGACAGCAAAATAGCTGATGTATAGATGTCATTAGGGATAATAAAGCATGTAATTTGTTCCAATGGGCTTTTGGGAACTGACCACTTTAAATGAAGAGCTGGTGCCACGATGTTTTTATTGCAATCATTGCCATGGTTTTAATAGGGTGTGGGTGGGTGTTGTTTTAACTCTACCAATGTTTCGCAGGTGCAAAAATGTTGATGAGCTGGCCAGGGTTGAGGGGGTTTTAGCCTCTCCTCAGGATGATGAAAATCCGAGCAGACTTTAAAGAGTTCCTATATCAGGAATGAGAACCTGTGGTCCTCTAGGCCAGTGTTTCCCAACCTTGGGTCTGCAGCTGTTTTTGAATTTTTCAATTTTTATTGAATATTTTCTTGAATTACAAAAGCACAAGCAATCTCTCTCTCTCTGTCTCTGTCTCAGAAAATAGAATCTAGATTAGTAGGGACATGAAATTGAGGCTGGCACAGATTAGGAGGGACGTGTCCTTGGAGTACTTGGAAGGGGGAAGATATTTAATTTGTTTTCAGAACTGTGCTTTACATTATGGTATAGCAGAATTAGAATTCTAGTAATTTATGACACTGTCCTGAATCCGTTGTTCCTGGATGCTGGCAAAGTGCTTCTTGCAATCTTCTATAAATTCCTCCAACTAAGCCTCTTCCTGCATCAGTTCCTTGCTTGGCCCAGTGCGGTTCTCAAACTCCTTCCTGGCTCTTCAGCTCTCTAGAATGATGAAGACACTCCTGATCTCCTGCCTCCTCTTGACCCTTCTGAATCCAGGTGAGCAGAACCACAGCTGCTGGGCAGTTCATCCTGTTTCCAGGAAGGAACTAAGTGGGGGGGGGTCAGCCATTAAAGCAGGAGAAGGAACCAGAACTTGTGGCTCCTTTGAAAAGTAGAGGAATAAACCATATGGTCAAGCTACAAGGGATCCTCAATCATAGATTGTTTGTTGTATTTGTTTTTATTTAACCAAATACATACTGAGAGGTTTAGTATCCCAAAGTCCATTGGGGGAGTAAGGGAGGCAGTTGTCCACTCTTCGATAACCAGAATCCTAGCTTTCATCTACAACAAAGAATATGTTTCTTGCACTTTTTTCTGTTTGTTTACCTCATCGCCCACTCAGATTCTGCAACTTCCTCTGAAACTCTGTCCTTTTTTCTCTACTACTCACCTCAGGTAGGTGTTTTCCCCATTTTCTATCTGGCCCAAAGAGTTTCTCTTAATGGCCTTCTTAATGAATTAATGACTGACTATCATCAGCCTTACATAGGTTAGAGCTCAATGTCGAGCCTACCAAGTGGCGATAGCAACATCAAAAAAGACTGTCTCTATTGCATCTGCAGAAAATTGCAGCAGGAGACTTTTTCAGGTGGTTCACAGTTTAACGGAACCATCTTTGCCACTAGGGCCTTGTAAAGACCCCAAGATCTCCTACAACAATAAAGTATTTTGCAGATAAAGTTGCTCAGATTTGGACGGAGGTAGACTCCACCGTGGCAGCAGGGTCGGGCAGGAGAGTGCTAGAGTCTTGTCTAGTCGAGCTGCATGGAATCAATTCCAATCTGTTACCTCTGAGGATGTGGACAGGTTGCTTGGACAAGTGAAACCAACCACCTGTCTCCTTGATCCTTGCCCATCCTGGCTAATAAAAGCAAGCCGGGAAGGGCTGGGTGATGGGCTCTGTGGGGTGGTGAATGCTTCCCTCTGTGAGGGAGCATTCCCAGACCCGCTGAAAGAGGCGGTCATTAAACCACTTCTTAAAAAAACATCTTTAGACCCGGCCAGTATGCCCAACTATCACCCAGTCTCAAATCTTCCATTCTTGGGCAAGGTGATTGTGCGGGTGGTTGCTGAACAACTCCAAGCATGCCTGGAGGATGCAGACCATTTGGATCCCTTCCAATCAGGATTCAGGCCATATGATGGGACTGAAACTGCCTTGGTCACGCTGGTTGATTTTCTACAGCGGGCAAGGGAAAAGGTGAAAGCTAGTTATTCCAGTTCCACTGAGCTGCTTGCCCATAATTCATTTTCAATTCAATAGGCAATATGTTAAAATTCATCCTTCAGGTACTCACATATTAAAGCTTAGCCCCACCCCCACCTCCTCCATTAGGTTTTATCTCCTCAACACTTCTCAAATAAATAGACCTTTCCTTTTTAAGTTCTGCTAGTGCACATGTGGAGCATCTTTGACAAACTCCAGTGCCCATCATCCAGAGCCATTGGTCATGCTTTCTGGAGCTGATGGGAGTTGTAGTTCAGCTACTTGTGGAATGTCAAAGGTTTCCTCAGGCCCTACAGGTCCTCTCTCTCAGACTGCAGGAACCACCTAGGACAATCATTCTCTAGTCTGTCCAAGACTCAGCCCCCATTCACACACAGCTTAAGAACTACAGAGGAAATATATATAGACAGCACTGCATAAGTGAAAAATGGCCCGTTTGGTCCACTATCTTGTTCTCACCAGGGTGAACCAGATGCCTATGGGAAGTTCGCAAGCAGGATCTAATAGTGCCTACAGTGTTAGAGAGATAAAATATCTCTTGAGGCTGGAAGCCAGCAACAGACTTATTAACCCCCTTGAATTTATCTATTCCTTTTCTTAAGCCATCCAAGTTGGTGGCCTTCACTGCCCCTCATGAGATGGGCTTTGTAGGAGGAACTGTCATGTTGATGTACCTTAATGTACCTATTTCCCATATGTGGATGGTGCTAAGGTTTTCTAAACCCATCTCCCCATGTCTGTAGCGGCCTCTCTGACTTGTGAGTTCTGTCTCAGTCAAGGAAAAGATTGCAAAAACTCCATCATACAGGAGTGTAATACAAGGATAAATCGGTTCTGCGTATCTGGCATTGGAGACGCCAAAATGGGTAAGTGAGAAGAACTTTCAGCCTTTTTGACCACCAAAACTTAAATTCCCAGACTCACTTTCTAAGGCCATATCTTAGCTATAAACCACAAGGTGTGGCTTTTCATAAAGCAGTGTTCTAGATCCTGTATTCCATGTAGGAAACAGAGGGAAATTCAAGTCAGTTCACATTTGAAGGTGAGCTTACCTACTTGGCTCTTTCCAAAACAATATGCAGAGCCAAACAAAGCCCTCCTTCCACATCCACACTTCTCCCATTTTTGCAATCCAGTTGTGCAGTCGTGTAATTTATATTTTATTCTAGATCTGTTCCCCTGCCAGATGAATCTAGAAATACCCTTTTGCCATTCCTTGAGGTGTCCTGTCTTGCCTATCACTGGTATTGACTGGAAGAGAAACAGCATTCTCTGCTGTTGAATTTTCATGAGGACTTTTCAAAAGTTCTCCATCCCTGCCTCACATTCAACAAATAGATAAAACTGAAGGTCTCTCTTTCCACTCCAGGCCAGGCCAGCCTAAGATATTGTGACACCTCAGGCGGACCATGAAATGCTGCCCAGCGGCCAGGCAGGGAAGAAGGGGGGACTGAAGATCTACATCAGGAACAAGGGGGTGGGAATGGGGATCTACACTGGAATTGTGTGGGAATAAAGATGTACATTGGCAACAAGGCTGGGAGGAGACTAGCAGCAACTCCTAATTGCCAAGAGGCCATTACAGAGGCGGCATTTGGAGGGGCTGCCAAGGAGGTGGAAGATCTGGCCTCCAAGAAATGAACCACAGCTGCAAAGGTGGCAGCAGCCTTCAATGCTTTCATAGGAGGCTGCCCCTGGGGGATATTTCCCCTTGTGTGGGTGAGCCATATCTCCAGGTGTAGTTATTTTCTTCCAATTCTTTCTTCTATAGGTATTTTTGGGAGAAAATTTGTTTTCAAGTCCTGTATGTATTCAATGTATTGCATCACAGAGTATTCCAGTCTCACCGTAACATCAACTATGTACATGTTGATCAAGACCTACTGCTGTAACACAGATATGTGCAACAGTGAAACTCTTGAACGTAAGTAGCAGCAGCAGTGGGGGATTCAAGAGGGCTGGTTGCCCCAGGTGCATTCGCTTCCCTCTCCCTGCTGGGAAGACCCCTCCCCAAACCCCACCAACATCACTGCCACCCAACCCTGACAGGAGCCATTTCCAGGCAGGGCAGAGGCAACTCACCTTCCCCTTGGGGAGAGGAAGAGAGGCGGGGACACCATGGACGTGAAAGGCAGGCCTCTCAGCAGAGTCTGCCTCCCGCCCTCCTGCCTCCAGCCCTTTTCAAACTGAAGACAGAAGCTTGGGTTGGGATTTGAACTGAGAACCCCAAAACTTGAAGTTAGGCTGCGCTGAACTACATATTGAGGCCTCCTGAAGTGTGACTGGTGAGGCACTATGATGCCTCTGGATTGGCCAGGCCAACCTCGCCTGATATTATTCACAGTCCCTCTCCTGCAGCAGCTTCGGATATTTACCCTTTTCTCCAAAGAGCTCAACATTTTAGATTCAAAACACCCTGTGAAACAGGTCAGGCTGAGAGATGGTGGCTGGCATAAGGTCCCCCAGCAAGCGTCATGGCTTGAGCATGGATTTGAACCTTGGTTTCCCAGATTCTAGTCCTACCCTCTAACCACTACATCACACTGTCTCATTGGTTTCCCAGAGCTCTAGCCCTTCCTCCAAAACCTAGACTCCTCCTCTTTCTTTGATGCATTTTTAGAGCTATTTTTAGCAGGACAGACTCCTTTCCCGTTTCTGTGTGAGGAATTTAATTTCTTCAGGTTTGCATCCTTCTAAAGCAAATGCTAATAAAACTATATTAGATACCATGGGCTCCTGTGCCACCTACACAAATCCTTCCCTCACCTCTTGTTCCATTTTCCCTATTTGAAGATGTTGTCCTAAGTCACTATTAGCCCTACGGAGGAAGGGGAAAGCAAGCAGTTAGTCCGGGTGCAGAGCCAGCCCACCCATGACAGCCTCGGTCCAGTATATCTGAAGGAGCGTCTCCACCCCCATCATTCTGCCCGGACACTGAGGTCCAGCACCGAGGGCCTTCTGGCAGTTCCCTCACTGCGAGAGGCCAAGTTACAGGGAACCAGGCAGAGGGCCTTCTCGGTAGTGGCACCCGCCCTGTGGAACGCCCCCCCCCCACTAGATGTCAAAGAGAAAAACAACTACCAGACTTTTAGAAGACATCTGAAGGCAGCTCTGTTTAGGGAAGCTTTTAATGTTTAACAGATTGTTGCATTTTAATATCTTGTTGGAAGCCGCCCAAAGTGGCTGGGGAAACGCGGCCAGATGGGCGGGGTATAAATATTAGTAGTAGTAGTATTAGGCAAGGTGAGATGACCTCCTCAGGGAGCAGGATCCACAGGGTCAATAGAGGCAGCTTCCAACGAATGCTTTACCTTCTGCTGCTGCTGCTGCTGCCACCAACACAGTAGAGCACACCTTGCAGGCTGGAAACGAGTGTCAAAGGCGGGGGGGAATTACCACACACGCAGCACTACGTACTTCCCTTTAGCAATCCCCCCCCACCTTGGTTTATACTGTTATTTACAGCACTATAACAAAGAATTATGGGAGTGGTAGTTTGTTAAGGGTGCTGAGAGTTGATAGGAAACTCACTGAGCTACGGTTTAGCAATCAACCCCCACAAAAGAGCTCTTATTATCACCATCAGTCTCCAGCACTGAACGTGTTGGCCTAGTGTGGGGCACCAAGGAGAGTTTGGCTGTCTGGCTGGTGTACTGACCACCTAGTGCAGCAGCAGCCACCCTGTCAGGCCTGTTGGATGTGGTGGCCGGCTGGGCCTTGGAATTCCCTAACCTACTGATAGATAGATAATTTATTATGGTCAAAGACCAGCTCACATAACATAACACAATAAAAACAGTGTTCATAAAGATAAAATATACAGTTGGGGCAGATTGCAGCTCATGAGTTAAAATTGTGATATATACATACACCCGTACAACTGAGATTTGGGCTACCATAAAAAATTGACCCTGAGGCGCCTCAAAGGGCAACTTCAGCATTTCCCTAGTAAGCTATTTTATTCTAGAGGATGATCTGTGCCTACAAATCTGGGTGCAGAATCTGGCTACCAGCCAGGTCGTCTTATGACCTTTGCCTAAGAGGAGAGAATTAAGTTTAGACTTGTCTGAAAGATCGGCGAGCCTCTTCAGCAAAGGATTGATGGTGTCTCTACGAATCTCAACATAAAAAGGACATCTAAAAAATATATGTTCAAGGCTTCCTATTTCCCCTAATGGGCAGGTGCAAAGTCTCTGTGCGTACAGGACCCTTCTATAGGAACCTTCCAGAACCGGTGAGGGTAGCAGGCCATGAATTTTATGTCTTCCCGCCATAATTTTTCCCATTGTTCCATGTAAATATTATAACCCAAATCTTGCGCCCATCTCACCATTACAGCTTTCACTTGTTCTTCCTTTACCTCCCATTCCAATAGGGGGTCGTATACACGTGAGATATATTTTCCTTTACTTTGTATCAATGCTTTTTCAAATTCTGATGTTTCTTTTGCAAGTCCTGCTTTTTGATCAATGGTTAATCTTTGATGAATTTAAAATATTGCAGCCAGTCTGTTAGGTGCCCTTTAATTTCTCCATATTTTTTCAGTATACGTTCATCCTGTTGTCCTTCTACTAATAATTGGTATGTGTCCATATTCTTTTTCTTAACTGCCTGTGCTTCTGTAGGTAAGGTCCACAAAGGGATCTTACAGGTTTAACCTGTATTTTCATTAACTGTTTTTTCTTTTTCTTTTACTTTATATTGTAATTTTATTGGTGTTAGTCGCACCAAGCCAGGTTCTGGCCGGGGAGGGCGGGGTATAAATAAATTATTATTATTATTATTATTATTATTATTATTATTATCATCATCATCATCACCATCTACCATTTTTTCCTAGGTGAAATTGTAATTTCACCTAGAACTAAGCACATCTTTTTCCAGAAGAGATTTTTTAAGGAGGAAACTGCTAAGAGTTTTCTTTTTCTTCCCCTCTCTAAGAAAGAGGGCCATTTTCTAGAATTTCATCACCATCTTGTGTGTATCTGTGGCTACCACTTAGTCTCTCAGAATGCCCTCCAATGGTGCTCAGTGCTAAGCCCAATTGCTTAAAGCAGTATCCTTGTGCTTGAAATGTATGCTGTGAATGTGGCCCCAGTCAGAAATCACTTGCACCATGCCTTAATGTAGCCCTGGATGAATGGAGCAAGGCTACAGCACTGAACTTGGAGAAGTGCTGGGAGTTGGTACACATCCCTCTTGGAAGGGGGAGCACAATTCCCACCCCTCATATACAGCCAGATGTGGTTGGAAGCTGCAAACTAACTGCAAGGTTGGGGTGCTGTGGTGATTGATTTACAGTGCCAGAGCCTGAGGAGAGGGAGCTCAATGGGCTGAAGTGCCCAAGTTGCTACTCCTTCACAAGCGATCAGTGCCAGTCCAAGAAAACCATCAGCTGCAGAAATAACGAGGACCACTGCTTCTACTATGGGGGTAGCATCAGTCTTGGTGAGTCTCTGCATCCGGTGAGTGCAGCTAGGGCATTTAAAGCAGTATCACGCCACCTTGAACAGTCAGGCTTATCCAAAAAACATGCTGGCAAGGGTGCTGAAAGTTATTCGGAGACGCTGCTCCCCTCACAGTGTGTCTGGGATAGTCAAGAGCCCAAGGAGGAGGGATTGGTGACCAGAGGAATTGGGTGGAGGAGCATCCAGGGGAGGGGCTAGTGATTTGTGGATTTCTGTGCCCCCCGTGAGGCAGCTCCTGGTGGTGGTGGAAGAGGGGAGTCAGGAGGGGGAGACCAGGAAGCCAAATACAAAGCAGGAGAAAGAGGCAGGAGAAGATTGCAGGACATCTCTTTTTCTTCCGATTCATCCACCCTCCCTCAGAGTCTGGAGAACTTGTGGTGCTCCCAGAGAGAGTCATAGCTTTGGAAACTGTGGATCCTCCCTGCACTTCCACTTGTTCCATGCCTAGAAAGCACAATTCCGATTGGTTTTCCTCTTACACATCCAGCAGAATGGATGACCCCTGGGTGTGTTCAGGACACAGAGCTACCATTTCATGATTTTCTTGGAAAAGGGGTTGATTGTTAAACCACTCTGGGAATTAGGCTTAGCCAAGGGAGGATGGTTAATGCTACTCTGCAGAGCAAGACGAGCTCTTGTGACTCTCAAAACTTAGGTAGCTTGTAATCAGTCCCAGGCTGCTGCTGTCACCCCCAATACCAGACCAAGCTGGGAGTTTGTAATCCACAATCTTAGTTCTCCATCGCTTTAGCTTGAACTAAGAACTGGACCATAGAGTTCCACTGGAACCTGAAGTGCAGCAGGCAGAATAGACTGCTCTATGAGTGGTGGACAGCTGCCAGGAACATACTGGTGACAGCCAGATGCATATGGAACTAGTGTTCCATATTGTGTTGTTCTGAAAACTGCAAGATTGTCGATAAACCTTGATGAATTTCCACCTGGAATCCTGTAGCTGTTTATTCCATTTTCCCCCAGCAACTCCTTAAAACATTTTTGTTTAGACACGCCTATCCAGACATGTGGGACGTGGGTGGAGCTGTGGGTTAAACCACAGAGCCTAGGACTTGCCGATCAGAAGGTCGGCGGTTCGAATCCTCTCGATGGGGTGAGCTCCCGTTGTTCGGTCCCTGCTCCTGCAAACCTAGCAGTTCGAAAGCACATCAAAGTGCAAGTAGATAAATAGGTCTACCTTCCAGCAGGAAGGTAAACGGCGTTTCCGTGCGCTGCTCTGGTTCGCCAGAAGTGGCTTAGACATGCTGGTCACATGACCTGGAACCTGTATGCCGGCTCCCTTGGCCAATAAAGCGAGATGAGCACCACAACCCCAGAGTCGGTCACGACTGGACCTGATTGTCAGGGGTCCCTTTACCTTTACTTTATCCAGACATGTAGATTGGACGCACTCTATTCCCTTTTGCTGTTCATTCTAATGAGTTTTAAATATTTTAATAGTTTTAACTGCTTGTATCGCTAATGTTAATATTTCTTGTAAACCCCTAGTGGTTTTTACTGCAGTCACATGGTATATTGATTTTGTTAAATAAAAATACATCCTAAAATTTGGATCTTAATTGGGGAGGGCCCCTCATGTCTAGGGACCAAAGGCGTCCCTCTAGGACTCTCTCTCTCTGGCCCTTCGAATCCTACTTAGCCACACCTCCTCTCCCTAGGCCACACCCCTCACAAGCCCCACTTTATACCCTACCTGAATGCTTTGTCCTCACTGGATTGCCCACACACGTTTCTGGTTTTTTTATCAATAATTATACCTTCCTGGTTGATAATCCCTTTCTGTCCCTCTTAAAGAAAACAAACATGAATCTGGATCATATTAACATAAACTACTTTACTATCAGATTCATTCAGGTTTACAGAGTTGTTCCTGAAGGCAGGCTTAGGTTACACAACAGATAAACTATATACTAGATAGTAGTGAATCATGAGAAGACTGCATCCGAGCAGTTACCAGTTAACACTCCTTGCAGCAACCGACCAACAGACCAACTGACAAAACTGCCTGCCACATAGAGGCAGTTAGTCCTCTCGCGGAATGTTGGACTTGACTTGTAGCTTTATATCCCACAAAAAGCACCTGTGTGTTTCATTCCAACAGGGAATACCAAGCTAAAGGCTGCTGCCCGAGGCTGTACGACGGAATATATGTGTAACTTCATCAGTGGAGCAAACATTGAGTTTGCAAATTACAGCATCCAGACCGCTAGAGCAGAGTGCACCTTAGCAAAACGCTCTGTCTATGAACTGTAGCTGAGAGAGAGAAAGCAAATCTCCAACTTCCAGAAGAACCCACAATTTAGGGAAATTGGCTGCCTTGTGCTTGAATCAGGGGAGGTCTCAGCCTGAAGCCTCCTAGGCTTTATTTCCAGAATTCTAGAAGCTCCTCCTCAAGGAAAGGCTGTATTTGACTTTCATGTTCAAATGAGGTCATTGAAGCATGTCTAAAATAAATATATATGGCCAATAATGAGTGTTGTATCGTGTGTTTTTTCCAAATGCAACATTTGTTGGGGGGAACATTTGTCAGAGATGTAGGGGCATAGGAGCTAACTCCTAGGAGCTGTGTGGGCTTTGGCCCCCACAATAAAATATTTGAGGTGGCTGCCCCCCCCCCCACGTTAATGGGTTTGCTATTCTACACTGCATCATGTGATCAGTTCTGCAGGACAGGGCTTGCCTGGGCGGCCACAATATTTTATTCTAGACATCGCAGGGAAGGGGCTAGTGAATTCTGGGGTTCTGTGCCACCTGTGAGGCTTCTCCTAGTGGTGTTCCTGGAGAAGTCAGAAGGAGGAGACCAGGAGAAGGAGGAGAGAGGAAAAGAGCTGCAAGGGGTCTCTTTTTCTCCTCCCATCCACACACATAGTTTGGAGAAACAAAATTAAAAAATTCCTTCCAGAAGAATTCCTTCCTTCCTTACAGACCAACTAAGTTCGTTATTGGTGTGAGCGTTCGTGTGCATGCACACGTCTTCAGATAGTTTGGAGAGCTTGTGGTGCACCCACAGGCAGTCATAATTTTGGAAACCTCTGGATCCCCCCCCCACACACACACACTTCCGCTTGTCCCATGCCTGGAAAGCAGAGTTCCAAGTGGTTTTCCACCTGCACCATCCTTTCCAGGCACGGGTTTGATTGGTTTTGCCTTGCCCCACTGCCAGTGGCGGAGATTCATGCTCCGGCACCAGGGGGCAGAGAGCAGGCAGGTGCAGGGCTGGCGAGCACCTCGAGGGCATGGCACACCGCCCTTGGGTGGGGGCGCGTGTCCTGAGGGCGTGTCCCACCACCCCTAGGGATCGAGCTTCCAGGAGCAGCCGGGATTGAGTTGCCAGGAGCAGTGTGCTCCCCCCTCACGCCTCTTCCTCCGCCAGTGCCCACTGCTTTCCTCCCAGGAAATCTGCAGAAAAACCTGATTGCTGTTTGTTCCAATTCAGCACTAAACCACAGGATTTTTCACAGGGGAAAGTGGTGCAGAGGTTTGGGTGACCCCTGGCTCTGTTCAGGACACAGAGCTACCATTTCCTTTTTCCTTTTGAAATTTGTTTAATTCATTTTTTCTTAACACATTTCGATTTAAACATATCATTCACCTTCACATTTGGATTCCCAGAATCCCTTGACTTCCCCGCCCCTCTCTGGCTTCCATATCTATCCTTTTCTTCAGCTTATCTTTATTTTTTCCAATTTACTATATCTATTATTAACTTCTCCATTATATTTTGTACTTTACAAATATTACTCTAATCCTGCCAAAGTTTTTAGTTGTTTACAATGTTCTCTTAAATACTTTATAAATTTTTCCCATTCTCTCTCAAACTTCTTCTCGTCCTGATCTCTCATTCTCCCCGTCACTTTTGCCATTTCGGCATAGTCCATCATAGTCATCATCCAGTCTTCTTTGGTTGGAACTTTATCCCCTTTCCATCTCCAGGCCCATAGTATTCTCACTGCTGTCATTACCTACATTAAAAGTTTTTATTGCTCTCTCTCAGCTGGCAACAAAGACTGCTCTGTTAGCAAAAATTGGCCCCTCGGTTGGAGGCGATGGGGTAGGCAGGGGACCCAAAGGTGTGCTGCATGGGAGCCTTTTATAATTTGCTTAGGGTCAATTTGTAGAGCATCCCATTTCAAACTTGGATTTTCTAGAAGCACCTGTGAGAGACAATTGGAAAGAAATAGCTACATCTGCTAAAAAATAATAATCCTGTCATTGCTTATCAAAATGATGCATTCTACCATATTTTTGGCCAATGGGGTAATATAAGAAAAGAAAATCCTACAAGCACCAAATTTGTAAGCGAATACTTCAGTAATTTCTTTAAGAATCAGTCAACGAGTACAGCATATTTTCTTCTGCAATCCATGTAAATATTATATTTTCTTTAAAGTTTGTTGTTGCCTGTCCCTCATTTACAAGTTCAGATACTTTTTAAAGTGTCGATTTGAAGTTCATGGGGGAGATTAATCAATCACAGTCCTATACTGGGGCACATTTCGAGTTTCTACTGGCTCCACAAGGAAGTAACATCTGCCTTGACTCTTGCATTCCTTGTTTTCCACTGCATGTATATAAGCTACAGAGAAAAATCTCTCACCTTCCAAATCCACTGCCACATGTGTCTGTGTCATAGTCAGTAAATTGTAGTGTTCAAACTCTTTCTTAGGAAAAACACAATTTTCAAAGAGTGTCAGGCCTAATGAGCACAGCAGATCATTCCCTGTGGGTCTTCCCAGCGGCGTAGCGTGGGTTGTCAGCACCCGGGGCAAGGCAAGTAATTTGCGCCCCCTAACCCGGGGCAAGGCAAGTAATTTGCGCCCCCTAACCCCTAACCTGCCGCCGCTGCCAGCTTCTTCTTGCTGCTGCCTGGGCTGGTCTGGTGTGGTTCTCTCCCGCGCTCAGCACTGCGCTGGGCGGCCGCTGCACTGTCCCTCCCCCAGATAGTCCCTCGTTCTCTCTCCGCACCGCACGCCTGGCACCCACCCCCTCCACACTGGGCAGCGACCCAGCGGCTCGGATCGGATTCGCACAGCCAGCACTGCAGTGAGAGAGAGAGAGTGAGCCAGGTAGGGGCAGAGAGCTGCGAGTGCGAGCGCGCGCCCCCCCCCCCCAGATGTTGCGCCCGGTGCGGCCGGGCCCCCCTGCACCCCCCACGCTACGCCACTGGGTCTTCCTCTATGAAATCAACTGCCAAGATGAAAAGTCCCCGACGCCCCATATCTGCCTATATCTCCTCCTCTCCAGGGCTTTTTCCAAGACTGAGACTGTGAGCAGCTAATCTTTCCTCTGTCCTTTTTATGCCCCTCCTGGGGTTTTTTCAGTGGGAGGACAAAGAGGAAGAGCCTGTTGCAGCAGGAAGGGAAGACACCTGTAACCAGAGGCACCAACCTGGGCCCCAGATTGTGGGTGCCCCCCCACACACACACACAATGTGATGCCATGACATCAACATCACATCATGCCATCACCTGCTGCCCTTCAAGTAAAGATGTGTATTGATGCTAGGAGAGAATGTATTGATTAGATATTATCCTTCCTTCCTCATGTTTGTGAGTTCAGCAGAGTGCATCCCTTGCAGCTGAAAAAGTCTTTACCCTTTTCTCCTCTTAATAATCACGCAGATTACTGCTTGTAAAAGGTAAAGATAACATTCACTCACTCAGAATACTTGTTGAAGAGTAACAGATACAGCAGCTTTGTCCAGGCAGGCTTAAAATGGTGATCCAGTTACAAAGACATACTTTGGTCAAGATGATGATGGGGATTGAGCTTTAGAGCTCAGACAAGCGGATGGTTCTACATTGCTGGATGGATGGGGAGAGAGAAAGAGGGAGAGGAAGTGCCTACACCCTCCCCAGAGCGGGGCACAGTGGGAGTGTCTCTCAGAGTTCGTTCTGGGAAACATTCAGGAAGAAACTCCGAGGGCTTCAGCTCCTGTCATTTGCCTATCTAGCAAACATGTATTGTTGATTTGGCTGCATGGTAAATATCTCACACTTCACGGGCAGGTGGCAGTCCCCTCAGAAGGCAGAGCACATCACCTGCAGGAGTAGCAAGGAATGTCTGCCTTCTCACTCACCTCTCACCTTGCCCAGTCACGCTATCTTTCACCAGGACTTCAGCGCCACCTCTCTGTTTCCATGGGGACAAGTAAGCCGGGGCATGTTGGCAGAAGAGGAAGCAGAGGGAGGAAGAGGCGTCATGGCATTTTAGGTTGTCTTACACAAAATGGAAATGCTAGTCTTCAGACAATATATGCAAACATTTTGGAGGTCCCCTTGTGACCCCAAGCAGAGGAACAATGTGCCGACTGCACACCCTTCTCCTGGGCCCTGTGGAGAGGCAGGCACCAGGTGCATTTGGCCCCCAGGTCAGAGGTTCCTCACCCCTGCTATAGATTACAAAAGGGCTCCAAAGTTTCCCAATTCTCTCTCTCCTTTGGCTTCCCTTACTCAGGCAAATGAACAGCTTGGTGATTTTAGAAAGAAATTGTGAAACCATGTTTCTTCAGCAAGTACATTGTGAATCCACTCGCCTTCAGTGGGTACACTGGGTGAGCAATCAAGATTTGGGCAAATGTTATATTTCCCACAAGCTTCCACTGGCTAGAGCTTGCATCAGCCTGCTGAACCAGGCCAGCTGTTCCAGAACCCTGTTGTCGCAATGGCCAGCCAGGTGCCTGTGCAAAGCCTCAAAGCAGGACTGGACAGCAACACCACTCTAACCCCTTATGCTTCCCAGCAACTGACATTCAGAGGAATACTGTCTCCAACACTTGAGGAAGAACATGGCCAACTTGGTTAGTAGCCATTGATAGCCCTATCCTCCATTATTTTCTTCTAATCCTTAACCAAACACATCCATGTTGCTGCCCATTGTTACTTCCTGTGAGCAAATTCCAGAGTTTAACTATGTGCTATTTCAAGCAGCACTTTCTTCCTTCTTTCTCAAATCTTCCAACATTCACTGTCATTGGCTGCCCACAAATTCTAGTACTGTGAGAAAGGAATAAAAGCTTTTCTCTGTCCTGTTGCACTAAAGGCTTCCTATGAATTGAAGGCTGACTAAACCTCGGGGGTGCAAGGAGCTACAAGAATTGCCCCAATCAAAGAATATCAATGCTTGAGGTGTAGCATAAGGGATTGCATACTCCTCAAGACACCTCGGGCTCACATTGTTTTGGAATTTGTGGAAATAAACATAAGCACCTTGAATGTCTTGAAGTTACCAGTGCATGAACCACTGTGTCCAGGCAGCCAAGCAATTGACCTAACTCCAAGACCCAGAAATCAATCATTCACAAGGCCTCCAGTTTTTCATGGTTCAAGCTCAGTTTGTTGGCTGTCCTGCACCATGGCATCCAGGCACCTATCTGGGGTTTTGTGTATTGGGGATTCTAGAATTGGGTATCTTCGACATATGGATGACACTTCACTCCAAAACTCCAAATGACTCTTCCCAACAGCTTCATCTTGATGTTCAGTAGCCACATTCCTCAGATGAAAACAGGGGCATTTCTCACTCCCCACAATTGACACTCCCCCCATTTTTGTCGTGTGTGTCCCCCCCCCATTTTTGTTGTTCCCCACTACCACCATGCCCACACACAGCATTTTCTATCAGAAGAATGGCAAGTTCCACAACCACATCCTTGCACTCCCCCTTCCATCCTGCCCAGGAGGCCCTGCCCTCTACCTGCCTCTCAGATCCACTGCATTATGTGGGGAAGGGCCTCACTTGTAGCAGCCTCTCCTCCTTTACCTTTGCCAACTCTGTGTATTCTAAGGCTTTCATCATCCATTCTTCCTTTCAGGGTATTCTCAAAACTTTCTACCTCTGAGCATTTCCAGCATTTATTTGGTACATTCTTATACAGTGGTACCTTGGTTTTAGATAGCTTAGCTTATGAACAACTTGGAAATAGAATGCTGCAAACCCAGAAGTTGGTGTTTTGTTTTGTGAACTTTGCCTTAGAAGCTGAACATGTTCCACTCCTTGTTGACTGTGTTCCGTATGTACATTGAGTCTTCTGCACCTATCAGAGGCTTCCTGTTGAGTCTGTTGGCTGTTGAGTCCCAAACACCCACATAACACAGAGATGACATTTGGAGCTTTTGTTTTTGCTATTTTTGTTTGTGTGGCTTTTTCGTTATTTTGACTGTGACTTGTTCTTCATTTCATGGAACTGGCTTGTGCTGTGGCTTGTGACTCCGTTTTTGTCACTTGTTTTTGTGAGTGTGTGGAACCCTGTTCAGCTACTGATGATTGTGACTCCAGAAATGGATAAAAGCCCCCCATCCAAACCATTTCTATCATCAGTGCACGTAAGGAAAAAATAATTTAATTTTTTATCATCTATAATACTCTCTTATTTGTTTTATAGTACAGTACATTGATTATTGCTTTCATTTTATGGATCGATGGTCTCATTAGAATTTTATAAAATTCATTTTAAATTGATGTTTTAAGGTCGGGTTACCAGACGTCCCCGTTTCCCAGGGACAGTGCCCAGATTTGCAAATCTGTCCCCAGACAAATTCTGTCCCTGGAATGTCCCCGGATTTCATTAAATATCCCCAGGAAACGTGACACCCTGCTCTCCTAGAGTGATATGCAGCTGGAGGGGTGGGAAGATTTTGCACAGGCAGAGGCAGAGGTGGGGGGATCAAAGAGTGCGAAAGAAGGACTTTGCACCTTGCCCGGCACAGAAACTATGTGCCTTGCTCCCCTCCTGGGCAACAGCAAGCCACCCGCCCATGATTCCTGAGCCTCCCCCGATCTCCTGTCCCCTTTCCCCTTCATTTTGAGAGATCTCGGGTGGGCAGCTGTGGCCCAGGAGCGGCGCAAGGTGTGCGGTTTCTCTGCTGGGCAAGGTGCAAAGCTCTTCTTTCGCAGCCTGTGAAACTCTCAAAATGAAGGGGGAAGGGGGCAGGAGATCGGGGGAGGCTCAGGAGTCACGGACAGGTGGTGCGCCATTGTCCAGGAGGGGGCTCAAGGTGCACGGTTTCTCTGCTGGGCAAGATGCGGTGGGGTGATATGATTTTTATCCCCTCGGCCAACTGGAGTGGAGCTGGCGCAGAGCCAGGCAGTTGAGTGTGAGAGACAGCATGAACAAGAGCATGTCCCTGATGGCCAGGAACTGCAGAAGTCAAATTGGAGCAGGGAAGCCTTATGTTCTTTTAAGTTGAGGTTCCTTGAGTTGAGGTACCTCAGTTGCAGGGGGTTGGCCCAGATGCCCCTCAGAGGTCCTTTCCAAATCTATGATTCTGTGATTGTCCCACAGTCGTATTCTCAAACTCTGCTTCCAACTCTACCCCCCCAGGTTTCTCTCCCTCTCCAGACTTTTCAAGACAGCAAAACAGCTGATGTACTTAGGGATAATAAAGCATGTAATTTATTTATTTTTTAAAAAGTGTCCCCGGATTCATTGAAAAAAATCTGGTAACCCTATTTTAGGGGTTGTTTTTGAAAGTCTGGAATGGATTAATCGATTTTGCAGTACTTTCTATGGGAAAGCATGCCTTGGTTTTAGAACGCCAGCTGTTCCAGAACCCCGTTGTCGCAATGGCCAACTAGATGCCTGTGCAAAGCCTCAAAGCAGGACTGGACAGCAACACCACTCTCCCCACTTGTGATTCCCAGCAGCTGATATTCAAAGGAATACTGTGAGCAAATTCCAGAGTTTAACCATGTGCAGCACTTTCTTCCATCTGTCTGGAATCTTCCAACAATCAGTTTCATTGGCTCCTCACAGATTCTACTGTTATGAGAAAGGAATGCAAACCTTTATTAATTTCTAAAATATTTTTAGAACCCACCTTATTTCTCTGATTATAAATTGCTTTAAACTGTTCTGAATGTTATGCTTTAATCCCACAATCCATCATGAGAATTTAAGGTGAGAAGCAAGCAGTAAATAACAACAGCAGGAATTTCCAGGGGTAGTGGGGGGTTCGATCACCACCAGGATTGGTACTGTCCATCGCTGCGACTGGAGACTTGATCTGGAATCTGACCTGCAGAAGTCATAGAATCATAAAGCTGGAAGGGGACCTCAATGGACACCTAGTCTGACAAGTCAGGTGATAACTGCTCATTTGACAAAACTAGACATGACCCCAGGAAGGTGTACCTGGGTCAGAAAGTACGATGGCAGTGCACAGGTGAAGACTTTTTTGTTCCAATGGGCTTTTGGGAACTGACTACTTTAAATGAAGAGCGGGTGCCACGATGTTTTTATTGCAATCATTGGCATGGTTTTAATAGGGTGTGGGTGGGTGGGTATTGTTTTAACTCTACCAATGTTTCACAGGTGCAAAAATTTTGATGAGCTGGCCAAGTTTGATGGGGTTTTTGCTTCTCCTCAGGATGATGAAAATCAGAGCAGACTTTAAAGAGCTCCTATATCAGGAATGAGAAGCTGTGGTCCTCTAGGCCAGTGTTTCCCAAGTTTGGGTCTGCAGCTGTTGAATTACAAAAGCACAAGCAGTCTTTCTCTCTCTCTCTCTCTCTCTCTCTCTCTCTCTCTCTCTCTCCCTGCCTGCCAGCCAGCCTGTCTCAGATAATAGAATCTAGATTAGTAGGGATGTGAAATTGAGGCTGGCACAGATTAGGAGGGACGTGTCCTTGGAGTACTTGGAAGGGGGAAGATATTTAATTTGTTTTCAGCACTGTGCTTTACATTATGGTATAGCACAATTACAATTCTAGCAATTTATGACACTGTCCTGAATCCGTTGTTCCTGGGTGCTGGCAAAGTGCTCCTTGACATCATCTGTAAATTCCTCCAACGAAGCTTCTTCCTGCATCAGTTCCTTGCTTGGCCCAGTGCTGTTCTCAAACTCCTTCCTGGCTCTTCAGCTCTCTAGAATGAAGAAGACACCCCTGATCTCCTGCCTCCTCTTGACCCTTCTGAATCCAGGTGAGCAGAACCACAGCTGCTGTGCTGTTCCTCATGTTTCCAAGAAGGAACTAACGGGGGGGGGGGGTCAGCCATTAAAGCAAGATAAGAAAGGACTTGTTGTTCCTTTGAAAAGTAGAGGAATAAAGCACAAGGCCAGACTACAAAGGAACCTCAATGATAGATTGTTTTTGTTCCCAATATTTATATTTGTTTTTATTTAACCAAATACATACTGAGAGGTTTAGTATCCCAAAGTCCATTAGGGGTGTAAGGGAGGCAGTTGTCCACTGTTGGATAAACCAGAATCCTAGCTTTCATCTACAACAAAGAATATGTTTCTTGCACTTTTTTCTGTTTGTTTACCTCATCGTCCACTCAGATTCTGCAGCTTCCTCTGAAACTCTATCCTTTTGTCTCTGCTAACTATCTCTCACTTCAGGTAGGTGTTTTCCCCATTTTCTGTCCAGCCCAAAGAGTTTATCTTAATGGCCTTCTTAATGAGTTAATGACTGACTATCATCACCCTTTTGTTCCTCCAACGACCCCATCCAGCTAGCTCTACTGACAGTGGCACCAACTCTAGGGGGCCATGGGGGCCTTGACACCCCCAAAATATTTGCTGTAGGTGCCCAGCCTCTGTCCTCTTCCACTGCTTCACACCACTCACCTTATTAATCCCAGGATTACTCTCCTCCTTTGCTGCTATCAGTGCTGTGTCTATTAACCTCAATTTCTTCCCTTCACCGCCATCCCTTCCCCTTTTCAGTGTACTGTATAGTCAGTTATAAGTGAAGGGCGGATTCAAGTCCATATTGGTGAGTCTGTATAAGAGTGAGAAAAAGAGAGTAAGAAAGAGAAAGATTCCAGAAAAACTTATGCAGAGTGTTATGTCAACAATAGGAGGTTTTTCTCCACTCAGGGGTGTCCTGGTGATACAAAATGCACCCCAAGGATATTGACTCCCATTTCATTACTGAACTCCTCAGATTGGCTAGACACAGACTAAAGACAAGTCGAAGTAGTTATTCCAGTTCCACTGAGCTGCTTGCCCATAATTCATTTTCAATTCAATAGGCAATATGTTGAAACTCATCATACAGGTACTCACATTAAAGCTTAGGGCCCCCCCCACCTCCTCCATTAGGTTTTATCTCCTCACCACTTCTCAAATAAATAGACCTTTCCTTTTTAAGTTCTGCTAGTGCACATGTGGAGCATCTTTGACAAACTCCAGTGCCCATCATCCAGAGCCATTGGTCATGCTTTCTGGAGCTGATGGGAGTTGTAGTTCAGCTACTTGTGGAGTGTCAAAGGTTTCCTCACACCTGCCCTACAGGTCCTCTCTCTCAGACTGCAGGAGCCACCTAGGACAATCATTCACTGGTCTGTCCAAGACTCAGCCCCCATTCACACACAGCTCAAGAACTACAGGGGAAATATATATAAACAGCACTGCATAAGTGAAAAATGGCCCGTTTGCTCCACTATCTTGTTGTTACCATGGTGAACCAGATGCTACGGGAAGTTCACAAGCAGGATCTAATAGTGCCTACAGTGTTAGAGAGATAAAATATCTCTTGAGGCTGGAAGCCAGCAACAGACTTATTAACCCCCTTGAATTTATCTATTCCTTTTCTTAAGCCATCCAAGTTGGTGGCCTTCACTGCCTCTCATGAGATGGACTTTGTAGGAGGAACTGTGGTGTTGATGTGCCTTAATGTACCCATTTCCCATATGGGGATGGTGCTAAGGTTTTCTAAACCCATTTCCCCATGTCTGCAGTGGCATCTCTGAAATGTCAGTTTTGTTGGACTAAAGACGACGACTGTGAAAACACCATTCAGGAGTGTAATGAAGACATAGGTCAGCTCTGCATTTCTTCCGTTTCAGAGGCCGAATGGTGTAAGTGAGAAGAACTTTCAGCCTTTTTGACCACCAGACATAAACCCCCAGACTTTCTAAGGCCATATCTTAGCTACAAACCACAAGGTGTGGCTTTTCATAATGCAGTGTTCTAGATCCTGTATTACATGTAGGAACCAGAGGGAAATTCAAGTCAGTTCACATTTGAAGGTGAGCTTACCTACTTGGCTCTTTCCAAAACAATATGAAAGCCAAACAAAGCCTTCCTTTCACATCCACACTTCTCCCATTTTTGCAATTCAGTTGTCCAGTCGTGTAATTTATATTTTATTCTAGGTCTGTTCCCCTGCCAGATGAATCTAGAAATACCCTTTTGCCATTCCTTGAGGTGTCCTATCTTCCTATCACTGGTATTGACTGGAATAGAAACAGCATTCTCTGCTGGTGAATTTTCATGAGGACTTTTCAAAAGTTCTCCATCCCTGCCTCACGTTCAACAAATAGATAAAACTCTCTCCGCTCCAGGCCAGGCCAGCCCAAGATATTGTGACACCTCAGGCGGACCATGAAATGCTGCCCACCGGCCAGGCAGGGAAGAAGGGGGGACTGAAGATCTACATCAGGAACAAGGGGGTGGGAATGGGGATCTACACTGGAATTTTATGTGGGAATAAGATGTACGTTGGCAACAAGGCTGGGAGGAGACCAGAAGCACCTCCTAATTGCCAAGAGGCCATTACAGAGGCGGCATTTGGAGGGGCTGCTGAGGAGGTGGCAGATCTGGCCTCCAAGGAACAAACCACAGCTGCAAACATGGCAGCAGCCTGCAATGCTTTCATAGGAGGCTGCCCCTGGGGGATATTTCCTCTTGTGTGGGCAAGCCATATCTCCAGGTCTTGTTTTTTCTTTCCTCTATAGTGGCTTTTGGGAGGAAATTTGTTTACAGGTCCTGCGCCAATGGACAGTTTTGCCAAACAGGCTATTCCAGGGCCACCGTAACGCCAAATATGTACATGGTGACCAAGACCTACTGCTGTGACACAGATATGTGCAACAGTGAACCTTTTGAACGTAAGTCGTAGCAGCAGCAGCAGCAGCAGTGGGGGTGCAAGAGGGCTGGTTGCCCCGGGTGCATTCGCTTCCCTCTCCCTGCTGGGAAGACCCCTCCCCAGACCCCACCAACATCACTGCCACCCAGCCCTGACAGGAGCCATTTCCAGGCAGGGCAGGGGCAACTCACCTTCCCCTTGGGGAGAGGAAGAGAGGCGGGGACACCATGGACGTGAAGGGCAGGCCTCTCAGCAGAGTCTGCCTCTCTCTCTCTCCCTCCCTCCTGCCTCCAGTCCTTTTCCAAATTAGAGACAGAAACTTGGGTTGGGATTTGAACTGAGAACCCCAAAGCTTGACGTTAGGCTGGGCTGAATTACACATTGAGGCCTCCTCAGGTGTGACTGGTGAGGCACTATGATGCCTCTGGATTGGCCAGGCCTTCTACAACCATCCGCAACGTGGGCTCCAGCCTTTGGCAAGGGATCTGTGCATTCTAAGAGGATATCTGCCTTACATAATAACATAGTAAAACAATAGCAAATATTTAAAAAACCCCAAACTCGTGTTTAAATACTATAAATATAACACAATCACTTGCAGCAACCATTAGCAAAAATAACCAGAGAGCTTGACAGTTTTACCTTAGTCTAAGAAACACCCCTCACCTGGGTCCCTCTCCTGCAGCAGCTTTTAATATTTACCCTTTGCTCCAAAGAGCTCACCATTTTAGACTCAAAAAACCCTGTGAAACAGGTCAGGCTGAAAGATGATGGTTGGGTGGTGTTTGTTTTACAGTGCCTGAGCCTGAGAAGAGGGAGCTCAATGGGCTGAAGTGTCCAAGTTGCCTCTACTTAGGAGGAGATCGGTGCACCTACATGAAAAACACCATCAGCTGCGGAAATGACGAGGACCACTGCTTCTACTTTGGGGGTAGCGGCACTTACGGTGAGTTTCTGCATTCGCTGAGTGCAGCTAGGGCCCCATTTGCCCTATGCATTTAAAGCAGTATCACTCCACCTTGAACAGTCATGGCTTCTCCCAAAATATGTTGGCATGGGTGTTGAAAGTTATTAGGAGACCCCCATTATCTTCACAGTGTGTCTGGGATAGTCAGGAGCCCTAGGAGGAGGGATGTGTGAGCTGAGGAGGCAGGCAGAGGAGCATCCAGGGGAGGGGCTAGTGATTTGTGGGCTTCTGTGCCACCCGTGAGGCAGCTCCTGGTGGTGGTGGAAGAGAGGAGTCAGGAGGAGGAGACCAGGAAGCCAAATACAAAGCAGGAGAAAGAGGGAGGAGAAGAGTTGCAGGACGTCTCTTTTTCTTCCCACTCATCCACCCTCCCTCAGAGTCTGGAGAGCTTGTGGTGCTCCCAGAGAGAGTCATAGCTTTGGAAACCTCTGGATCCTCCCTGCACTTCCACTTGTCCCATACCTAGAAAGCACAGTTCCCGGTTGTTTTCCACTTGCAACATCCTTTCTAGGCACGGGTCTGATTGGTTTTGCCTTGCCCCACTGCTTTCCTCCCAAGAAATCTGCAGAAAATCCTGATTGCTGATTGTTCTGATTCTGCACTGAATTACAGGGCTTTCCCCAGGGGAAAGCGGCAGAGCAAGACAAGCTCTTGTGATTCACAAAGCTTAAGTAGCATGTAATCAAGCCCAGGCTGCTGCTGTCACTCCCAAAGCTGGACCAAGTTGGGAGTTTGTAATCCACGATCCTAGTTCTCCATCACTTAAACTAAGAACTGGACCATAGAGTGCCAGTGGAACCTGAAGTGCAGCCGGCAGAATAGACTGCTCTGTTAGCAAGTCTAGATGTGCCCCATGGTGGTGGACAGCTGCCAGGAACATACTGGTGACAGCCAGATGCATATGGAATTAGTGTTCCATATTGTGCTTGTTAGGTGGTGGGTTGACATAGCAGCCGGCACAGCGATTTCTTCAAGTAGCTCTTTATTATGGTAAGCTGGAATAGAACTAACTGCGAACAGCTCAGCCGGCCTGTATTTATAGGCAGCCGGCTGTCAACATTGTAACCACAACAGCCCAGAGTTCCCGCCTAAAATAACTGCCGCGGACCTGAGTGAAAACTATCTACAGACCTGAGTGAAAACTATATACAGTATCCCCCTGTTGGCCCAGGGTGAAACTACACTACATAACACCCCTCCCCACCGAGATAAGGCGTTAGTTACAATCGTAATGGTTTCCTTATATACAGCACTACGCGTAATGGTTCAATTAAGCACAAAAGCATATCGGTTACATTTCCCATACTTAGACCAACAGTGATACCTGTCCAACAACATAGTCCTTTAAATAAGTTGGGCGCTTGGAAACTCTGCCAGACCGCCGGGGACTGGTAGCCAAGTCCGGAGGGCCACACAGTTCTCGCTGAGGCTGTGGTGCGACCCTAGGTGGCGTTGGAACCAACTCCCCTGGATCCGCTGCTGTGGGTAGAGCCTCCGCAAGTGGAGTGGTCTGAGTCTGTTCTGAAACGGCTTGGTTCGGCTCCACGCTGGCAGTTTGTGAGGGAGGTGTAGGTGGGGCCTCGCCATCTGTACGTGTCTCTTCTGGAGCCGCAAGCGCAGTTGGGGGCACCTCGGTAGTGTCCAAGTCCCCAACCCTGCGCCTAAGCTGGTCTATGTGCCGTCGCCACAAGCGTCCGTCTTCGAGTGCCACCTGGTACGAGCGAGGTCCAGTGACTCCCACTACTGTGGCTGGCACCCAAGGGATGTCCCCCACATAGTTCCGGGCAAAGACCTGGTTTCCTGGGACAAATGACCGTGGTGCGTTGGCACAGCCTGGGGGTTCAGCCACGGCAAAGTCTGGGTGTAGCCGGTCGAGCGGTGACCTGAGGCGGCGGCCCATAAGCAGTTCAGCAGGACTCCTCCCTGTGGCCGCATGAGGGGTGATGTGTTGCACGAACAAGTATTCGGCGACCCGCTCATGCCAGTCTCCCCGGTCCAGGCGCGCCAGTGCCTCTTTTGTCGAGCGCACCATTCTTTCCGCTTGCCCGTTGCTGGATGGATGAAAAGGTGCCGTTAGGGCATGGTGGATGCCCAGTCCCAAAAGATACCGCTCAAACGTGCCTGACGTGAACTGCGGTCCGTTGTCAGAGACAAGGACATCAGGACACCCATGCGTTGCAAACAGGCCTCGCAGCACCCGGATGACAGCTTCGGTAGTGGTGGAGGGCATCAGGGCGACCTCCAGCCATTTGGAATAGGCGTCCACCACTACCATAAAGGTCCGGCCGTGAAAGGGGCCAGCCAGATCGATGTGCACCCTCGACCAGGGTGTCTTTGGCATCTCCCAGGTGTGTCCCTTAGCTGCCGGTGGTGCAGGCCTCGACTCCTGGCACGCTTGACAGGCGGACACCCAGGCAGTGATGGCATCGTCCATATTAGGCCACCAGACGTAACACCGAGCCAACGCCTTCATTTTGACAATTCCCGGGTGGCCAACGTGCAGAGCCTCCAGGACGCGCTGACGGAGTCCCTGGGGAATCACGACGCGGTCTCCCCACAGCAGGCAGCCACGATGAGCTGAGAGTTCATGTTGTCTGGTTGCGAAGGGCTGGAACTCCGATGCAAAAGGCCCTTGTGGCCACCCCCTCCACACCCAGTTGAGCACCCGGCTGATGGTGCGATCCTGGGCAGATGCGGAGGCCACAGTGGCAGCCGATACAGGCGCTGCCGGAAGATCCTCAATCAGAAGGAGCGATGAAGCTGGAGCCGGGTCTTCCACAAATGCTGGAAGAGGGCAACGGCTGAGGGCGTCGGCATGGCCCATCGATTTCCCCGGGCGATGGATGAGCCGGTAGTGGTAGGCAGCCAGGAAAACAGTCCATCGCAGCATGCGTGGTGAGAGGACTGGTGGAGTTGGACGATCACCGGCGAGGAGGCCCAGGAGTGGCTTGTGGTCAGTGATGAGGTCAAAAGTCCTGCCATAGAGGTATTCATGGAACCTCTTCACTCCAGCCACAAGTGCCAATGCCTCCTTGTCGAGCTGGCTGTAATTCCGTTCCGTCGGAGATAGTGTCCTGGAAAAGTAGGCGAGCGGTGCTTCTCTTCCATCTGGAAAACGGTGACTAAGGACAGCACCGATGCCAAAAGGTGAGGCGTCGCAGGCAAGGACCAGCGGCCTGGATTCACTGTACTGTACCAGCACACTGTCTGAAGAAAGGAGAGCCTTGACCGCGTTGAAGGCCGCCGTCTCCCGATGACCCCAGGCCCAAGGCGTCTTAGTGCTAAGGAGTCGGTGAAGAGGCTCAGCCACTGTGGCTTTGTGGGGCAGGAACATGTTATAAAAGTTCAGCAGCCCCAGGAATGCCTGCAACTCCGTTTTGTTCTTTGGGGTGGGGGCCTGCTGGATAGCGCGGATCTTGGATGTGGTTGGATGAAGACCGGAGGCATCGATAAGATAGCCCAGGAACTCTACCTGTGGAACGGCGATCTGGCACTTCTCCCTCTTTACCTTGAGCCCGGCCTCCTGGAACCTGGTCAGCACGGCACGGAGGCGCTCGAACAGCTGCTGGTGTGAGTCTGCAGACACCAAGACGTCATCAAAATATGGTACCACGCCCGGAAGCCCTTGCAGGAGACGCTCCATAAGGCTTTGGAAGATGCCAGGAGCCACACTCACCCCGAACTGCAACCGGCGGCAACGGAAAGCCCCCCGGTGGGTGACGATCGTCTGGGCTTCAGCAGTGGCATCATCGACTGGCAGTTGTTGATAGGCTTGGGCAAGGTCCAGCTTAGCGAAGACCTTACCCTCACCCAGGGAATGCAGCAGGTGTTAGACAACAGGAACCGGATAAGCGTGCTGCTGAAGTGCCTTGTTGATCGTGCACTTGTAGTCAGCGCAGATTCTCACCGACCCATCTGGCTTGACAGGCGTGACGATGGGGGTTTCCCACTTTGCGTGGTCAACCGGCTCCAAAACTCCTTGGGCGATCAGTTTGTCCAGTTGTTCATCCACCTTAGCCTTGAGAGCAAAGGGAACCCGGCGTGGCTTTAGCTTGATGGGGGCGACTTGTGGATCAAGGCTAAAGGAGATGGGCGTACCTGTATATTGGCCCAAGGTGCCGTCAAAAACCTCGGCAAAGTCTTTGACCAGACCCTCAGTCTCTGCGTTAGAGATGCAGTTGATGCCGGTGACTTCCAGGCCGAGGGCATCAAACCAGTCTAGCCCTAGGAGGCTTGGCCGCTGACCTTCGACCACCACCAACCGGAGCAGGCCCGAAAAATCCTTGAAGGCGATCCGGAACCGGCCAACGCCTACCACGGGAATGTCGTTTCCCTGGTAGTCTCTCAGGTGTACGCGGTGAGAGTCGAGTTGCCTTTTGGACACTCTGGGTACCAGTCTTTTGATGGTGCTCCATGACACGATGGACAGGGCAGACCCGGTGTCGATCTCCATGTCACATGGAGCTCCTTCAATGAGCACCGTGACGTTCAGCTTGCGTCGCGTAGGCGAGTCGGTTTGGCCAATCGTGGTTCCAGACGGGCAGCGGCAGTTGGTGAGAGCGAAACAACTTTCCTTGGCAGACTGGAGTGAAGACTTGGACTTGCGAATCGATGAAGGGGGGGTGTCAGACGGAGCCGATCGGCAGACCTTAGCGATGTGGCCCCTTCTGGAACACTTCCTACAGATGGCGTCTCTGAATCGACACTTGGCACGGGAATGGTTGCCTCCGCAGCCAGCACATTCCGGTTGGCCCTTGGACTTCTGTTGGAACTTCCTGCGCTCCCGCTTTGTCTGGTGCACGTCATCGTCTTCACTGGAGGATGCCTCCTCACTGCTTACCTTTTCATGATGCACCGGAACTGGCTCCCTAGCAAGACGCGGGCTGCTGGACTTGCGGATCTCCTGGGCGGAGCGTTCAGCAGCTTCTGAGGCCACAGCCTCCTCAATGGCTTTCTGTAGCGTGAGGTCTGGCTTGGCTAGGAGGCGCCGTTGCAGATGGATGTCCCGGACCCCGCAGACGATTCGATCCATCAGGGCATCGTCTAAGTCTCGGAACTCACAGTGCATTGCAGCCTGTCGCAGGGCGGTGGTGTAGTTGTTGATTGACTCCCCCTCTGCCTGGTTCCGGTGGTAGAACGCATGGCGGGCAGCAATCTTGGACGGCTTTGGTGCGTAGTGGTTGCGGAGCTTCTCTTGGATCGTGTCCCATGGTGTTGCCTGGACTGCTTCAGGCGCAACCAACGCTCGGGCCGTCTCAAACACCTCAGGCCCACAGAGGCTGAGGAATAGGCCCCGCTTCCGCTCCTGTGATACTTCTGTCAGCTCGTTGGCTTGGAGGTAGCAGTCGAACCGAGCGAGGTAGGAGTCCCATGATTCAGAGGCTGGCGCAAACGGCGGTAGAGGCACAAGTGAAGCCATGATTCCGATGCCGGCGTGAAGGGCGATGGATGGAACACAGTGCTCTAGCCAGAACAGTCAGCTCTGAATTGGTTCTGCCCAGTGATTTCGCTCAGTGATTTCGCTCTGTGATTCAGCTCAGTGATTCAGCTCAGTTCAGAGGCTGGCCGCATCTGGCTGTGCTCTGATGTCCATCAATCCCATCCTCGTCGCCAGTGTTAGGTGGTGGGTTGACATAGCAGCCGGCACAGCGATTTCTTCAAGTAGCTCTTTATTATGGTAAGCTGGAATAGAACTAACTGCGAACAGCTCAGCCGGCCTGTATTTATAGGCAGCCGGCTGTCAACATTGTAACCACAACAGCCCAGAGTTCCCGCCTAAAATAACTGCCGCGGACCTGAGTGAAAACTATCTACAGACCTGAGTGAAAACTATATACAGTATCCCCCTGTTGGCCCAGGGTGAAACTACACTACATAACACCGCTCTTCTGAAAACTGCAAGATCATTGATAAACCTTGATGAATTCCTGCCTAGATCCCTGTAGCTGTTTATTCCATTTCCCCCACACACACACATGTCTGTGTGTTTTTTTCAACAGGGAATAATACGGTAAAGATTGCTACCCGAGGCTGTGCAACGGCAAATATGTGTCGCTCCATTCATGGATTGACAGAGATTAAGGGTGATTATTTGGGAGTCCGGATCACTAGAGCAGAGTGCTTCAAAGCAAATCACTCTGTCTGTGAACTGTAGTTGAGAGAGAGAACAAATCTCCAACTCCCAGAAGAACCCACAATTTAGGGAAATTGGCTGCCTTGTGCTTGAATCAGCGGAGGTCTCAGCCTGAAGCCTCCCAGCCTTTATTGCCAGAAGTCTAGAAGCTCCTCCTCAAGGAAAGGCTGTATTTGACTTTCATGTTCAAATGAGGTCATTGAAGCATGTCCAAAATAAATATATGTAGCCAATAATGAGTGTTGTATCCTGTGTGTGTTTTTTCCAAATGCAACATTTGTTGGGGGGAACATTTGCCAGGGATGTAGTAGAGTCAGACGACTGGGAAAGGTCTGACTCTGAGACTGAGAGAACGCAGACACAGGCAGCACCAGAGTGGGTGAGTTGAGCCTGCACCCTTCAGAGTTTCAAGACATTTTAGAGCAGCAGACCCAGGAAGCTCACAGTCTGGGAATGAAGGGGAGACGACCTTGGGGGGAGTTGCTAGGCAACCTGGAGGAAAGCAGCATTCAGAGTACACTTCTTTAGAGAGTGGGGGTGAAGTCTGCCCACTTTCTCCACAAAGCAGGAGATAGGAAAGAGTTAAGATGCAACAGAAGGACAAGAGGGGAAGGACTGGACATTGTCGGCCTTCATGTTGCGTACACGGCAGGGACACAGACTGGGCAATTCTTAGCCGAGAATGGCGGGCTCGTGCCACTCTCTGTGTGTTAATTGTTAATAAACTTACCATAAATCTTCCAAGAGGCTCATTAATTCGTATCAGAGCTTGTTTGCCTGCCTGAGATCATTACATCTCCCTAAGAAAGAGGACTGTTTTGTAGAACATTGTCCACCATTTTGTGTGTGTGTGGCTACCATTTTGTATCTTGGAATGTAGCCCTGAGTGAATGGAGCGAGGCCGAAGCGCTGCACTTGGAGAAATGCTGGAAGCTGGTACAATTCCCGCCACTCACCTACAACGAGAGGTGGATTGCATCTGCAAAAGAAATACGCTGAGCAGACTAACGGCAAGGGTTGTTTGACATTGCCTGAGTATGAGCAGAGGATGCCCAACGGGCTCAAGGGCCCAAGTTGCTTCTCCCTCATTTCAGACAGTTGTGTGGCTCAACTATAAAAATAAGGAGGATCACTGCTTCTACTATGGAGTCAGCATCAGTACTGGTGAGTCTTGTATAATGGGGTGCAGCATTTACAGCAGTATCATCAGAAACGGTGGGAAATATAGATTATTAAGGGGGCTGAAAGTTATTAGAAGACCCACCTCAATTACCCTCACAGAGTGTCAGGGATGGGCAGGGCCCCAAAGGGGGTGATATGTGGGCAGAGGAGGCAGGTGCAGAGGAGTTGGGTGAAGGTTACAGGGGAAGGGGCTTTGGCTCCCACAATAAAATATTTGAGGATGCTGGGCCCCGCCCCCAAAGTTAATGTTCATTGCTATTGTCCACTGCATCATGTGATCAGGGCTGGGCTTTTCTGCACCGCCACAATAAACACCTAATAAAAAAGGCCTCCTAAAGCACCTAATAAAAAAGTCCCTAGTTTTTTTTGTAAATCTTATATTAAACATTTTCTTCAATTCATTATATACCATTTTCCTGAATGCTTTTGTTACCTTACACGTCCACCACATATGCTGGAATGTCCCTTCTCTTTCTTTACATTTCCAACATACATTAGAAGCAGTTCTATACATCTTTGCTAATTTTATTGGTATTAAATACCATCTATACATCATTTTCGTATAATTTTCCTTCAATGAACAGCACACTGTAAATTTCAGGTTTTCTTTCCATAGTTTTTCCCATGACTCAAGTTAAATATTGTGCCCTATATCTTGTGCCCATTTTATCATTACTGTCAACGAAGCTCAGATGCTGACAGGAGAAGAAGAAGCAGGCATAGAGAGAGAACAGTTAACAGTGGAAGACAGAGAGGAGGGGGAGAGCAGCTGTAATCTGACCTCTGAGACAAAAGACAGGGCCAGAGTGACAGGCTGATGTGTGAGAGCTCCAGTAGTGAGTCAGACATTGGAATGCAGGAAGCATTCTCTCCCAAGTCTCATAGGATTTCAAAAGTGGCCGAGACTTGCGAAAGATACCGGAAGAGAAGGTGGGGGCTTCCATGCTGGGGAAGGGGGAGGAGCTCAGTCCGGGCAACTCCATCTTCTGGGGAGGATGATGAGTAGAGGAGCTCCGTCCTAGTTTGTTGTTTTAGCAATAAATTAATTAACAGCCAGAGTCATTTCACGTTTGTGAAAGAGACGAAGCCATAACAATTACTGATTTAACTTCTTCATCCTTCGTATGCCATTCTAGCAACAATTTATACGTTCTAGACAGTAACTTCTCCTTATTTCCCAATAATTCCTTTTCAAACCTTGAATATTCTGTACTAAATCCTCTTTTCTTATCTGCTTTAAACACTTCAATTGATCATACTGCAACAAATCTGTGACTAACTGTCTTATATCTTCCATGTTTTTAAATTTTAATTGTTGTTCCCCCTCAATGAGCAATTGTTGTCCCCCCCTCTTTATAAATTGCCCAATAAGCTTTCGCATTAACCTTTTTCAAGGATATCGCTTCCATTGGGAAAAGCCACCATGGGGTTTTCTTTTCCAACAAATTTTCATACTTTCCCCATACACCATAGGTTGCTGTAAAGGCTGCCTCAAGTCTCAGCTCACAAAAGACCAACGCCTATGTCTTCTTATATACAAAAGTGTTTATTGCAGTTCATTGTTTGCTTGACATCCTAGGCGCGCAGCCTTACGTCTGCTACGCTTAGACCGCTGAAGTCCCCTCTGAATCCGTCCCTCCCTGCACCAATTTAAGAGGCTTGCGCTGCTCCACCTCTTTCTCTCCTTCCTTTTCCGCAGGGTCCTTCTGCCCGCTGGGGTTTCGCCCCTCCTGGATTCCTCTGACGCGGAATCAGACTGCTCTTCCCCCCCTCCTGCGGGCTTTGGGACCTGGCCCCTCCTCCGGGCTCCCTGTACTTCCGCGCGCCTCTACATTTGAACTTGGCGCACGCGCCAAACCTCTAACTTTCCTTTTGACAGTTACACTACTCCCTTCACTGCTCCCCTTCCGGGAGGGCGGCTTGCTCTGACCTCCCTCCTTTCTCTGCTGCCGGAGCTGCTTCCCCTGACACACTGGAAACTCCATCCCCTTCGCTGCACTCTGGTGGGGAGGCTGGTCCTGATGCCCAGCTGCCACTTTGGGATCCTCCGCTGGCCCCCTGCTCCTGACACGTCCCCCCTGGGGCTCCCCTGGCCTTGACCACCGGCGCCCCCTTCTGGGAATCCTCTGATTCGCTGGAAAGACTCATGGAATCTCTTGAGTCATTGTCATCCTCTTCCTCGCTGGCTTGGGATTCATCCCCTTCGCTCTCCATCTCCTGCCTACCCTGTGCCTCTCTCCCTGAACCCCTGACAGTTGCTTTTCTTATTACATGATTCAAAAAACCTGTATGTACTTTGGTCTTTTCACACCACAAATATGCATGCCATCCAAATCTGTTATCATGACCCCCAAGGTCTAATATCTCTGTATTTTTTAGAATTATCCATTCCTTTAGCCAGCAGAGAGAAGACGCCTCATAATACAATTTTAAATCTGGCAAGGAGAAGCCCCCCTCTATCTTTATCATCTATTAGTAATTTATATTTAATCCTTGGTTTCTTCCCCTGCCAGATAACTTTAGTTATATCTTTTAGCCATTGTTTGAAGTGTCCATCCCCACTGGCCACAGGTATTGTCTGAAACAAAACTGAATGTATTATTGGCAATACATGCATCTTTATAACAGAAATTCTTCTCCCAAGTGATAAATTTATTCTTCCCCAAATTTCCAAGTTCTTTATCTCTTTCCAATTTGTTTCATAATTATCCTTAAATATATTTATGTTTTTAACAGTTAGCCATACACCCAAAATATTTCACCTTTCTTCAATTGTTAGTTGTGTTGCTAATTGTAATTCATTTATATTTTCTACCAATAATTTCATTTTATTTTTATTTAACTTAAATCCTGCTACCTGTCCAAACTCATACATTTTGTTGAGTACCCTTGGTATGTTCACCAATGGATTCCAGAGCTACCATTTCCATGAATTCTGGGAAGAGGGGTTGATAGTTAAACCACTCTGAGAATTAGGCTTAGCCAAGCAAGGATAGTTAATGATACTCTGCTGAGCAAGACGAGCTCTTGTGACTCACAAAGCTTTGGCAGCTTGTAATCAGGCCCACGTTGCTGCTGTCACCCCCAAAGCCAGACCAAGGTTGGGAGTTTGTAATCCACAATCCTAGTTCTCCATCGCTTTAACTTGAACTAAGAACTAGACCATAGAGTTCCACTCAAACCTGAAGTGCAGCTGGCAGAAAAGACAGCTGTGTTAGCAAGTCTAGGGTGTTCCAGGGTCGACGGACAGCTGCCAGGAACATACTGGTGACAGTCAGTTGCATATGAAAATTAAGCATTCTTTATTTCCCTCATGGCTGGGCCAGCACTATATTAGAGGAAAGTGTGCATAGAAGTGCATCTATTAGTGAAGAATAATTTACAAAATACAATTAAGTGGGGAATCCTAAACATAAGGAACCAGTTTCAAGCAAGCCTTCATAAGAAGTTGGCATAAAGTACACCAGTTCCAAACTGCATTTAGTTGGAGCAGATTAGGGAGGAAGGACATGAAAATTAAGATTTAAAGGTTCTTGGATTCTTCTTCTCTAAAAAGCTGGCGTTGGCATTGCCAAGACTGCCAAATAATCATGCTGGAGTGGAGGGGTCTTTCCCTTGGGGAATTTACAGAGTGTCACTATTTTCAGTTGGTATTGAATCACACACTGCCAAATTCAGGCTGTACAATTAAGGCTGATCTGGAGCTCATGTACAACCAACCCACTTACTAAGAACAAAACAAAACAGGAAATGCACTGCAAAGTGTGACATAGCAATTGCTTTGCACAATGTTTTTTAACTTCCCCACAAACAAATCAAAATAAATGCTCAGTCAATAGCCAATGTTGTCTAACCTCCCTGCAAACATTCTGCAACCAAATGAGAGTGGATGCTCAAGCAAGTTGCCTGGAAGCTGCCCTAGAGCAAGCATTGTTAGTATTTTCCACTGCCACTATTGCAGAGGGTCACGTGATCAGATGATTTCATTTCTTATCACCGTGTGTGTGAGCGGAAGTCAAGCCGACAAACTTCCATTTTTGCTCTCTGTCCAGCTAAGGGCTAGAGAGGATGTGTGAGAAGGAGCTCACACAAAAAGCCATGTTTCTTTTGTTTCTTTTGCTGTAAATAATAAAATACTTGATGCCACAATTCCTACACAATTTTGCTTTTGCTGGATCTGCTACTACGCTTTATATCGTGCACATGTCTTTTGGATGTGTGCCGATGCTTTCTACGGGACTCCAGCAAGAGGCACCTCCCGTCAAGCACGTCCAAAGTCCGGCCCGCGGACCAACTGCAGCCCGTGTTCCAGTTTAAAATGGCCCATGGAGGCTGGCAAGAGGGGAGGCTTCACTTGCCATGCGTGCGTGTCCTGCCTGAGCTGATTCTGGTGTGAGGACCGAGGGCAGGAAGGCAGGCAGGCAAGCAGGCAAGCCAGGGACGTCTTTACCTTTGGGCATAGTGGTGCGGCGAGCCAGGGCGCCAAGCAGTGTAGGGCACCAGGTGGAGAGTCTGGGGAGAATCTTGGGAGGGGAGAGCAGGAAGGTAAGTGAGGCGGAGTGGGGGCTTGGTGCCTGCGTGTCTCCGGTGCCCATCGGAGGCAGGAGGCTCTGGGTGCTTTCCCGCAGTCCGGAGCTCTTTCCGCTGCCTCCGAGACACACCACCTCCTTGGCTGTGTAGTGTGTGCTTGCATCCCAAGGTCTGCGCATAATAAACGTGCCTCTACCACCGCTCCTCCCGTCCACTCTACCTCAAAAGATCCCCGTGCTCGAGGCTACATGCTGCAACTGCTGCCCCCAGCACCCCTCTCTCCTTCCCCAGCTTCTCCACTGCCTTGCACGGAGCCTGCCTCCTCCCGCTGCCCACACCACCTCTGCACTCCTTCACATGAAACTCATTTCCTTCCCCTGCCCAATCCCTTCCCAGTCAGGCTCTCTCCTCCCCCACTTCCTCCCCAAGCAAGGATGGCGAGACTGCAGCTGAGTGAGCGCGCTTCTCTGCTGCGGCGACGCAGATGATCCAGCTCGCTTCGCCTGTCCCTGCCCGGACGAGACCCCCACCTGCCTCCCCCATCGCGCCGGGCTGCCCAGCCCCACACCAAGATCCTGTTAGTTTCTGTTTGCCACTGAGCAGCTGCTTAGAGTCACAGGACTCTGTTTACATTCCAGACACATTCCATGCTATTGGAAGTCTCACGGGAGACGGGAGACAGGATGTGATGTTAGTAGTTTCCTGTTTCCTTTGTTCCTTTGTTTCAGTTGCTCTCTGCTTTCATAGAGAGAGGATGTGTTTTTTGTCTGCGTAGCTTAGTAATAAAACTCTTTGCAATGTAGCCCAAACCTCTCGTCTCTTTCCTGTGCTGGAAACTCTGCTGAAGAATGTGCCTGAGGCCTTATCAAAGGCTCAGGTTGTTAAACACGTCGGGAAGCGATTCCGAAGCACAGGGCAGCAGTGTGAGGGCAGTAGCAGCCTTTCCTAAAAAAAGTAAACAACTTTGGGGTTCCCCCCCTTAAAAAAACATCAACAATTCTGGGAAACAAGAGGGGCACTGGAGGGATCTTTGCACCACGGCACCAGATATGCTTAAGACGGCCCTGCCCTAGCCTGAGTTTTGTCTCCAGCGTGTGTGCAAAATTCCCAGCACTGGGTAATCAGCAACCAATCATGCCATCTTCTCTCCTTTGAGCCAAGCTGGCTGTGCGCGAGAAAGTCGAGGGGTGGCGGAGGAGAAATGACACCACCCAAAAGAAACACACACCTGTGGCTGCCAAGTCGAGCGCTCCCCTGGATGGTATCCCTTGCCGCAGGTGGCAGCAGCAGGAGACAAGAATTGGAGGGGTGGGGAGGGGGAGGAGCGGGGGAATGGGCGGCTTCTCTCTTCTCGATCCACTTGGTTCGTTTTTTACGGGGAGGGGAAGAACCCTGAGAAAATATGCTGGAGACGAGAAAAGTTAAGATGCCTCTGTTTGAAGCGAGTGGGGATAGTTCCGTCTTCTGCCCAGATTTTCACCCTGCAGGCACATTTACACAAGAAAGGACCCTGAGATACGCCTTTGAGTTGGGATGTCTCTTTTTTATGGATCGCTGGTGAAGTAGAGAGGAAATGCAAGAGAGCAACTTTTGAATCAATAGCATGTTTTCTGTTTTTTGTTTAGCAACAAGGTGCTTTCATTTGACTTGCAGGGTTCGTTAGAAATTAGGCAGTTGTGAATAATCCCCTGGAATGATTGCTACCATCAGCACAAATTGCATATTCTCTTATGCATGCATGTTTCAATTGTTCAAAAATTATCAAGAGTATCCTTCACAGCAGACGTGTGAAGTAGGTTAGGATTTGTCCCAGCCTACTTCACAGGACTGTTGTGAAAGGTACAACAGTACAAATTTTGAACACTAGAACCATGCATGTCTAAGGGAATGTGCAATTTTGCAGGTGGGACAGAGAACCAGAACTAATGGAATACCTTGCTTGATGACATATTGTGAACACAACATGTATACCTGGTTTTATGTTCCTGTTAATATTTTTTGAACTTAAAAGTTGACAGACAACCTTTATTACCAATAATATGTAATGTACTTTACAATGTTTCTGACATACATTACAGCTTCCTGGATTATTATTTTTTTTCATCTGGCCTTCAGATATGAAAGGCAGAGTGATTTGTCATCCATGTGACGAAAGGAAAAGTACCATATTTTTCGCTCCATAAGACACACTTTTTTCCTCCTATAAAGTAAGGGGGAATGTGAGTGCGTCTTATGAAGTGCACAGAGAGGTAGAGCTGCGCAGCGCCCCTTCAGCGAAGCGGGAGGAGGAACGGAGCCCGTTCTGTTCTTCCACCCGCTTCGCTGAAGGGGTGCTGAGCAGCTCTCCCTATCTGCGCAGCGCCTCTCCTTCGCAGGAGAGTCGCTGTGCAGAGAGGGATAACTGCGCAGCACCCCTTCAGTGACGTGCCTGTCCTGGCTTCTGCCTTAGCCACGCGCAGCCTCTTCGGGCAGGGGGAGCCTTCATCCCGCTGCCCTGAAGAGGCTTGGCACAGTTACCCCAGAAGCCAGAACAGCCACACGGTATCCCAGAAGCCAGATCCCTCTTGCTGTTCTGGCTTCTCGGATTCAAAATATTATTTTTCTTGTTTTCCTCCCCCCCAAACTAGGTGCGTCTTATCATCTGGTGCGTCCTATAGAGCGAAAAAGACAGTGTACCGTTCGCAATAAACTTTGCATAAAATAGTTAATTTGCCTTTTATTTGCATTTAATTTTAATGGTTCAAAGAATGTCAGGCAAAATGGTTGGCCCTCATGCATGTTCACTTCATCAAATCTGGCCCTCTTTTAAAAAAGTTTGGACACCCCTGCCCTAAAGACTTGGAGATCCTTGGTTCTTTTGGAGGAAGGGTTCGGGGGGGTGCTGGAGCAAGAGAACAGAGCCAGGACTCCTCTAAAAGAAGGAGTGAGTTTCAGAAGATTGGGAAGTGAGAGCCAAGACTCCTACATCCTTTCTTTACAACTTGGGAGGTTGCAGAGTCAGGATAGAAACATTTCTATCTGCCTGCTGCGTTTTTCGCTGGGTATCACTGCTAGCAAGGCTGCCAGGCACACAAGCTGAAATGCATAAAATACTTCCAGCCAGAATAATAAACCAAGTTGGTTTCTTATGGTGCTACAGCACCCTCTAGTGAATGTCTTGGGAGGATGGTTGTGTTGAAAAAACTAAGCACATTTTAATTTAAAAACATGACCTTGTGAAATAGGCTTGATTAAAATGAATTGGATGGAGCTGAGGCATTATTTTAAAATTGTGTGCAACTGTCAGCGATGTTAAGAATTAACACAGGCTCATTGTCTTCTGCTTTGAGATCCCATAAATATCGTAAATAAATCAACCTGTCTGAATGGGCCCAGAGTCAGTTTCTCTCAGGGAGGTTGGTATTATCTACTTATTTCCTCTCACTTTTTTATTTTCTTGGTGCTGCTTGGCCTTTTCAAACACAACAAAAGAGAGAAAACCCATAATTAAACCTCTCTCTCTTCTCTGCCTCCACTCCACTCAGGAGGAGAAAGTAGCAGGAACGATTTAGAGGCTAATCCCCTAGCCCAGATTAAGGAAGTAATAAAATGAACATAACCTGCCACTTAGAAAGATATTTTGCTGATTGGAACTTACTTTTGTAGGTAAACATTGCAAAAGGATCTTGTCCAAAGTATGAGTGAATAATTTGTGAGGTGAGTGAGGCTAAGAGACTTCAGAGAAGCGTGACTAGCCCAAGGTCACCCAGCAGCTGCATGTGGAGGAGCGGGGACGCGAACCCAGTTCCCCAGATTATGAGACTACCGCTCTTAACCACTACACCACACTGGGCAATCATGGCTGCCCCACAGGAGAGGCGGGGAAGCAGCAGCTCCAAAGGAAGTAGGGAACAGCCCTTAGTCCATTCCCAGAAAAGCAGAACGACATATTCAGATCTGTAAGAACGAGTGGAGCAGTGGCCAACCTGTGGTTCCAACATCATCATGGGTGGCACAATTCCCATCATCCCTCACAACCGGCCATGCTGACTGGGGCTGCTGGGAGTTGGAGTTCAACAACATGCACAAGAGGAGCCTCAGGCCCAGGGACCAAATGCAGCCCTTTCGGCCTCTTTGCCTGGCCCTTGGGATTCTCCCTAGACCTTTCCCTAGCCACACCCCTCAATGGCCTTGCTTCACCTCCAACTTGAATGTTATGGCCTGGCTGGAATATGCCCTTATACTAACACCGGCTCCCTCGGTCTGAAAGTGAGATGAGCGCCACAACCCCATAGTCGCCTTTGACTGGACTTAATCGTCCAGGGGTCCTTTACCTCTCATAATGACTCTTGCTTGTCTGAATGGACAACAGAGAAGGCTGTGCAATTGTACATTGAAAGTACCCTACCATACAATGGCAATGGCAATGTCAAAAGAGATTCTGTAGAGCACAACAACCAATTAACACACCGTTCATCCAAAGGGGGGGGGCATTGACTTCCAACTGGTGCAGAATTAAACTGTCTCACAGAATGTGAGCTTTCTTGTTTTATTTGTATTCTGCAATGCTTTTGGGAGGCTGGTGTATCAGGAAATACACACTGGCTCTGCAGGTTTGAGAGGCTATTGGTGCTGAAATTGTTTGCTATGTTTCCAGTAGATGCACAGCCTTTCAAAACACATTAACTTAGGCCAATAAATTTATGACAGGCTGTGAAGCCATTCTAGTGAGTGGTGGTTTTCCTTTCCTACAGACTGATTTCACTCGGTGTAATACCAGGTGTAAGGAACCGGTGGCACTCCTGGTATGGCAAATATGAGGTATTATCCAACGACACCTGGTGAGTCATAGGTTCCTCATCCCTGCTCGGTGCCCCACCATATACATAAAATGCACATTTGACAGATTTTCGAGAAAACAGAATCTGGTTGGTATTTCTTTTATTGCTTAAAAAAAATGAAAGTTAACACACATGTAACTTTGACATACACAGAGAAGAGAAGGACAGCATTTCTGCAGTACTGAGTGTGATCTTTGAGCAAATGATGGGCTGCCAGTAGCAGGAGGTTTATATGGATTCTGTTCCTTCATTCCTGCATATCACACCCTTGTGCTGCAATAAATCTACCTTCTGTATAGCCATCCCTTCTTTTAGCCATTGCTTTTTTAAAAATGAATATATATATATATATTTGCGTATATTTTGCCAATAGCTGAGTTTATGAAAAAGAAGCAAACAGATGCAAAAGTGTGCCTGATATATACATTTCCACCTGATTGGCCAATTTCTTTTATTTCCTTGTTACTAACATTTTGTTTGGGGGAAGGAGAGGCACAGAGCATGCACCACTTTTGTCATGGGAATCTACTACTAAGTGGAATCTAACCCACTTTTCTAGCTTTGCACTTCACTGGCTGCACACATTGATTTTCAATATTTGTCCCACCCAGTGATGTCATCAGGGCAAGACATTTGGGGAAGAAGCCCAGGGCCTCATGCAGTAAAATGAGCAGCAGAGTCCCCAAACACAGTAGACTGACTGGCTTTAAAATGTGGTGAGTGAAATGATACACATTTCCATTAAATCCAAACTGAACCAACCAGAGATTCTACCCTCCCTCCAAAGGTTTCTCAAGAGGCCCTTTTCCCCTTCATGTTATTGGTATAGCAACCCTGAGAGCAAGTGACTGGCCCAAAGTCACATTGTGAGTTCCATGGCTGTGCAGGGATTTGAACCCAGGTCTCATAAGAAAAGCCCCTGCTGGGTCAGGACAAAGGGTCATCTACTCCAGTGTCCTTTTCTCACAGTGGCCAGTCAGGTGCCTATGGGTAACCTTGGTCCATGTCCTATGCTCTGTTCATCACACTGGCGCTGGCTCTGATATATGAGATGAGTTTGTTGACCTTCCATAGGACTAAGGTCTCTCCCCCCCCCCCAATAGTCATTAGCAATACACCCTACATACAGGGGATAGGTGGAGAAGGCCTGGACACAACACAAAGCTCCTTCCTTCAAGGTGTGGTGGGCTTAGGTTGAAGTGAACATTGGCAGATGTTGTGGGGCTGTGAAGAGCTTCTGACCTTACTCAGTCCATAGCATCAGTGAAAGATGTAGGGCAACATGCAGAAATATTCCGAGAGGGGAAATATAAGTAGGGGTGAGCAAATATGTTGGCTTCAGTTTCTCTTCATTTCTCATTTTTCCAGCCTTAAGTTTAGTTCTCCACATCAGTTCATTGTTGTTGTTGTTTATAAAAAGGCCTTGTGAAAATTCAGCTGCATTTTATTGCAAATTTCATCCAAATAGACACCCATTTGTCTGCAATTCTGCATAACGTACACATTTTTGCAAAGCAATTTTCCCTTACGTGATGCATTTTGACTGCTGTTTTTATGAATAGGTGCATTTTATGCACATTTTACCTGAGCGCATGCATCTCGGCACACATTACTGGGCTGGAGAACTTCACTGCAAAATTCAAAGTGCAAAAGCTCGCGGAATGGCTGTGTTTTGGTTTGCTTATTGTTTTGGAATTTGCAAATCAAGTAGGATCGCCTCTAAAAGCAAAATGGATTGAATTCCTCTCCCGTTCCTGGCTGGAATGGATGTCTGGGGTGGAGAACTGAAGGAAAACTTACAGGAGAGGAAGAAAAAGCAGGAGAGGACCAACATAAGAAAGTTGTGGGAGGGAAGATATAAAAAGAATCAAGACCAACGGGCAAGAAAGAGTAACCCTGCCAAGACAGACAGGGCCAGATTATATTGGGAGGGGACTCCTGGTGCACTGCTGCACAGGTTGACCTTGACTTTGACATTGCGGCCAGCAACAAACAGCACTTCGGCTCCCATTTCGCACATGGTCTTGGTGGCGCATCCTGTGAAGGCAACCTGTTGGTGCTTGGATTCCTCTGTAACAAAGGACAGAAAAGTAGAGTCGTGGAATTGCCCGAGCAAAAAGGAGGGTGCAGATTTGTATAGAACTTCCATGTGCTAATTTATAGGTAATGCCTATTTAGAAATCATTCCTATGGCTATGTACGTGCAACATTTTGTTCTAGAATCAATGGGGAGCAAGTTCTCTCTCTCCCCCCCCCCAACCTGGTCAACACAATCTAGAGTTGTTGCATATTGCTTGCTCCTGAAAAGAGCTTCCTGAGAAACTGGTTTCATTCCAAAAATGAAAGCTTGCTGCAATTGACTCTGTTGCCCGACGATGTGTATGTTTGAAAACAGACGTAGGCGGTCCCAGCAAATTGGAGGGGTATCCACACCTGCCCAATGGCACTGTGGGTGGGAGTATGCAAAGATTGCAAGGGGAGAGTTTTCGAACACATACCAAGTAACCACACCCACCTGCATGGAGAGCAGGATCTACACTCAACCTAGACTGAGAGCAGCATTTTGGGGATGAGCATGAATGACCCTGTACTGAGAAAAACTGTATTTTTGCACTACAAACAGCTAAGTGTGTACACAGCCTCAAACTGAAATAGAAATACAATATCACTGTTGTGGGGTAAACTGTCCCCAGGTGACCTCTAGGTTCCACTCAGTCTGCTGTCCTGGTGCTAATTTTGTTGATGGGCAACTTCATGTGAGGCACAAGGAGCTCAGCGCAGTGCGGATACAGTGACAGCAGCAACACACCTACCCTGCGTTGAGCTCCCTCTCAGGAACCAGCAGCAACACTCAGCATTGGGAAGCCAGGTAAGCAACACTGCCCTGCCTTGTGTCACCCTGCCAACCAATTACTCTGCAGTTAGGATGGAGCTAACCTTTCTGTCGTCATCTAACCATGGGATACTGGGGTAGCCAATAGGGTGCCCTCCCAAGGTTGGACTCCAACTCCCAATAGCTCTTGCCATCGTGGCCATCAGTCAGAGATTATGGAAGTTGTAGACTACTGACATTTGGAGGCCATCGCATTGGCTGCCCCAATCTAGCCCAATACCGATTACCCCTCCAGTATTACTTCTCCACTTACCGTTTTTGGCAGTGGTGGCAAAGTGCATGCACTGTGTCAGAGTCCCAGTGCAGGCCAGCTCCGTGTTGTTCAGACAAATATCAGAGCCAAAGACAAAGCAAGAATTGCAACGAACGCCGTTAGGCTGCTGTGACGCTTTTTGTACTGTGGATGGAGGAGAAAAAAGGGATGTGATCTCCTGCCATGTTCAACATCTCTAAAATCTAGTTTCCTTACATATGATAGAGTAGAGGGAAGCCTTCCTCAAGCTCAGGATGTTTTGGAATACAATTCCCATCAGTTGCGCTGCCTAAGGCTCATACAGCCGATGGGAGTTGTGGTCCAAAACATCGGGAGGGTGCCAGGTTGAGGAAGGATGGAGTTCATGGCACCCTTCTCCACACACAGAAACATTAGGTTTAATTAGGTTCTACATATAGTGGCGCTGTGGGTTAAACCACAGAGCCTAGGACTTGCCAATCAGAAGGTCAGCGGTTCGAATCCCCACGATGGGGTGAGCTCCCATTGCTTGGTCCCAGCTCCTGCCAACCTAGCAGTTCAAAAGCACGTCTAAGTGCAAGTAGATAAATAGGTACCACTCCGGCGGGAAGGTAAGTGGCATTTCCATGCGCTGCTCTGGTTCGCCAGAAGCGGCTTAGTCATGCTGGCCACATGACCCGGAAGCTGTACGCCAGCTCCCTCGGCCAATAAAGAGAGATGAGCGCCACAACCCCAGAGTCAGCCATGACTGGACCTAATGGTCAGGGGTCCCTTTACCTTACATATATATTGGCCACACTTCATGAAAAGGGCCAGAGAAAGCTAAGACAGTACATGCATTAGTGTTACCACAGTCAGTACGTTGTCAGTCTTAATATGTAAAACTGTGTTCTTGCCCAGTAACTCTTCAAAGCCAGTGAATTTCAGATTGTGCCTAGCTCTGTCCACAATCCACATGGCTTTCAGATTTGGACACGTATATACTGCAAATACGTATTGCAGATATGTATTGCAAATACTTTCATATTTCCCTCAAAAAAAATTAAAAAATAATTATTATTTATTAAAAAGCAATTGGAAAGGACCTTTGCCTTGCCCGTGCTTTCACCATTTTGGTCAACATCTCTAAAGTTAACATAAGAACATATGAGAAGTCTGTTGGATTGGGCCAGTGATCCATCGAGTCCTGTTCTCACAGTGGCCAAGCTATGGATTCGAGCACAAGAGCACTCTCTTCTCCTGTGGTTTCCAGCAACTGGTACTCAGAAGCATTGCTGCCCCCAACTGTGGGAGAGATTAAAATCTTTTCTCCAGCAACTTTCTCCATGCTATTTGTAAATGGAAAAGTCCCAAATGCTGCAACCGTTCTTCCCAGAGGAGTCATTCCATCCCCTTTATCATTTACCTTTTCTTAACCTCGTCCAATATCCTTTCTGAGGTGGGACAAACTCCTTGGAATGGTTTCAGAGAACCTCCTTGTGGTTTTCTTTGCAAGGGTGTGTGCCTACATCTGGACCCTGAGCATGACCACATTCTACACAAAAGGACTCAAGATATTCATAGCCTAGAAGGCTTTCCAACTGTACTAGAACTCTGCTCCAAGGTTTAGTGAGCATACCAATTAAACCAGCCCCACACAGAAGTCCTGACCAGTTCCTTTGACACGAGACAACCCCAGTTCCTTACCAATTACATTGTTGACATTACAGCGGTCGGCCCGGCAGCAGCTGGAGTTCCAGCGCATGCGAAAATCCCCCGCCACCAGCCCATAGAACTTGTTGCAGAGGCGATCGTCCGAGTTGCATTTCTTTTCATAAGTTGGGTTCTCTATGTCCTGGGACCCTAAGAATGGGAAAGTCTTTTAGACCGAGAAGCCATCCCCTTATCTGTGCATCTGCTTCTCTGAGGTAGAGAAGGATATAGCCCCTTACTGTAACAACTGGACATGGGGAAATAGTTGCGCGTGGTAGTCGATACTAGTCCTACTCAAAGTAGAGCTGTTGAAATCAATGGACATGGCTTAATCAGATCCGTTAATTTCAGTAGGTGTGTTTTGAGTAGAATTTAGTTGGATGCAACCCAAAACTTTCTTTATAAAAGTGGGTCGGGAATCTTTGGACCTCCAGATGTTTCTGAACCACAACGCCCAGCATGGCCAATGACCAGGGGTGGTGGGGATTGTAGTTCAGCAGCATCTGGAGGGCCTAAATTTCTTCACACCTGCTTCAAAGCCCCACAGATGTTCCTAAAGACCCTGCACATTGTCGGTAATGGTATACTGCTGGAGCAGAGCAGAATCTCAGAGTGTTTAACTTTAGACAATAAATACTGGGACGTCTCACCACTCGAGAAATTGGGGTGAGGATCATGATACATTTTAAACACAGGAGAATCAGCCTATCTGCATGTTAAAAACAACAGAGGGACTAGATGTAAACTTTAATGGTTTGTAGATCTCAGAAGCCTGGCAGCAGAGAAAGGTTAAGGCGCAAACTCACAACCACCCTACCTGTGTCTTCATCCCGGGCAATGGTGATGCAGCTGTTGACTGCGTCAGTGCATTTTTGTGGGGTTGTACTGCAGTTGTAACCTTCAGTGCTGGTGCAGTTGAAGCAGTAGATAGCATCACCTGTGGAACAACAGAGAGGGGAAAGTGCAGCCATTAGGGCTGAGGCTGACAGCAGAACCGTTCAATCACATGCCAACTTACCCCTGAGCCAAAAACTATAAACCAGAAGTGAAACTGGGGTAGAGCTCAAGTTCGTCTGAAAATCACACCCTCACAAATCCCAAAGCCTTTCCTTTCTTAGATCCAAAATATATGGGAGATATTATATTAGATCAAACAGGGCCATCTTAAGCATATACGGCGCCGTGGTTAAAGATCTCTCCGGCGCCCCCCCCCGGCAACTCCAAAACAAGGGAGAGGGCGGTAGAAAATGTCCTCTGCCTTCCCCACCGCCCTGATCCCCGGCTGTGGCGGTTATCAAGCAGGAAAACGTGCTGGTGGACATGCTCTCCAGAGTCGAGGCGCCCGGGAAGGCTGTGCGCCACCTTTCGCCAGGAAGCAGGAGGAGGACCATGACCGGGAGCAGGGCCGTCTTTAGCAGATGCAGAGGCTTGGGAGGGAAGCAGCTTCCCTCCTAAGCCTCTGCGGGGATTGCTCTCCTCCTGCGGAGGCTTGGGAAGGAAGCTGCACACCCGCCAGCCATATACTTGGCAGGGCACAGCTGGTGGGCGTGCAGGGAAAGGGGAGGCTGCCAGCAAAGCCGTGCAGCTCTTCCACTCACTAGGGCGACCCTGAGAGGCCAGCGCCCTGGCGCAATGAACCACTAACACCAATGGAAAAGACAGCTCTGAGATCAAATACATATGGGAGATATATACGGCACAATTATGTGATGGCTTTGAAATATGCACTTTTGACATATTCAGAAGCATTCTCTTTCACATTGTTTCACAGTATCCAGAACTGAAATTGACATTCCAAACCAAGCCTTCTCACCACAGAATAGTTGGTTTCTCTCTCTCTCTCTCTCTCACTTGGCTCCACACACCAGGATAAGCTTTATGTGCTGAATTTCTGCTCATTCATCCAGCTATTAAAGGATCGTGAACTTTGGCAGAAGAAAGAAGTGTCCTCCCTTTTGTTCTTTTTTGAAAAATAGGATATGCCTGAATGGATGACTTGTCAGAGAGGTTAATCACACTAATTAAGCAAGCACACACCCATTCCTTTGCTGTTCAGGAACTGGGCCAAGCCCTGTACCAGGCTGGCTCACCAGCCCCCATAGCTGAACCAAGGATTAGACGACTCATTCTGGATTGAAAAGTTCAAAGGACACGATGGCAGAAGGTCCCATGCAACCTTCTCTTCGTTTTTTACAGTGCTGTTCCTTGGCAGCACTAAGCCATACAACCAACAGTGCAGGGCACGGCTACCTGGTTATATGCACATCTGAAGATGAAAAGAAGCTGTATTCGGTCAGTATTAGTCCTTGTATAGATCAACTTGGGTTGCATATCTAATTCAGGGCCTGATCTGATTCTTGGGATTGGCCCCATTCTGACCCGGGATGGGTTTGTGGAAGACGCCTGTGCATGAATTTGTTTTATGTGTGAAGATCAGTGTGCGCTGACCAACGCACAGTCTTTGCTGTAAGGCTCTATTCCTTTTTTTCAAATACATTTTTATTAAATTTCCACTTTAAACAACAAACAATAAATTTCCACATTCAGCTATGCAACTCCTTTTCCACCGTTCTGCCGAGCAATGACTTCCCTCCCTCCTGGCCACAGGCTTTCTTTTTCAATCTAGATCTCACAGTTTCCTGTCCTTTCCAGAAATCCACGTCGTAAGATTTATTTCAGTCCTGCTAATGTCTTCAAACTTCTACAGTTATTATTTATATAGTCAATAAATTTACTCCAATCTCTTTGGAATTTTGTTTCTTCCTGGTTTGGGATCTTGCAGGTCAGTTTTGCCAGTTCCGCATAATCCATCATCTTCGTCTACCACTCCTCCAACGTTGGTAACTCCTGTAATTTCCAATTTGGGGCTAATAAAGTTCTCGACGCAGTCGTTGCACACATAAATAATCTTTGATTTGCCTTTGCAATTTCCTCTCCCATCAAGCCCAGCAGTAAGGCTCTATTCTGATGGCATGAGTGTCACAATGACTGGTAGATTCTTATCTGCTGTAGCCTTCATCCGCCTTTACAGCCGTTGTAACTTACCACTTGTTATCTTTTGCCTGTTCTGCCGTTGAGGACTTCTTGGATCATTCTTTGTCTAGCTCCTCCCTTTGGACCTTGCCGCCTTGGGTGACCCTGTTGGGAGTACGAGATTCCCGACAGCTTCGCTCACATGGGTCATAGGAATGTGCAAGCCCACTCACCATGACAAGGTGATGATCGAGACCTGGGATAATCCACTGAATTCTGGATCAACCTGAATCAGCTCAATTTGATTCAGGATCCAAGCTTTGGCTGGAGAACTTGCACAGCTCTAATATCAACATGAGAGCAAAGAGTAGGCCTGCAAGAAGTAGCACTGCCCCCAAAGTTTCCTGCTCCTCCTATTCTCACACCTGCAAATGCAGGTTGGCACTGAGGGATGGCAAGGAGCTTACTGCTTTTAGCAGCTGCGTGGCAGGCCAAAATTCAACAGGTTCAGCCTTTTCTAGTTCGGAAATACAAACTGTGTGGGAAGCTTCACCCATTTACATTCTGCCTGTCAGACACTTTGTTACCTGTAAGGCTACTGATTTGGTTTTGGTGCCCTCCACTCCACCCGAATAAGAGGACGCCGATTTGCATCCTGCGCAAATTTTATGCGAATCTGTGCCCTCTTTCGTAAGTGGACTGGAGGACCCAACCCACAGTATTGGACCCACAGAAGTTTATGCCACACAAAATCCAGTTGCCTTTAAGGAGCCGCAAGGTCAGTGTTGGCTCCAGGTTTTGGAGGCTCCTTCGGCAAAAGACCCACTGTGGAGGACTTCACAGGCTCTCAAATTTCAGCAGTGCCCTGTGTGGTGCTAAAATTCAGCATGTGCCCACCCCACTGCCTCTCGCATTCTACAGCATTGTTGTGGCACTCCCTGTAGCACCCAGTGTGGCCGAAAAAGTCGTAACACCCTAAAACCACCTCTGACACCCACCCATGTGGCCCTCCTTGCTGCAGGAAGTACACCAGTGAGGCCCGTTACTGAGACATGGACCCTCAGCAGATGCCTGACCATCAGCCACACTTGAGAGTCTTCATTGCATTTGCTGCAACAGTTTAACGCTGCTCCCCATCTAAACTCTGATAAGGTGCAGCGTTACTTTGGCTGGGAGCAAAAAGTTTTGCTTCGGTGGAAAAGTCCATGAAGCCAGAGGCTGAAACATGGCAATCTTTGTACCTGCATGTGTATAGCAGATCTTATCTGTTCTTAGTTTTAGAAATTCTTCTACCCTGCAACTGAACCGGGATGGAGGTTAGAAAAAGAGCACATAGAAAGCAAGGGAAGGCCTGCTCTTTACACAACAGTAAATGCACAGAGAGGTAAGAAAGAGGATAGGGTGCCACCATATGCTCCATGTCATAAAAATAGTGGAGCCAGCACCACCAGCACCACCACTGACTTCTATGTGAATTGAGCTGATTTGTGGCTGAAATGTCTATGCATAAGCCCTTGTCGGTCTGTCGCCTTGAGGAAGGGCCATAGCTCAGTGGTCAAGCAATTGTCACTGAGCTATGGGCTTTCCTCAAGGTTCACTTGAACCAAGGTTACAGGTTCATTCCCTGGTATCTCCAGGCAGGGCTGGCAGAGAACCCTGTCTGAAATCCTGGCGAGCCTCTGCCAATGGTCTGACTCATATGTTAAGGTGGATTACTTCCCAGGATGCAGGGAAGAAGAAGGGGGACCCTACATGCTAGCCATGCCCCAAATGCCTCCATCCCAGCTGGCAGCACTCTTGACGTTTGCCCATAAAGCAGGAAGATCTGGTAGGGGAATCTTTGGGCGCCTACAGACTGCCAATATTTTGCAGGAGATATGCAAACGCATGGGGTATGAATGGGGTAACTGTGCCCCTGAAGGACCAGGTGCACAGCTTGGGAGTCATTTTGGACTCACAGGTGTCCATGGAGGCACAGGTCAATTCTGTGACCAGGGCAGCTGTCTACCAGCTCCATCTAGTACGCAGGCTGAGACCCTACCTGCCCGCAGACTGTCTTGCCAGAGTGGTGCATGCTCTGGTTACCTCCCTTGGATTACTGCAATGCTCTCTACGTGGGGCTACCTTTGAAGGTGACCCAGAAACTACAACTAATCCAGAATGTGGCAGCTAGACTGGTGACTGGGAGTGGCTGCCGAGACCACATAACACAAGTCCTGAAAGACCTACATTGGCTTCCAGTATGTTTCCAAGCACAATTCAAAGTGTTGGTGCTGACCTTTAAAACTCTAAACAACCTCGGCCCAGTATACTTGAACGAGCATCTCCACCCCCATCATTCAGCCCAGACACAGAGGTCCAGCACTGGGAGCAGCCCTGTTTAGGGAAGTTTTTTTATGTTTGATGTTTAGAGCCGAGCAATTGAAGAGGAATAAAGTGCTCTGTCACCCTATCACAACAAATCCACTTTTAATCAATCCTACTCCACAGGGAAAGCTGGGAACTGTAGCTCAGGGAAGGAAACAGGGGTCCCCTTACAACACCCTTAACAAACTACAACTCCCTGAATTATTTGGGGGGATCCGCAACTGTTTAAAGTAGCATCATAGTGCTTTGAATGTGTGGTATAAATGTGGCCATGGTCAAAGCATTGCATAAGCTTTGTGCAAGCAAATGAGGATGAAGGCAAAATTTCTGGGTCATCTTAGAGGAGTCCTTTGCACATCCTGATAAATGTGCAATCCATCGTGCATACAGGAAATCCACCTTCAACCATCCCTGTTCAATGCACAAAGGTAACCTGCATTACACTTCTCCCACCATATGCTAAAGGCGAACACATTAATAAGGCCCTAGTGTTGGAAAGTTACCAGTCCCTCCTCCTGTGCCTTTAATAGCTCCTTGGTCTGCAGGCAATAGCGGCTGATAAGCCTTATCCCATTGCCTTCAAAAGCACCTGCTGGATTCTGTTGAGCAGGTAGCTGTTAATGACACAGGAGCATGACACAGTGTATTCTCCCTGGTTAGTTGGCAACCCTCTCTCTTGAATCTTCACAATTTTTTAAAATGTTGGTGTGCCCCCCCCATTCGCTTAGAAATGAGATCTCATTTCTTGCAAACAAATGCTGAACAACTCTAAACCTAAGAAACCTGGGAACTGCAGTTTGTTACAGGTGCCAAGAGTTGCCAGGAGACCCCTATTCCCCTCACAGAACTACAATTTCCAGAGCTTCCTGGAGAAAGGGACTGATTGTTAAACTACTCTGAGTACTGTATTTTTGTGAGTGAAATAGGAGTCACCCCTACAATTCCCAGGATTCTTTGTGACGAAGCAATGGCTGTTTAATGTGGCATGATACTGCTTTGAATGTACAGTGCAGACGGGACCCCAATGTAACTTAAATAAAACAAGAATGGTTAGGTTCTTTTTTTCTTTTCTTTTTTGCAGCACTGGAGTGTTTAAAATGTTTCACAACTATTATTGTAAATGTCCTTAAAACACCCCTGCATGGGACAGCTGCCAGATTTTTCACCAGTGCTGCTCCTGTCCCTTTCAACAGTAGCCTGACACTGATAAATTAAACAAACGAAGTCTTTCCTACTTGTTTGGCTCCGTGCCAGGAAATAAGCTTCACTTAGTAAATGTCTGCATGTCAGGCTGTTACTACACCTTGCTAGAACATTTGCAAAGCTAAGCAGGGTCCGGTAGGATTTCAGATTGGATGGGGGACTGCATGTGGAGATTCCTGCATTGCAGGGGGTTGGAACAAATTACCCACAAGGTCCCTGATGATTCTATAAGGCATGGCAGAAAGCCAGATTAAAAAGATGGCAACCCTTTCCTTTTCTGTGGGTCATTATGCCCATACTGAAATGGAACTGAGAGCATGGACTCTTCCACACTCCTAGACAGCTGCCTTAGACAGCTTCCTTATGGCTAACTGTGTTGAGCCACAGCAGAGAATTACCACTGCTATCGCCCATTCTGTTCCATTCCCACAATCCTTCAAGCAGATTAATACCTTCACTCACTAAGCCTGCATCAAAAGGACAGGGTCAAAGTACAACCTTTCTCAACTAGAGTTGCCAACTGGCTGGGGAAAATGACTACGGCTTGCTCCTATGCCTTCAGGGGGAAGTGAAGTTCCCCACTCCCCACAAACATTCAACACCTTCTAATCACTAAAGGGGGAGCCAGTCCAAAAATAGGCAACCCTAGCTAGGCACTCGGTAGGCAGGTACAGTGCAGGCACACATTTTGAGAAACTGGAGATGGAAATCTGGAACCCACCTGCAGCTGTAACAGAAACTTGCATGATCAAATTGCATGCTACTGAACTCTTAACGGTGCAGGAGTCCTGCAATAGTCAATTTACCACCCAGAGAATTCACACTTGGAGGAAACTGGGGTCCTTTTATTTTGAGGGGCCAGTAGTAACCCCTTCACCACTAGGGGAGACACTCTGCAAAGATCAATCCGGACCGTGACTTACCTGTAGCCAACAGAGCCAACAGGAAGGGAAGAGCCAAGAGAGACATGGTGCCGCAAAGTGGAATCGCCTCTGCTTTCAGGAACCTGAGCCAGAAGCCACCTGTCCTCTGGGGAGTTTATACAGCTGGGACTGGGAGGGACAGGGTTGTGTTACTCCGAGGGCAGAGAGCTGGGTTGAGCAACAGTGCGCTTTTGTGATGCCCTGGGCAAAACCAGCCTTGGCCTTTCAAGCTGTCAAGCTGCCCCTCCCATCTTTCCTCTTCACTTCCCTGAAGGCTTCTCTTCTTTTAGATGCCAGCATCCAATGTAATTTCTGTAAATCGTACCTCCCTTCTTAAATCCTTTACAGCCACCCTCATAATGCGTCACTCTGAGGAGGTCACATTTACTATCTGCTTCCCGCCCCCCTTCAAAAAGTCACAGATTAAAACAGAATGCATGCTTAATGCTTGTCCTTTACTGCATAATGCTGTTGTGTAACACCCAAGGAATGCCTTTTTCATTATTGTCTTATTAGACAAGCTGTTGCAAGTGAGTAGAAAGAAATCTTCCTTCTGAGACTTTCCAAAATGAGTGCTGGTATTTGCAGCAGTGCCACACTCTCACACAAATCAGCGGGTTCCTGAGACAGCACAGCACCAAAAAATGGATGTCCCAATTTACATCAGAGGAATGTTGGAGAGTATGACATAGAACGTGTTAGGGTTGCTTGCTTTTTTCAGCAGGCCTCTGTAGATGTGCCTCTAAAAGCAGCTTGGCGTACAGATCTTAGCAGGAGCCATTGGCCTGCAATTGTCGTAGTTTTGTGATTTCTCTGAGCCGCTTGAGTTTGTTTGGCCCCTCTCATTTTCATTTTTTTAAAATACATATATATATCTTTATTAATTTAAAATAAATACATTTATGAGAAAACAGATGTACATACAAGTAAACAAACATACAATCAAACAAACAAATAACAGAAAAATCAAACAAACCACCACACTATAAGATACAAGATTAATATAAATATCATCATATATACTCCTGATACTGAACACAATTATAAAACTTATAGAGAAGAAATTTAAAACTGACTTCCAATTAACCTCACTGTACTTTATCTACCCATAACTTTATACCACACAGTTACATATTTCTTATATAATTTCTTTTTACCTCCCTACAAACTCATATTTATACAATACAGGGATCAATCTAATTCTGCCAAGATGTTTCCTTTTATTCCATAGTTTTCTAAATATTCTTTAAAGATTCCCCAATCCTTATAGACTTTTTGTTTTGGTTGGCCTCTTACTCTTCCTGTCGCTTTCGCTAGCTGCAGATATTCTACCATCAGGATTTGCCAATCTTCCGTATTGGGTATTGTTGTGTTTTTCCAATTTCTTGCTACTAAAATTCTGGCCGCCATTATTCCGTACATGAACAATGTTCTTTTCGATTTCCCTTTTTCTTATGGCAAAATGCTTAATAAAAATATTTCTGGCCTCTTTTTGAATGTTAATTTAAATAATTTTTTTTAAGTTCTTCATATATATTATTCCAAAAAACACAAATATCTGTACATTTCCGCCACATATGCAGATAAGACCCAATTTCTTTATTACATCTCCAACATATAGGTGGTCTGTTCTTATACATTTTAGCAAGTTTTTCTGGAGTTTGATGCCATCTATACATCATTTTTATTGTGTTTTCCCTGAGATTGTAGCATGACCCCTCTCATTTTCAACACTGCAGACACAGATGGGCAGTCATTGCCAAGCTGATTTTCATACACCCAGTTCTTCTCTAGGGAAAATAAATCTTACAAATTCCATGCACTGCACGGAGTCATGAGCCAAAACAACCAAATCATGTTCCCATCACCCAACATATTAATCTCTTTTAATCCACTGACAAGGCGCTGAATCAGAGTCCCCCAAAGCTGGCACCACTCCTTTCTGAGACTCACATTCTTCACTGCACTGTTTATGCCAGCTCACTGCAAAGAGCTTGGATTAGAGAGCACACAGCTAAACAATGGAATGCACTCCTGCAAGTTTGACATGAGGAGGATAATGTTATCAGTGGCTACTAGCCACAATGGCTATTCTCTGCCTTCACGGTCAGAGGCTGTAATTTTTCTGAATACCAGTTCCTGGGAATTGCAGGTAGGCAGAGTGCTGCAAAACCATCAACTGCCCCAGAAAAAACTAAACATCCCATTTTTGTGCGAGAGTACAATGGCCACTGGGGGTGCCTTACTCTCGCACGATTTCAAGCTGAGATCTCACCCCGAAGAAAGCATTTTTTGGGTCCACGATCTTACATGGCACCCCAGCACATGTGCTTTAGCACACCATACCGCACCCCCCAAAAACTTTTTCTGGGTCCACAATTTTGTGCAGGTCATGTGACACGTAAGATTTTGGACCTGGAAGACGGTGTGCCGGATTTGGATCGTGTCGCGTTGGAGGGTATGAATGCTGTTGTGCTCAAGTTCCGCTTGCCAGTATCCCGAGGGCATCTGATTCACCAAAGTGATTGGCCCTTTGATTTAATAAAAAAATAACTTCATGGCCAATCAAAACATCACAAAATACTGAGCAAGCTTTTTGAGACCACCTGAACTCTCTTCATCAGGCTGGATGAAGCCAGCAGATGGGGTGGAGATATTGAGTGGGTGGGGTCTGGTTTTCTAATGAAGGCATAATGTCTGCCTTGGTCAACCCAGGTTTGTTTTGTTACATAGTCTTAGACTCTTAGACCCCACTCTTTCTGTGCTTTAATATTTCCATATCCAAGTGGCATTGTTGGTTTGTTTCCTTTTGGTTTTGCCCCAGAGCTTTGCGTGTCGAAGTCCCCAGGTCACCCCCCATTAAAACACAATTCACACATAATTTTTGTTTAAGGTTTTTCGCGTAATTTTGGCCACAACTTTATTAAAATACACAAATGTGAGTGGTTGCTTAGGTATTGGTTAAGACTATCTGTCCCCTGACCTGGGACAGAACTGACTTCCGGATTCCAGCGAAAGCCAGTAAGGGAAAACAATAGTGGGGAGAAGATGGAGCTAAGCCCCAGGCCCTCACTTCTCCCCACATGCTCCCAGGGGCTTGCGTGACCCAATTCCCATTCCAGGGATTTGGACGAAAATATGGCGAGCCCTTGAATTCCTTTAACGGAATTCCCTTGCAGCAGCAGCATTGGAGGGGCAGGCACAGCCAATCCTTACCTCTCCACCCACCAATTTTTTAACCAATGCCTAACCGCAACCTTACAAGTTGTGATGATTTGCTACACAGTAGGCAAAAACCAAATGGCACCAGCCAATCAGCCAGATGGACAAAATTCCTACCAGGCCCCTGCCCCAACAGCAGACAACCCCATGACAGGCATAGCAAGGTCAACGCAACCGCAATGCAAATAGGGAGGGTGGGCAGGTGATCCGGTGGTTACAGCGAAAGAGAAAGCTCCAAGCTGCCAGCCCCACAATATAAAACCTCTGGTCCCTCCCCCACAATTGGCAACATCAAATTTACCCCAGCAACCCATACATCCAATCACTGCCTAGGGCGAACTAAACGTTCCTGCCCGGCAACAGGGGGTGGCCTGTTAGACCCCACCGCAACACGTGCTCTCTGTTAAGGAGAACACGCTTTCCCCCACAAAAACCTGTTCTTTAAAGCTGAATTGATGCAAACATTTATTCGGGTTTTGTGTGGACTGCCATTTGCTCCAATTGAGCTTTAAAGAGCGGGTTTTCATGGGGAAAGCTCCAGAGCAAAGAAAGGGGGGTGCTTGGGCACTGAGCTTTAAATCTTTGCCTGGAAAGAGCAGAGGAAAGGTAAGCATGGATGAGCCATTTCAAAGGGCACAAGACAGCAAATCGGTGCTCCCAAATTTGAAGGCTGCCCTGCAACATGACCCAATGAACAGACTGTTCCATCAGGGCTCAAGAGAAGTCTGAGTTCTTTTTCAGATGATGAAACATAAGCCTTTCGTCTCTGACAGCTCCAGATGAAGCCACCCCTCCCCAATAAAGCAGCGGTGCAGAAGATAACCGAGAATCTGGGTGGACCAGTCCAACCAGAAAGATTATTGTATACCAGTCTGGGCAAATCAAGGTCGAGTCTGTAAGGTGGGTGGAAGAATCTGATTCCTTGGGGTTCCTATGTTCTACGTGGGGCTTCAGTGGAAAGCGGGGGAGTGCAATCCGCTTTTAAAAGTTAGAGCAGACTCCCATATGCTGGTACATAACAGAAAAAAGAGACTTACAGAACCTTGGTAGGCTTTTGAACATGCAGACCTGCCTTCCCATGCATTTGGAGTAGTCTGTGCTCACCAGAGCTTGGCAGGAAACTGAGTTGGAGGTGAGTTTCTCCCATACGCTCAGAAAGTAGATTAGTTCCAGCAGAAACTCCCAGCATGCAAGAATATAATTCAGCCCAATCCACCTTTCTCATCTCACATGCATTACGAACCTTCTCTCACCCGTTTTGGCTAGCAGCTGTTGATGAGGCTGGGTTAACCTTTGGGCAAAAAAAGAGCCCATCGTTTTCCTGGCTTGGGAGATGCAAGCTATATACACCTGTGACATCAGCTTGAGTTGCTCAGGTATATTTTCCTCTGGGCAGCTGAGAAGTCGCCCTCTAATAAGAACCTAAGGCTAGCGATGCTGGATGAGGCCATGGAGCATCAAAGTCCAGCATCCTTTCTGGGAATCCCACAAGCTGGACCTGAGCCGAAGAGCCCTCTCCCTTCCTGCGGTTTCCAGCAACTGGTATTCTGAAGCATTTTCATCCGCGTTTTTTTATATGTGATGCAGATGGCACTGTGGTCTAAACCACAAAGCCTAGGGCTTGCCGATCAAAAGGTCGGCGGTTCGAATCCCCACGACGGGGTGAGCTCCTATTGCTTGGTCCCAGCTCCTGCCCACCTAGCAGTTCAAAAGCATGTCAAGTGCAAGTAGATAAATAGGTACCGCTCCGACGGGAAGGTAAACAGCGTTTCCATGCGCTGCTCTGGTTCTCCAGAAGCGGCTTAGTCATGCTGGCCACATGAC